GGGAAAAGTTTATTATTTACTCCCTTATTAGTAAAAGAGTATTAATCTAGAATTATATATTAAGTACTTCTTATAGAAATAATTAATTATATTTCTAAGTAAGACTTATATTAAGTAAGTAAATAATAGCTTATATACTCTTAGGCTATAGCTTATATAAAAGCCCTATGCTATTAAGTATTATATTTAATTTATTAATTATTATTTTTCTTATTATCTTAATTTTATTATTAGACTTATAAGTATTAAATAAAAGATTTTTAATATTAATTCTTTTTTTATAAGCTAGATATTAAAAGTAAATATTCCTTAATTAATATATTATTATATATTTATTATAACTTTTAAATATATAAATATATAATTTAAATTATTATTTAACTTAGTAATTAAGGTAATATAAAGTATTAATAATTATTAGATTTTCTTTTATTAAAAGTAATATAGCTTTTAATTAGCTATTATATTTATCCTTAATTACTAGAAATTATTATATTTTATTATATCTTTACTTATAGTCTTAAAGAACTTATAGAATCTATTAAAAGAGTTATAATAAGTAATACTCTAAGGGTCTTTTATTTATTACTTATTATATATATATTTATATATAGCTCTTATATTTTAGCCTTATTATATCCTTTATATAAATATTCCTAGCCTTTTATATAAGTTACTTAATAATAGCCTTCCTAAGGTATTTTATATAAAAGTGCTATAAGTTCTTTAAGTTAAGCTTAAGGTAAAGAAAGTCTCTTAATAATCTAAAGTGCCTAAAGCGCTTTATATTACTTATAATAATAAAAATAGAATTATTATTACTTAGAAGAGTATAATTAGGTATTAATTTAGATTTAAGAGAATAAAAAAAAAAAGGCTTATATTAAAAAAAAATAAGATTATAGTAATATTATAGCTTAGCTATTTTTATATTTTACTTAGGGGGTCTTTATTATAATAAGTAATTAAAGCCTAAATATTAGATTCTTATTTTCTTATATAAGAAGATTTTTAAGATAATATTAATATAAAAGCCTTTTATTATAGTAATATTTATAAGCATTAACGGATAAATTTATAGTCTCTCTAGCTTATTTAGTATATTATAAAGTATATAAATACCCCTTTTAATAATCCTAAACTTTAAGGTTTCTACCTTAATATAAGCTTTAATTACCTTAAAAGATCGTAGCTTTAAAAAGTCTAAGCTATTTATTAGGTAGGTTATATTATAGTTATTAAGGAAGGTACTCTTAGTAAGTAAATAAAGGGGTTTTTTATATATAATATATATTATAATTAAGTATTTCTCTTTATAAAGAATCTTAGGTATAATAATTATAGAGATATATAGGTATTTTAAGATACTTATTAATTTATTTTTATGTAATATTATTATAAATTAACCTTTCTTAGTTAACTTTTCTTTTAACTAAGCCTAATTAAATTATTTTATCTTAGCTTTAATAGTAATAATAGCTTTATTTATAAGATAGGTAATTATATAGGCTAAATAATTAATAAAGGCCTTTTTTATATAAAAATATTATTTAGGCTTCTAGGAATATTTAGTATACTTATAGGGATAATTCTTATATATATTCTTATTATTTTATCCCTTCTCTTATTATAATAATCCTCTAGCTATTAATATTATAATAAATACTTTATTAAGTATTATAGGGTTATTTTATATAAGTATTATATTAAAGATATTAATAAGCTTAAGGAGGGTTTATTTTTTTTTTAATTTTTTAATAAATTATTATTTTTTTTATTTTTTTTATTTTAAAGCTAGCTTTATTTTAATAATATTTAAGAATTATTATTTCTTTTTAATATTAATTATCTTAGGTATATTATATAAGTAGGTAATAATATAAGCTTAGTTTTAATCTCTTAGCTAGGTATATAGGTCTTAATAGGCCTTATTAGCTTCCTTTAAGACCTAATTATATTACTTAATAGCTTTTTAATAGGTTATTAAGTTACTTAATATAAATTACTTTAAGAAAGCCTTAATTAAATAATATATAAAATAGCTATTAAAATATAAAATAACTAGGTCTTATATAATTATACTTAAAATAATTAGGTTTATTAATTTAATAATAAATATTATTATTATATTATATTTTAAGCTTTATTTCTTATAAGTCTTATAAAGCTTAAAGTAATTTTAGACCTTTAATTTATATTTATTAATTAAATTATTCTAAGTAAATTTAAGTTATTTCTTAGGAATATCTATAGTATTTTCCCCTTTTATTATATAAAATATAATATAGCCTTTCTCTTATATTTAGTATTCCTTTAGTCTCCTATTAATATAAACCTTTAAGGTCTTAAGCTTAAGAGCTAAGTTAAGATTATTATTAATATTAGGCTTTATAGGGTTAATTTATTCCTATAGGTTATATATATAGGCTTTAACCTTTAGTAATATAATCTATATAAATTAATTATATTAGGTATTTAATCTAATAGCTATTAAAGGGTTCTAAGTAGCTATAAGAGTTATAGCTATATAATTAAATTATAAAAAAGAGTATATATTTATTATATAATTTATTTATTTAAGGTAATTAATTAAATTAAGGATAATAATAATAATATTTAATATAAAAAATAATAATTTAATAAGGAGATAAGTAATAGAAATTATTAAGAATATTCTTACTTAGGCTTATAATTATTATAAATAGCTATTTTATATTACCTTTAATATATAAAAGAGGATAATAAAGAGCCTTATTTTCTATAAAGGGAAGTAATAGAAAGCTAGCTATTTATATAACTAAGCGGGCCACCGGGCGGCCTATATGCGATTAATTAGGGCAGGGCGTTATATAACACTCCTGTACCAACTTAAGGATCTCTAAGCGTGCCAGCTCTTGACTCCTCCTCCAACATTTTTCAGACACTCCAGGGCCCTGGGCCACAAAGCCAGCGCCAACAACGGCCAAAAGGTTCCCCACATACCTAGAGTAGTGCCATGGGTTCTGACTGAATAAAATGAAGAAATGCTGTCAAGGCCTGAGCAGAGAGCAAGGCGAGAGCGAATGAAATAAGTGTGCTAACCTCGAATCTATTCTCTGTTAGCATTGGGATACAATGATATGATGTGTTGACAATTCGTTCCTTAGTATAGTTGAAGCCTGGCCCTTGATGGGTTAAGCAGGCCAGAAGGTCATTATGTCACTCAAGTGGTGTCAAAAGTCCAAGAAAGATATTACTTGATTAAACATCAGTGCAAACAATGGCGAGGTCTCAACTAGCGAATCTCAATCCTCTCCACTTTCCAGGTCACAGGTAAGCTACTAAGCGTCATAATTCCTTCCACGTACACATGACTGATCAGCTGATAGTGATTGTTCTGTTTCTGTAACAAGTATGGGACATACGCCCCTCCAAGTACAGCCACAACCTGGCCGCGCTCAATAGTCTCAGCAGGAGCACGACCAAAATATCCCTTGTTTGTCACGAAAAAGCTGTCCCGTATGCCGTGAAAGGAGTGATTCATCTCAACGTGGTTGTCAAAGATCTCTTGGAGTAGCCTGTTTTGCGTCCCTTGGGCCAGTAGTAGAATGGCTGCCACGATCCAGGAATTGAAAGAATGTGGCAGTCGATAGCCTATAGGACCTCTTGCCAGTACAAGCTGAGGATAGATGTATAATAGAGCGAGGAAAAGTCGATATCCATGTGGATTGGGCCGCTTGATCCGCCTTTTGAATATAGCCGTAAGGGTTGACCACATTGCTTCGATATTCAACATCCTGTAGGGAAGAGGATAATGACTATCAGGCTTCATGTTACGGAGAACTTCCGCAACAGAGAGTGGGATATCCGCATAGGCCCGCAAAAGGTGACTCGCTTCAACGTTGGTACCCTCCGAAAGAGTAGGAGTCATAGAGTTGTCCAACAAGCCACCAGAGTATGCTCCAAAAATGTTCTTGCCGTGTTTTCTAAGCCACTGATCAAGTCCCCAAACAAGCTTAAACTCCCCATGATTATGATCAAAGGAGAAGGTGGCGTCTACCACGTCGAGCAAATGGCCGTCGACGAATAAGCTGCGATCATCCAAGGAGGGATTTCCAGGTAGAGATCGGCTGAAAAGGGGGCTGGCGAATTCAAGAGCTTCTTCGCAGGGCTTCATCGTCCACTCTGGTACCCAGGAGGGAAGAGACATAGACCTTCGACTCATCAAGGTCTTGCATGACCACAAGTAAAGATCCTTCCGTGATTGGATGATGCGACAGCTTGCCTCGTAGAAAACGTCCTCTGTTGACTTGCTGTAGTCCGGCACGATGTCTGCACATGGCGACCGGAGCGTAATGAGTCCTAGCGCGGCATAGACGATGTCCCGAGGATCCGTTTGCTTTGAGTAACTGAAACTGGTCAAGACGGTAGCCAAGTCCTGGCATCTTGTCTTGCTGCTGTTGCGGTATCGCAATCGAGCATCTCTAACGCAAGGAACAAGGCTGGGGAATTCGTCTCCTAGAGGGTTTCTGAAACGCTGAAAGACCAACTTTGACCTGCCTTCGTAGGCCATCCGGAAAATATCCCAAGGAAGAATGTATGATCCACACAGAACGTAGACCATCTCGGCGACAGCGACTTCCTGAATGATCCAAGAACGCCCAAAATAAGTGTTGTAAAATAGTTGGTCAATAGCTTTCCAAGCCTTTCGATCATGGAATCTGAAAAGGACGTCGTCATCAAGCTCCGGATGCCGTGGGATAGTGCGCCGGATGGGGGAATCTCTGTCGTGGGTGAGGAATATGAAATCTTTTTGACTTTGAATGATAGATCCATGTTTCGGGCGCTCAGTGAGGTTGGCCGCGATGAGGTCTTCCATTTTCTCCGTGTCTGGTTTTCCGGTTGGATGGCGTTCGACCCCCACCATGCAAAGATATGGGAGAATATCAAACGCTTCTTTAGCCCCAGGAAAATCAGGGCCAAGCCATGTTAGAACAGAAGTAGCCGACGCATAAATCTCTCGCATAAGTGGAATTTGCTTCGCCTTCTCTCCCGGGTCTTCCTGATTGATGCATATCGCATCCACCCAGAGAACTCTAGGCCTCGAGGAGAATCGCAAGGCCCGTAGTGCCAATGCTAGATTAGATGTGACGGGCCGAGGACTACCGTTACATGTGATGCTGGTCGAGCCATGGGCTTGTTTCCACTCGTAAGAGAGAGCTTCGAATTTGAGCGATTTGCTGAGAGTCACGCGCCGCAAACAGCAACTAATCGAATCACCAAATTGGCCGGCTTTCAAAGTCACGAGCCGAATCTCCCGGTCGTTACGGAGCTTGGTGTACATAGCGCGTGCTGCTCGAGGGTGATGATGTTGGATGATAAGGGAGGCAGAAGCTCGTGCTCGAGAACATGCCGTTAGACTCAAGAAATGGGGGCGAGTTGCAAGAGTCTGCCTTGGCCGCTGCCTAAAGTTCAGGTTGCTACAATATGCAGAGGTGTTTGTGCCTAACGGTCTGCCCTGGCTGCAGGCTGTGAACTCGACCACTGTGATTGGCCCTGTCCCAAGTAAGTGATTTGATGATACACGGCGCTGAGCCGCTGTTAATGTTACCTATATAATTTCAACTGAAGGATGAAGACTTTCGGGGGATCAGCTGATTTGTTACGGTATAAGGAATAAATGAAATCCAAGTCTAGGTAGTCTGAGGAGTGTACACCACAACTTCACCATCTCTACTTTTGAACGTCTCGGTCCTGAGCCAGGATGATTCTCGCGCCTGATCACGTTTCATGAGCTGAGTCATTGCCATCAAATTAATATTTGCAAGGGATGATTTGTTAAAACCCGAATGGGATACAGGAATGAGGCATTAGGCGGAAGAATGGGCACCATATCTTAATTAAGAACCCCTATATTGATACTTTGTTCTAGTTTATGATAGCATTTCGTTTGCTACGCTTGAGTGAAGTTCACGGCGACCGAACTGGGCTACGAGGCTTGGGTAATTAATCGGCTCTTGTTTACAATCTCGGATTTGGATCACGCATCTTGCTGGGATGCGCTGTTCAACTGTGCTATTCTTCGCGGCAGTGTTCCGATGAAGCCAACCGTCAAATTCCGTCAAATTGGATTGACAGCATTTAGATGCAGTATTGTTAACCCAACCTTGTGCTGAAAAGTGGCCACACAAGTGACCGGGTAGAGGACGAAGAACAGAAGATGTTCTGTAGCGTTTGGCACGCTATTGTGGAGTCACCAATAGAGAGGTATTCGAAGAGTGCCCAGCCAAGCTTCAGCTAAAATACGCCAAAAGATGCCCCCAGGCAGTTGGTTATATCAAATTGCACTGGCTCGAGCCCCCGCTGAAATGCATTATCAATAAGTCGCATTTTAATATTTCTTTCTAACCACTTTCTATAAACCCCGCTCTTCCTCGGTAACTCAGGCCGCCTGGGGATCTCCGAGGAATAGCTCAAGGTGCTGGGCATACAGCTCAGGTACCTGGAACAGATGGCCATGGCCTGAGTCGGGATATATAATCAGCTGGGCGTTGGCAATCTGTTGCTGGAGTACAAAGCTATTAGGCGTCGGGGACATGATATCGTTGTGCCCGTTGGTTACCAAAGTTGGCGCCTTGATATCCTTGAGCCGCTCAAAGTTCTTCTCGTCGATAGTCTGGGAAAAGATGGCCGACAGTTGCGACTGCGCTCCCTGCCCGGTAAGGTACCCTTTACGCTCTTCTCCCTCAATATTGCGCTCGTGAATCCGGTCCCACCATTTCTGACCAAGCGCCAAACTAGTATCGGAGGGGTAGTAGAACAGGTAAAACATATCCTTCTTAGTAGGGGGCTGGTCATTGTTGGCTCCCGCACTCTCTAGCACCTCTCGCGGTGGTAGGACGACACCTTCACCGATGGCAGACTGGGTGCCGGCGAGGATCAGCTTGCGAACCAAGTGCGGATAGTCCCAGGCAAGGACCTGGGCCACGCCACCTCCCATTGAGAAGCCCATGACGTCGGCCTTGTCGACCTTGATAGCAGCCAGGAACTTGGCGGCAATCTGGGCCATCCGGGCAATAGTCTGGGGGACTTCACCATCGCTGTGGCCGATACCAAAGTTATCGAAGATGAGGACTTCTCGATTCTTGGCAATAGTATTGAAAAGGAGGGGATCCAGCGTGTCCATGGACCCACGCAGGTGGTTCGCGAAGAAAAGCGGAACAGCACTTGGCTTTCCGAAGTGGCGATAGGCGACCTTGGTGCCCTCGACGGATGTGTACTGGGTCTTGACTGTCTGAATAGTAGACATGTTGATGATAGGCAAAGATGGTGGTTCTGAAGGATAGAAGACGAAGTTGATGTGGGAGAAAGTGTCTTGGAGGTAAACACTGGTTGGTGGTTTGTGTCCTTGGGCTTTATAGACAGGTTAGTTTGACGCACTGTTAGCATCTGCCACGGGCCACGCCAGCTATCTAGATGATTAGTATTCTAAACCAAGTGCCTAATTCATTGTCGGGAAAGCAAGCGGAATACTTGATAATGTCCCCGCCGGCTCATTTGTGATCAGGAGTTGTGACGTGATGGCTTCTCGGCATTCAGTACAAGGTGCTTCCCCGGTTGCCCCGGACCCCAGGCTAGGAGCACGGGGTAGCTAATCCTCATTAGTAGATAGACCAGTATGGGGTTTTTAGAAATTTCTCCGATACCCCGCAACATACGACCCTGAAGCGGCATGAAGTAGTCCCGATGGCGTTGTGCCTTGCCTGGGACTCCAACAAAACAGCCGAGGCAGATGTTATGAACAGGTGGAGGTGTTGTTTGCTTCGTAGTTAGAGGTAAAGAAGGCCATCAGGATAGACTACAAATGATGGTGATCGCGCCCTTTCTTGCTGCCTCTCATGTGAAGCTGTAACACCTCTCGTTTTCTCAAGTCTCTGACATTGTCTCTGACTCTTCCATCGAGTTATCCCCTTACCATACAATCAAGTCACTTTTATCACAGCGAGATGACCCAACTCATGAATGCGTATCGCTTCTCCAAGCCGTCCAAGGGCTTAGAGTACACCAAAGTCCCTGTCCCTGTTCCCGAACCAGATCAAGTCCTGGTCGAGGTCAAGGCCAGCGGCCTCTGCCATACCGACCTCAATATCATCACCGGCTTGGACGAGACCTTTTTCTGGAAGCGACCCATCACTCTGGGTCACGAGATCGCGGGCGTAGTTGTCTCCATAGGGTCCAAGGTCACCAAGTTCAAGACCGGAGACCGCGTCGTGGCCGTCATCACAAACAAGCATCCCATCGCCGTTGGTGACGTGATCCACGCCGCAGGACTTGGCTGCGACGGCGGCTTTGCCCAGTTTGCAGCGCTCCGTGAGGAGAAGACGCTTCTTATCCCCGACGCTGTCACGTTCGCCGAGGCCGCCGTGGCCACAGACGCAGTAGCGACGGCCTACCATGCTGTGGTTACTGAAGGCCAGGTTTCCGCGTCTTCCAAGGTTGCAGTGGTCGGCCTCGGCGGCCTGGGCATGTCCGCCATTCAGATCGCAGCCCGAATTGGTGCCACGGTGCACGGGTTTGACATTGACCGGCATAAGTTTGCCACAGCCTTGCAGTCGGGCGCAGTTGTCTGTGGGAAAAGCTTCGATGACCTTCCGGGCGTCAAGTTTGACATTGTGTTCGACTTTGTAGGCACTGGAAGCACAACAGCTGAAGCCGTAAAGGCCGTCAAGCCCGAAGGAAAAGTTGTCCTTGTCGGTTTATCAAGCAAGGAGTCCACCATCGATACCCACCAGTTCGTAGCTCTTGGCGTTCGACTCGTGGGCTCGATTGGCTCTTCAGCTAAGGAGGTTGCCGAGACGCTTCAAATGATTGCGGAGAAGCAGTTTACGCCGCTTATGGAGGAGATCCCATTCGATAAGCTGCCGGAGGGCATAAACCGCCTTACGCAGGGCAACGTGGTTGGACGTCTATGGACTGATCCATCTAAGCTTAAGGAGACGGGACAGTAGTGGAAGGGTGCTTAACAGGGCGAGGTGCATTAATTTAACATGAACCGATCTATAAGGAATAGCTTTGAACATCTTTTGAACCAAGGGGGCCAATGATGATGAATAATAATTTCTTCTTGCTACATTATCGTCTTATTATTTGTGAGCACCTCCTGGCGTTTGGCGAAGGGCGCAATGCCCAACCTTCCGACTTATACGGCTGTTGGATGACAAAGGTGTGGATGTAGGCCAACGTTTAATAAACCAATTAAGCTCTTGGTAACGTGGTCATCGGAGACCTGGAGAGAGCGTCTGTTGATGGAGGCCTTTACGCCCATGTTGTTCAGCCAGTGTGACTTTTCAGCGGTTAAAATAAATTGTATGGTAATAATGGATATTTGGAATAATGAGTAGCATGACTTTACATCAAAGATATGGTGATCTTATAGTCGACGTTGTCGTGTTGCCCTCCTCACGCCAATTTGGATGGATACAAATCCCATCAAGAAGAACGGGATATTCTATCCAACAGGGTAATTTTCCTCTTGGAGATATGTACTGTGAAATCACCCGGCGGTTTATTTACCCCTGCACGGGACAAATTGGAAGTGACGGACTCGGGGTGGGTTGTTTTCGTGACGATCTTGCCTGACATGACCTTGCCCAGAAGAATAGCTTGGCTTACCCCGCGTTTCTCACTTCAGTTATAGAGGGTGGAGGCGGAGAATCTGGGGAGAATCGGCCGATTCTGATCTGCCGTCCCGTCCCTACATGAACCTATCTACTTCGTGATGACGCGTTGAGGAAATACTTTGAGCAACAAGTTAACGGAGGGGAGAAGTACTACCTCTGAAGCAAGATATCCAACATTTATGTTTGGTATCTAATAGCTGCATCGCTTTATTCCCTTAAAGAAGGTCATTATGGAGAGAAATAGGACAGTAGATTACATAATACTCACTGTCCTGAGCTTTATCATTGCTTCGAGTAACGTAGATGGACTGAAGTATAATTAAATCAACGCAAGAGGCGTCGGGTATTAGGGAGTCCTTAAATTTACGAAGCCGACACGGGAGAACGGATTAGATTGATCAACAAAATTCCCCATGTAGCTCCGCACACCACCTTCCTCTTAAGTTACCCATGGCGTGATGGAATAGGTCCAAAGAGGTATTAACTTAGTTAGGAAACGATTAACAAACATTTCTTTTTATAAAGCTCTGGGCCATGAGGCCCTTCAACCTGTAAACTCCATGACTGATCACATCAATTTCTTTCGTCATTGCTTTGTCGCAACTATGAAGAATCTATCATCCTCTTTCTGGGCAGCTGTGAGCTTAATCCCTCTTCTTGGGGGGGTTGATGCCAGGTCCATTTGGTCCACATCGCCAGGAACTTATGGGGTCGACGACAATTATATCCTCAAGTCCGGCTATCCGGTCGGCAATGGGATCCTCGCAGGTATACTGACATTCTGCACAACGCGACTGCTTCCAAAATTTTGAAGATGGCTAACATAGCCTCGGGCAGGCACGCACTTCGGAGATCCCGGTCACGAAAAGATTGTTTTCAATGTTGACTCTTTGTGGTCTGGCGGCCCATTTGAAAACTCGGTATGTAAACGTTGCTGCATGGTGGGAAGCTTCGAAATGTTTGAGTTACTGACAGATAGACTATTAGGCCTACACTGGAGGTAACCCGACAACCAGCAAGTCAACTGCTCTTCCCGGAATTCGCGAGTATATTTTCGATCAAGGAACTGGAAGTAAGTCCTCCTTCCACATCAATCTTTCCACTCCCCGATACTGTGAAAGCCTAGTTCTGACCAAGGTCTTCCAGATGTCTCGGCTCTCCTTGGCAGCGGCAACTACTATGGCTCATATCGTGTCTTGGGCAACTTGAGTATAATCATCGGCCACGCTACTGATTATACGAACTACACACGGTCTTTGGATCCATCCACTGGCGTTCATACTACCACGTACCTTGCGGATAGCGTCAATTATACGACAACCCTGTTTTGCTCCAATCCGGCTGATGCATGTGTCTACCGTGTCACATCTGATGAGGACCTACCAAACATCAACATTCAGTTCGAAAACTTGGCCGTTTCATCCAGTCTGGCCAATCCGAGCTGTAACCATCCGTACACTCGATTCAGGGGGGTTACTCAACTGGGAGACCCAGAAGGAATGAAGTACGAAGCCATTGCAAGATTTGTCGACAATCGTGATGGTGACGGAGTCTCGTGCGCAACCAATGGCTCTTTGACTATAGCCCGATCCCCAGGCTTCAAAACGGTAGACGTTATCATCAGTGCAGGGACCAACTATGACGCTACCAAAGGCAATGCTGAAAATGACTACAGCTTCAGAGGAGATGACCCAGCTGAAGCAGTACAGAGATCGACCTCTTCAGGCGCACAACAGGGCTATGACAAGTTATTGAAAGCGCACATCGAAGACTACCAATCGCTTTTCGGAACCTTCACCTTGACCCTTCCTGATGCTCAAAAGTCAGCCGGTCACGAGACAGCAGTGTTGATCTCAAACTATTCCAGCAATGGCATAGGGGATCCGTATATTCGGATTTATTATATATCAAAGTCAAGTCTCTTCCTATAATTATATTTAATTTTTTTAACCCATTAATAATCCTATTAATAATATATAGATTAAGCTTTTTCTAATAACCCTATATTTACTATTAATACTATAAATAATCAGGCCTTTGCCCCCTATCCCGGCCCAAATAGTCTAGATCCTTTTAAGCCTATAGCTCCTCTACTAAGTCTAGTAATTCCTCTAGCTAGCCCTCTAATTATTAGAGCTAACTTAAAAAGACTCTATCTTTAAAAGAGATATTACCTATAGCTAATCTCTTAGTTAGGTTCTTAAGTATTATTTATTATATATTAATATAATTAATTTTAATTTTTTATAAATTTATATATTTAATAAAATAATTATAAAATTAAATAAAAATAATTTAAAATATATTTATAAAATTATTAATTTAAATATATTTAGAGATAAAAGGCTTAATTAATTTAAGTTCTTTTTAAAATTATTATTTATTTTTATAATTTATTAATATAATTTAGGTACTTATATTATTATATTATTAATTAAGTCTAAGGTTAATTATAAAGATTAAAAGTCTTTATATTAAAATAATAAATATTTTAAGAAAAAAAAATAATAAAAAAAATAAAAATATTAATAATAAGCTAAAAAAAAAAGCTAGGGAATATAACCTCTTATAAGAAAAGAAAAGATAATATCTTATATTATAAGGCTTATTTTTTAATTATTAGGTTTCTATAGCTATAGAACCTTACCTTAGGTTTATAGTATTTTATAGTATTAGGTTTTAATACTACTATATATATTTATATATATCCTTTGCTAATATGGCTAATAGCGATGTTATCGAAAAACTAGAATGGCATAGGGGATCCTTACTTGGAGAGTCTCCTTTTCGACTATTCACGATATCTACTCATTGCATCATCTCGCGAGAATTCGCTACCGGCGAACCTACAGGGCAAATGGACAGAGCAGATGAACCCTAGCTGGAGCTCCGACTACCATGCAAATATCAACATCCAAATGAACTACTGGGCAGCAGACCAGACTGGCCTTGGAAAGACTTCGGTTGCTCTGTGGAATTACATGAGAAACACTTGGGTACCTCGGGGAACCGAGACGGCCAAGCTTCTCTACGATGCGCCTGGGTGGGTCGTCCACAATGAAATGAACATCTTTGGTCATACAGGTATGAAGGGTTCAGCAACATGGGCCAATTGTGAGTTGTACCAAGTCTCCTCCGTCTAAGACTGGTGACTGACTTCAAGACTCTAGATCCAGTCGCTGCAGCGTGGATGATGCAACATGTGTGGGACAACTATGAGTATGGCCGATCACTCACTTGGCTACGCCAGGAAGGCTACCCCTTGCTCAAAGAAGTCGCTCAATTCTGGATTTCCCAGCTTCAAGAAGACGAGTTCAACAATGACGGCACATTGGTCGTGAATCCCTGCAACAGCGCAGAACATGGTCCGACAACGTTCGGGTGCACCCACTATCAGCAGTTGATCCATCAAGTTCTTGAAGCTACCTTGAACTCGATTACATATATCGGCGAGGATGACCAGGACTTTACATCAGAGCTGAAAACTGTGTTGAAAAAGCTCGACAAGGGCCTTCATTACACATCCTGGGGCGGCATCAAAGAATGGAAGTTACCGGATTCTGCTGGCTACGACACAAAGAACACCCATCGACATCTATCCCACCTCGTCGGCTGGTACCCAGGCTATTCCATCTCTTCTTTCCAGGGTGGTTACTGGAATTCGACAGTTCAGGCAGCTGTTGAAGCCACACTTGTGGCCCGTGGAAATGGTGTGCAGGATCAGGACACTGGTTGGGGCAAAGCCTGGCGCGTTGCGTGCTGGGCCCGTCTCAACAACACGAGCCAGGCGTACGACGAACTTCGACTACTCATCGACAATAACTTTGCACCCAATGGCTTTGATATGTACCAGGGCCAAAAACCGCCTTTTCAGATCGATGCGAATTTCGGTTTGGGTGGAGCAGTGCTGAGCATGCTCGTAGTTGACCTCCCAAATTCCTACGTCAACGAGGATAAGACACGCACGATAGTCTTGGGCCCTGCTATTCCACCAAGATGGGGCGGTGGCAACGTCAAGAACTTGAGGTTGCGAGGTGGATCTGCAGTTGATTTCGAATGGGACTCTGATGGAAAAGTCACCCACGCAACCTTGCATGAAACTGGAAAGCACGTCAAGTTGGTCAACGTGCTTGGTGAAGAGTTGAATGAGTAGTGAGCACTTAGTCGGTATCCATTTGAACTGGAGTTGTTTACCCCTCGTTAAGAATGGAACAAAAGAACATGGTTTGATTCTATGCAAACGACGGGATAGTACTGGTTGAGCTAATACCAACGCTCATGACATCGAGATAATTGACCAAGACATCACCGTCAGCGTGCAGGTCCTGCTGCACCCAAATAGACTGGATCGCGTCCATGACCCCTCGGACAGTCCTGATACGGGAATCCCTCTGAGTTCTTTCCACTAGGTTAAGGATTGCTACTCTTTGATCCTCTCTCCTTGCTTCGCAGGCGATAATCAGCAGAGGGAAAAAGTGCTCGCAGCCAGAAGTACATGTCTTGCTAGGCCCAGCGAATCCCGCTTCTATCAGAGCATCCAGATTCGCCGGTGGTTCCCAAGGACTTTGCGAAGCCCTCGCCAGATATATTCGCGTTGCCACTTGGTACAGCTCAACGGCAAAAGTAGCATCATGACTCAGTTTCGCCGATGTTGATGTGACAGGGACAGTATCTATCCTGCTCTCTAGTTCCTTGAGGCGGCGGATATAGTCCTCATGGCGGCTTCGAGGGTCTCGTGGATCAACTAGTGTCTCACATACCTCGGAAAGCAGGCTTAATATGGCATAGGTAGGATTGGGAGAAGGAAGTGTCTATTGGTGGAGATTTCAGTGAGGGGGCTATAAAGAGCGATGTGTTTGCGTATACATACCGGTCTGTACTGTGATAGCTGCAGATACTGATCACCAGAAGGGCCACCTCTTGTGTTTGAACGACTCTGAATCAATGACTGATGACGCCAATGATGCACAGCAAACCTGGAAAGTACTCCGTGGTAGTAGACCCAGTCAAGCAGATGCCGAGTGTCGCTTTCATCTGAAACATTCTCGAGTTGAGCGGCACGGATTGTGTCCATGGCTCCCCAGATATGCCACAGCCACTCACCCGAGCTGTCTGATGGGAGGAGAGTCTATAACTCAAGTTAGGAGCACTACCAACTTTTTCTCGGAGTCCCAATACCTCAAAGGCCCCAAGAAGCATAGAGGCTGCCACATGTTGGGCAGCTCTCGCCGTCGTCATTGGTCCCTCGTTTAGAGAGACTGACAAAAATTGAAGAGCCTGTATTTTGAGTGCCATGGCCTCCTTATTGGGCCCCTGACTGTGGAGTGAAGAGTAGGCCAGTATTGCGTGAAGAAGGGCGAAACTTGATGAGGTGTCGGGCGCCGTTATCATGGTCATGAGGGCATCTCGGATCTGCTCAGCCGTTGTACCAAAGGTGACGAGGGAGCGATAGGCTGTGTCTTGGACTGTAACAAGAGTCAGCATGACACAGCCGGTAAAAATAGTCTCACTTACAGTATTGCAACAAGCACGCATGCTCTGCCTGTACTTGGGGTCGGTTCGGCAGAATTGGGGAGAAAGTAACCAAGCGATCGAGATACATGCGTGAGGTCCGATGGCCGTACAGTTCCATGTCGTTGAAGGTCGTGTTGATCAAGAAGAGAGTGTTCGGTCTTTCGCCCAACTCATTTGTCGGTATGCCCAGTGGGTTCGCAACCATTGCACGCCTACTGTCATCATCTCTGGGCCACGAAAGGCGTGGCTCATATCCTTGACAATGAATCTTGGATTGAGTGCACTTGCCACACGCGGGCAAGCCTCCATCACACCTAATCTTACGCGCTAATGCAGTCAGGTTAGAGCAAAGGCGTTTTCAGTATGGCTGCTACTGACCAGCGCAGTTCCAGCAGCCCTTTCGAGGTTTCATAGTAGCGACGGTCAAGTGGTTATTTTGGAGCCACAACGGAGACGTCGGAATGCCGGAGATCAAGTCATGAGTCCAACCGGTCAAAGTTGCCCTCGGTGGAGAGGGAGAGGGCGAGATGGGTGTATAAATGCAACATGGAACTTGGAGTAAGCACTAACCCGTTTCAAGACAGATATGAAGTCAACAGCCGATGAGTAGCCAGTCTTGATTGGCTTGTCATCATTTGACCCACAGGAGACAACTTTGACCGAGCCCAAGCCTCAACTTGAGCCTCTTGACGCAATGAAAATTCATTTGCTCACCGTCTGCGTCGTCATGTCTTTCCAGGACATCCGTGTCTCTGGCATCATTTGTGATCAAACTACGCGGCCTTGCTTAGATTTAATTATAAATCAATGACTGATTTGCGTCAAGTGGTAGTTGTATGCTGCCTTGACATGTATATATAAACTTACCTATCTGCCACCCCCAGTATACGATATCTATCAAACACTGCATCACACAATCCACACTAAAACATTCATTCTTCTCTCATAAAAGTCCTCATCAACTCATTCTCTCATCCACAAACTCTATCCACCATGGCTACCTACCTCATCACACAAGCAACCGGCCAGCAAAGCCTGTCTGTCATCAGGCATCTCCTCGAAGCTGGCGCCAAGATCCATGCCGTCGTACGTGATGTGCAAAAGGTCCCATCACTCTTGAAAGAGCCAGGTATCACTCTCTTCCAAGGAGAGAGCAAGAACTTGGACGAGATACTGGCCGCAGCCCAAGGTTGCCAGGGAGCATTCCTCAATACAGTCCCCTTCCCCGGTCTGGAGGCTCTCCAAGCCAAAACCATCGTCCAAGCCTGCGAGCAGGCCGGAGTTGAGAATATTGTTGCAGCAACTACCTTTTGTACGGGAAACAAAGCCATCTGGGACAACAATGAAACTAAGGAAATCCAACTGGATGGGTACTTTTCGTCCAAAGCAGAGGTCGAAGACATTGTACGCTCCGGAAAATTCAAGGCCTATACCATTCTTCGACCTGCAGTTCTTCATCACGACTTTTTCATGCCAGGTGCTCTGGGAAACTTTCCTCGACTCCCGACTCACGGAGAGTTGGATGACCTTCTCGTCAATGGTGCCAAGGTGCCTTACACGGATGCGTACGACCTCGGACAATACGCAGCGGCCGCTCTGCAAGACCCTGCCAGATTTGCGGGACACGAGATTGACCTTGGCAGTGAGCTCCTCACATTCGAAGAAGTGAGAGATGTCCTTGTAAACGTCAGTGGCAGAGAGGTCCGTGTGGTCAAACGTACCGAAGAGGAATTGGAGAAGCTGGGTGCCAATGTCTTTGGTCAGAAATTCCAGCTTTTCGCAAACATCAAGGATCTGAGCTGGACGCCTGCCCATGCTAAGAAGGTCCAGGAAGAGTACGGTATTCCGTTTACGCCACTTCAGGCATCAGTGCAGAGGGATAAGGTTCGCTTGTTGGAATGTTTGCCCGCCAAGCAGTAAGAGTGAGGCTTCTTAACGAAGGCCACGACAGATTGGAGTGGCCTTCATTGATGAAAGGACATCGCATGGATAGGTTAGATAGCAATACAACTTGAGATAAATCACGACCTTGCATGCGAATTTTCCAACGCGTTCTGTGTTTATGTGATGCCGCAATGGCAGACATGATAGGGATGCTATGAATGAGCAAAGTTTAGACATGGCAACTTCTCTTTTGACAGGCTGTGAGTTTGAGTCCTTGATGCTGTGGCGGAGATCCTTCACTGTGAACGGTTTGAAGACCCGTTTTTTTCTTTTTCTTTTTTGCCTGGTTTAGAAGTTCCAGTCACTGTCTTAGGATTCTTTTTTTGACTTGAACGGCTTCCTCCCTATTCTTCATCATGAATGAATTCGTTAGTCAAAGGCCTGCTGTGGTTACCCTGTAGTTCCCAAATAAGACGCTTGGACAGTTCTCGTATCAACGGAGCAAATCCGGCGGGAGCTGCGGATTCTTCAGGACATGCTCTGCGCCTCTTGACTGGCTCTGCGATCCGAGTGCCAGCCTCCCTACCCACTCTGGACTGGCTTCGTTTGCAGCCAGCCAATACAAATAAGGACTGATGTTTAGGGACCCGCAGCTCATACCGGATCTGCCGACTTCGGCATGGAGTAGGATACGACAGAAACGCGACGTGATGGACGGATGAAGACACTCCCTCAATGGCCTCCATACTTTCATCTCATTTTCATCATTTTCATCGGGACGGAAATAACCACAATACAGCAATATTATATTATATCTCAGATTTGAGGTACATAGTAGTCTAGACTGCAGGGTTCATATCATGTCCTGGACTAATCACCCGGAGTCATGGACGTCCCCGAGAGTTGCCAAGCCTTCTCCAGTAAGTATTGTCTCCTCGGCTTACCGTGCTAGTTGACCTCCTTTGTTTCAGCATCCGTCTTGTAGCTGGCAAACCGGCGGACGCTGACTTTCTTCATGAAAAGCTCATCAAGCTCTTCATAGCTGCGATTGGCAGTTTCGGGCTGATAGAACCAAAGATAGACCAGACAAAGAGCTCCAAGACCACCAAACAGGAACGCAGTCTTAGCACCGAGATTGGCCTGATCGGGGTTGAACATATAGGGGATGACAAAGGCCCATACACAGTAGATGGTGTATTGAAGAGCAATGCCGATCGAGATGGTCTTGACCCGGAGGCGCGAGGTGGCGACTTCACATAGAAGGGTGTAAGCAGTCGCACCAATTGAGATGTTGTAGAAGAAGTTGTAGGCGACGATCAAAGCGACAGAGCCCTTGATGGCGCCGGGACTACCCTCAGTGGCCAGTCCTGCAGCGATAAGCAGGATGAGCGTGACCGAGAACGTGCCCCAGAAGGTCAATGCTCGACGGCCGACGCGGTCTACCAGGAACCAAGAACAGATATTTCCTGCCATGGAAAGTCCATGCTGGGCTATCTGCAGCTTAAAGCTAGCAGCCGTGCTATATCCCGCGAGCTGGATGTAATAGGTTCCGTAGGAAGCGACAAAGTATACACCACCCAGTGCTTGAATAGCCAGGGGCATGATGGAGATGATGGTACGGCGTAGGTTCGAACGGCGGAAACAGTCAAGATAGGTAGCCCCGGCTGCTTCCTCTCTAGCCTTATCAAGTGTCGTCTGGATCTGGGAGATTTGCATGTCCAAACTGGTTCCGGAATATCCGAGTCGGCGTAGGGCTCGCGTTGCCTTGTCTACCTTGCCGACACTCAGTAGCCAGACAGGGGACTCGGGCATGAAAGGGGCGGGGATGATGCAGATCCCAGCGAATCCAAACTGAGAGCAGAAGATGGCTCGATATGCCCAAGGCGACTCGGTAGCCCCAGTGTTGTCAACGATGATGGCAGCTGTCAAGGGGCCGATAGTCATCATCAGCGCCGTGAGACATGTGAATAAGCCACGAATGGCCATGGGGGTGACCTGATTGATAGCCAAGTATCAGTAAATGGCGACATGCGAAATGGGATATATGCCTCTAATGGGCATGATTCGGAAGCGTACCTCGCCAACGTAAGTGACAGCAACAGACAAGATTACACCAGCCAGGAACCCGTTGAAGAACTTTCCACCGAAGAACGTAGCCGGGGTAGTAGCAATGAACTCAATAGCGATTGCGACGAACGACAGGGCGATAGAGACAAGGAGGATTGGCTTTCGTCCAAACTTGTCAGCAAGATAGCCAGCAGAGAAGGTTCCAATAACTGAGCTAGCAACAGGTCCGCCATAAAAAGCAGACTGCCAATCAGCGTCAAGAACATAGGAACCCTCAAACTCGTTTCCAAAGTCCTTGCGGAATTGCGGAATACTCAGAACCATGCCAGAGGCTTGGTTCTCGAAAGAGACAAGCAGACATGAGACGACGGCGAAGAAGGCCCACGCTGTGTCGAGGGGATGCTTCCGCATGGCTGCAATGGGACCAAGCTCGTGCGCCTCCTGGTTGGCAACTCGAGCGAGGTCTTCTGAAGCATCGTGGATGTGCTCGGCACACTTGGCTTCGTCGTGTTTAGACGAGTCCATGGTAGGCGAGACGATGTGGCAGGGCAATTGAGGTCTGGGAATGGATAAAGAGAATTGTCAGAAATGGATGCCAGTCGCTTGGTTGGAAGGCGATCCGATGACAGCCCGGGGCGGACGAAGGCTACTTATGTATCGAAACTGACGAGTTGAAGTATTGCCTGAGATTTGCACCAAGTCTCGAGCTTTTGGTCTCATGGCCTGTCAACCATGACCGACAAAGCCTGAATCTGGGGTCCCCAGAAAGAGAAGAGAGTCACCCGATGACGATCCGGGGTTATTACAGGTGGCCAAGGTCCACCATCTGAAGCAACTGAATCCGCTATTAGTCCATGGAGGCGGTCCGGTGGTTACCGTCAGAGGAGACAACGGACAGTGGCATGGTTGCTCCTCAGCCTTGGGCCAATCAGATAATCGAAACAGGCCCAAGACTAAGTGGGACGGGGAGTATCGGGGTGGAGAATCCTCTAGCCGGTTCTCTAGCCGCAGTAGTTTGCAGCACCGTCGTCGGCTGAGCTGTCATTGGATCGGCACTGACTTGGAAATGTTGAACCTTGTTCGATCGTCCTGGAGGAGGAGAAACCACGGGTAAACCCATCGTTCGACTGAATCAGCTGAAGCAGATCAAGCAACTCCTCCAGGCCAGGCGCGAAATACAAGACTGGAGGCAAAAAGACAAACCGCAATGGAGCCCCTGCTTGCCAACATACTCTCGCTCGACTCCTCGGGTACACTTCCTGGCACTGGAATGCCACCGTCATCCAAGGGGACCTGGATTCCTTCGCAAGCCACCTCACTCCCGGTTCCTGCCATGCTGCCAGTCCCACAGCAGCGCTCTCAACCTAGCTCGGCGGACACGCCTATGTCGAGGGAAGCCGCATCATATGCTCGTCGTCGGGCGGGCACAGCGTGCACAGTCTGTCGAAGCCGAAAGACAAAGTGTGATAACCAACGTCCCATATGTGGGTTTTGCAAGGCCACAGGTGGCGCTTGCGTGTACCCGGAGGATGCCCCCTCAGACCCATCAAAGCTTGACAGAGGGAGTCTGGCCATTCTGCAGCGACTTGGGGAGATGGAGCAGAGACTGACCACCTTGCTCGATCACCAACACCACGTGTCGAGTCCCAATGAGGACCCGGCCCGTAGCTGCACAGTGGAACACACCGAGCCATTGATAGCGACCCCGGGATGGGATGTCGGTGTGGATACTCCCAGCCGAGCAGAAGAGACTAGTTATGACCGTCCACCCTCGGGCGACATTGTGACGAGAAGCTCCGAGATGCGAGTCGAGAAGATTCTTCAATGGCCCGTCTTTTCCGTCAATCACCCGTCTCTTGCTTCAAGTCTCAGTCGCGTGGACACTATTCCCCGAGTCGTGGGCAGTGATAGCCTGTTTGATCTTGACCCAGAGGTCATTCGAAATCTTTTCGAGAACTTCTTGGTTACCAACCATGTCAAGAACCCCATTTTCAACATTAACGAGCTTTGGGTCTCTGTGAGGAATGTTGCTGAGACCGGGCTTCGATGGGACGGAGAAACATGTCTTGTGGTATGGACTACACCTCTGCTCAACCCGTGACATTCGCAATATTGCCATTGTAGTTCTCCAGACATTTCATACTGACTATTGCAGCTTCTTATCTGCGCCATCAGCGTCTTGTCGGCAAGGATTGGCGAAGAGATTCACCCTGGATACTCGAAACACCCAAGTCGCCTCAACCGTGCAGAGTTGTACTTTCAAATGGCCCAACGGCGGATTGGAATGCTTTACCACAGCAACTGCCTCATGGCTGCTCAGTGTAGCTTCTTGACTGCTGTCTATCTAATGACAACATTCAGAATCATGGCTGCTTGGAAAGCCTTTTCACAAGCTGGGTCCCAGTGCGTGGGGTTATTAGTCGCTGGAGGGAGCCTTGATGAAGAAGGGCGGGCCAAGTCGCCAGAGACCGAGGGAATGAGTGTCGGCGACCAACAATTGGAGGAGAGCCTTTACTGGAGCTGCCTCAAGAGTGAACTGTACGTTTCCAACAGCCGCTTCAGTTGATGTTCTAACTCAAGCATCTGTAGGGAATTGCGAACAGAGCTTGGCCTTCCGGGGTCCATCCTCAATGATATGCAATACTCACACCTCTACCCATCTCCTCCGGGCCCCGGTCAGCTACCAGCTGACAGAATGGGTCCCGAATCCGCGCATTTGGAGAAAGGCTGGTTTTTCTACCTAGCCGAGATCGCCTTGCGTCGCATCATGAATGAGGCCTTATCGGCTCGCTACATGGTCGGTTCTTGGTACTACACCACTTGCTGGTGGGCCACGTCCGGGGTGGATGGGTTCAGGGGCCACGTGGATGAGTTCAGGGCCAAGCTGAATACATGGCAAGAAATGTTGCCCCCAGTGATGCGTTTCCCCCATGACCCACTGGAGAATACCGGGGATGCGCTGCGTGGGATCCTCAGAGGTCACTTCATCGACATCCTCGACGTTCTATACTTCCCGGCTGTCCAGGCAGTTGTTTGCAAGGACGTCAGTGAGCTTAACCCCTATGTTTTGACCACGGCACAGGCAGCTCTACAGACTGCTACGTATCGCATTGCCATCTGTGAGGAGGGCTTCTGGCACCGCCATCAGGGGACATGGCTGATGATTAGGACATGCTCTCGTAGCACGCTGTTGCTGCTTGCTACGGCACTTCGAGCCCAGCAGATGAGTGGCTTGGAAGATCTTCTCCCGAGCGGATGGAGGGCGTCAGTGGGGAGGGTGATCGCGCTTATCGAGTATTGGCAGGACGAGAGTCCAGACTTGGGCATCTTACTGGAGCGCTTGAGAGAACTAGCCGTCAGGGTTGGGTTTGAACCACAGACATTACGTACCTGAGTTTTTTGACTACTTCGATGGATTGACCGATCGGCTAAATGACTCGTGACCCGCGAACTGCTCATCAAGTTTGTGTCATTTCGGGAATGTTGATGGATCGGGGACAGGGGATAGTGTAGTGGGGAGCAGGGGGGCCGCGATACTCCCCGACAGCGATATTCCCCGATGAGACGATTTTCCAAGGTCACGAGCACTGCGAAAAGGTGATCTTGGTGTCAAGGAAGTTGATTAGGCAATAGCCTTAGACTTACCTCAAGATTAATCATCAATTCCCATTTTGTGAATCTCTCAGGCTTGTCTGAACGCCATATATGAGCTCTGCCACCCTCTCTCCCATTTCTCCTAACAGCCAACCCGTCTAAGACTTAACAATCCAGACCAAAGTGCTACCAAGATGACGACTTTTACATCACTCTCCAAGGACCATGAGGGCTCCCCATCGATTTCTTTCAATCCAGAACACACAATAGCAGATATCAATCCCCTCATTTATGGCGGCTTCACCGAGTAAGTATCTTGTACCCCTTGGAGGTTCCGAGCTGACTCTTTAGACATATGGGCCGTTGCATATACGGTGGAATCTATGAGCCAGACAACAATCACGGTCTTTCAGACGAGAATGGACTGCGAACTGATGTTATGGAATGCATCAAGGAACTACAAGTTCCTGTTGTGCGTTACCCTGGGGGCAACTTCTGCGCCACCTACCGCTGGCAAGATGGCATCGGTCCCAGGGACAAACGTCCCAAGAGGCCAGAGCTTGCCTGGGAGGGAACGGAACCCAACACATTCGGCACCGACGAATTTATGGCTTGGTGCAAGGAAGTGAGAGCGGAGCCCTATCTGTGCTTGAACATGGGAACCGGGACTCTCGAAGATGCTCTTGCGTGGGTTGAGTACTGCAACGGTAGCAAGGACACCTACTACGCCAATCTGAGACGGCAAAACGGCCACGAGGAGCCCTACCGTGTCAAGTACTGGGCACTTGGTAATGAGATGTGGGGTCCATGGTGAGTTTCACTATGAAGGTAGTAATTCGAAGTACTTACTCACATGACACAGGCAAGTCGAGCAACACACAAAGGAGGACTACGCCAAGAAGGCTGTACAATGGGCTCGAGGTACGAGCATAGTTCCTGTCTGAGTCTACTCACTAAAGATGGCTAGCTCTTAAACTACTCGACCCCTCCCTTCAATTAATTCTTTGTGGAAAAGATGGATACTCTGACTGGGATCGATATACCCTCCAGCAGTGCGTCCGGTGGGTAGACATGCACTCCATCCATTACTATTCCATGGGCAAGGGGCACTATACCAACATCTCGTCGGTTTACGGCGCTGAGCGAGCCATCCAAGTGTGCTCATCACTCATCGACCTCGCGAGGTGCGAGTTTGACATGTCTCCATACCCAGAAGTCGACCGCATCAACAGCAAGCCCCTGGGGAAGAAGAGGCCCACTATCTGCTTCGACGAGTGGAACGTTTGGGATCCTGAGCGAGCGCCTGGAAATAAGGGAGGTGAGGAGCAGTACAATTTGAGCGATGGCTTGGCTGTGGCCATCTGGCTCAACGTCTTTATTCGCAACTGTAAGGAACTTGGTATGGCCACCATTGCCCAGAGTGTCAACGTCATTGCGCCTCTCATGACAACCCCCCAGGGAGTGTGGAAGCAGACAACATACTTCCCTCTCCTGCTGTTCTCCAAATACATGCGTGGCAAGTCTGTTGCGGTTCATGTTCGGTCAGGAACGTATCAGGGGCCAACATGGCCTGAGTGGATTCAGAGCACTTGCGTAGTGCCCAAGCTTGATGCCAGCGCGACCGTCGATGAAGACGGATGGATGAATGTTGCTGTTGTCAACTCGGATGAGGAGCAGACCCTATCAACTAAACTTGATGGTATCAAGGTTGGCACAAAGGTTCAAGTCTTCACCGTTGGCGGAGAGAGTTACCGTGCCTCTGACGTCAATTCCGCGGACGATGAGAGAATCGGCATCCGCGAGACAACGTGGACTTCTGGAGAATTGTTTCAATTTGAGCGGCTGAGCTTCACCCTTTTGCGATGGAAGCCATGAAAGGCTCACTAGCGCCTGTCGGTGAGACTTGTTAGGTTTCTTGATCCAACGTTGGATAGGCTGATGCATTTCCGTGTTAGGCTACGTAACCAGCTTCATGTATATATTTAGATACCTATATAGAATTTCCGTAAGTAAAAGCCCGGAAACGAGGCTCCATGTTTAAATCGTTCAGGTATCCTTGACCCGTGGCTAAAACTGTGGTATGCCTTCTCCTCTGCAGCCCCCTTGAAACAATATGTCAGGGGCAAGGCATCAGATGCTGACGCACTCTCTATTTTCGTCCAACCAACGGAGCCGTGCACACGCTTGCGCGACTGTGACCCTCGATGCTGACCGCAGCTCGGTGCTACCTTGATTCAATCAATCGACCAGCCAGTCCAACGAAAGAACCTCGGCCAAAACGGCATTGATCTGTCGGAAGGGATTTAGTGTTACAAATCAAAGCAGGGGGCGGCAGGATCGTGCACCATCTCCGATGGGCCACACACTTTATCCTCTTTACAACTATCCTTCAAACCGGCATACCTTGCACTATCGGTCTGGTTGCCGGGCCTTGATGGTAGCGATGATTGACGAGGCTACTCTTCAACCCATCCTCGAAGGTTTATTTCACCGCAGTGGCTTGTGATGCGACACGACAAGGTACAAATCATTGGACCCATTCTTGGCCCCCAACATTGGATGTCTTGTCGTTGTTTGCACTGCCCCTCCAGGAGCCAGGGATGGACCAGGTTTGTTGCGTCATGCTCCCTTAAGCGAGCTTCAGACGGGGCCCGGCCGGGTTGAGTACCCGAGCAGATAAGCCTCCAACCTGTCTACTCCGTATACCGTCCGAGATGATCTGTATCATGTTGATGTCGTCTTGGCTCTCTCGGTTTGCACATTGCTAACTCGCTTTTGGGGTCCAGATGACGCCCCCTGTTTTCAACATTCTTGCTAGGAATGGCCGTTCATGACTATCGCAGTGTCAAATTCGCACCAGAATTGGCCAAAGAAAAGAAATTCGTGCTCAAAATATGCATGAAATTGCTGTCAGAACTTGACTGACAGACCGTTCTCAGAGGCAAGGCTACATTTGATGCCATCTGTCAGCCCGAAGTAGGTCGTGTTCCTAGGAGCGCCGGTAGCTTAGTGACGTTAACCTACACCTTCTAGCAGGACACGAGCTCAATGGTGGGAATAGTCTCGAATTTTGACCTTCAATGGTAGTACGGCAATTGAGGCCATCTGTTTCGTGTTTGCCACAAGGCAACCGTGCTTGATGAAGACGTGGCGGCAGTGCAAGGATTTATCGTGGGAGCGGAATTGCTGTGTGAAGACTTCACTTGATCAGAAACGCCAAAGGAGTCAAGAATAGGTTCGAAAACCTCAAAGTATAAAAACATCAATGACCCAATACATTCACCCCAGCATAATCTGCCAGCGAAGCTACCGGCGCTTTCATGAGAGCTCTCCGACCGTTCGGGAAGAGCTGAAAATGACATGGCGTACATGGAATGGCTGCTCTCGACCCTCAGGTCGGGTGAGAACAACGTTAACAGAATGACTCACTACTAGGCGTCACTAATGGCGATCAACTCGATCGAAGAGGCCGTAAGCGAGCCTGACGCAAACAAAACCCCATATGCATGCATGTTTGACTTCGACAGAGAACGTGACACAGACGAAACTAGCCCTAGACTGTTGGGTGCTAATGCTTGTAGGCGGACAGGCCCTTGGCAATCGTGGCTGGACACAACAAAACAAGGCACGCGCGAATTTTTAAACGATGAGTCTAGTCCCCTCACAAGGCTGCGTCAAAAAGAGTAACAAGTCCGTGTCAGCTGTCCATAAGCAGCAACTCTGCTTACTATTCTCCACCCAGCGTGCCGCCGAGATGCGTTTCTCCACAAGTGATGGATGAATGCCAAAGCCCTCATTGGACCCAGATAACCTGGTCTTCAGCCCCCCATTTGTTCAAGAATGGACTTTGGGCTGCGTGATGGTGGCTTTGTCATACCAGGACTGTGCATGGGGCTAGTTCTCCAATATATTTCTTCTTTTCTACCCCAGCCTCCTCTGTTCGTCCATTATTTGTCCCTTTTTCTTGGGCTGACACCTCAAACCTTTGCAAGTATCGGATCACCATCGCCAAAATGCGTCCCTCAAATGCACTCTACCTTTGGGTAGCCCACTGTCTATACATATCTCCGGCGACTGCAGCCCTCGACCGCACTCGTTCCCAGTTCAAACACTTCTTTCCGACTGTGGAGAAATTCGCCAAACCGCGCTTCCACAAGGCGTGCCCCGAGCAGTTTGCAAACTACTTCAATGAGAGCCTCCCTGACCCAGGTTATGGGCACAAGTACTCGGGCGAGTTGATGGAATGTATCCTGGAGGAATGGGGAGAGCTCAACAAGGCAAACATGGCGGTGACAGCTATCCTGCTGGCACTTCTCCCGTCAGGACTTGTTCAGTTCGGACCCAGCATGGCCGAGATCAGCATCCTGAGCACCCGAAGACCAATCCTCGCGACATTTCTGGGCTTTGGATTGATGTCCCCGAATCCAGCCGAGTTCGATTTCGAAGGCATTCTGCAGAAAGCAGGCAGCGGTTCTGCGCCACTGGCGCCCATAAGGGCCCTCGACGGGAGATATTTCATTGCCAAAGTTCTCGTCTCTCTTGTCGAGTATGTCATCGCCATGGGGTCAACGGGAAACTTCTTCTACCAAGTCTACCGGTTCACATACCACTCCATATCTTTGGCCCCGTTGGTCGTCTATGTCCATGGCATTCCGGAAGCAGCTACACTATTTGGATGGGCCGTCTTGAACCTGCCACTCTACCTACTCAGTTTTGTCGTCTTCGCCCTGGCCTTCCACCGCGCTACACCTCAATCGGGATACAAAAGGAGAAACCGCTTGGTCGAGTTTATCATTGCTGAACTGACTCCATGTGGCCAAGGCCCGAACCTCAGGCTTCAACAACGGGGGACACGAGAAACTCTGCGGCGTCTTCTTGGAGCTCTCACTCGACTCATTGCCGGCCTTCACATCATCCTCGGCACTGTCCTTATTGGCAGCATCGTTCTGATACCACTGGGTGACTCTCTTCCAGTAATCTACAGCTTTGTATTCGCGGCTATACTTACTCGGGCTGTGTTGAGCTACGAAATCAGTTGCCTGGCGAGGAGGACGGAAATCGAACCGGCGCATGATCTAGGCTCAGACCAAGTCGTGCATGAGACGCATTCTCTGGGACCGAAACAGTATGAGGGGTTGAGCCAGGAGGATTGAACGAGTAATGTCTTGAGATCGTTGCGGGAAACAGGAGGTATGGGCTGTATTAGGGCCGGCCGGGAAACGTCAGGGTCTGATCCTGCCGGTATTTCCATTGAGCGTGGGTTCAGCTATCCTGCAGTTACCCTGATACAAGATGAGTGGAAGCGCTATGAGGGTAGTAGACTAAGGTAGTTAGCGCGTTATTTGATCTGGCCTTTTTATGAGAGTCGATAGCGAGCTCTCTTTCAACCCATGTGGGCGGTATGGTACAAAGGGACAAGACAAGTATTGGTATCAGTTGCTAAGTAATGGCATGAACCACGCAATAACAACGATCGAATTATAGATGGATCATAGGGCGTCCGGGAAAGAGGTGATGAACGGGTCCTTTTGGTGTTAACATTTACCAATAGGACGTGTATAGTTGAAAAAGTAGTCTTAGGTTCAAGTGACTCGGTGGGGTTCTGTTTAGTTGAATGGAATGACCGAGAATGGCCACGTGATGCGCTGGAGTTGAATCTTGCCCTTTAAGTTGGCTTGAAGTGACAAGTCTTTGGGGCTGTCAGTTTCCATTATAGCGGCATATCCGGCTCAGTTTTGGCGTGTTGCCGGCTTAATTGAATGCTTACGTGGTCATGAAATCTTCTGGTGCTTGTGTAGGGATCACGATACCACCTTGTCATGGAGCACAGCCTCATGAACACCATCTCTTAACGGTCTGTCAGATCCCTCCTAAACTCTAACCTTCTCTTTCATCTATACATGGTTGACTTAAAAACATGGATGCCCAGGGCCCTCACACAAGCTTATATATATAAGCTTGGTTACTCTCGAGCCAATGAAACCAGAGATTTGTCTGTTACGACTCCTGCTCGGCAACAGTGATGATCCGGTCAAGGCCGATTTCTTCCGAGAATCCCTCGACAACAGCCCGGATTTCAGCGTTCTTTCATACTCTTGAGGACCGGAAAGCGATAAGGGCCCCATCACCGTCCAGGGTATGGCCGTGATGACCACTCGGAACCTTCTCCAGTGCCTTCTGAACCTGAGATCTAATACAACCCCGCTTGTCATCTGGATCAACGCCATCTGCATCAACCAGTCTTCTAATGAGGAAAGAACACGCAAGTACCACCGATGGGAGACATCTATAAGGCGGCAAGGGAAAAGTTTGTGTAGCTGGGGGAAATAATGACTGACCTGGACTTGATCGTCTCATATATTCGGTTTATCGCGGCCCAAGGCCAAGGGGGATCATTACGAGCTAATAGGGGAGTGCTACGTCGAGGGTATTATGTACGGGGTGATGATGACCGCCTTGCAGAAGGATTCGAGCGTTGAGGGTGAAACATTCCGCATTCGTTAATCTAAACCACACCCTGCTGCCTAGGCCAGGATTGGTGATTCCAACCAGCCACAGATCTCATATGGAATTGGGTTCGCTAGCTACGGACCAACCGATCTTTCAACAGCAAGATGTTCAACACCCATACGTTCCAAGCTTCAACAGCTGTCTCTCCCAATGTCAATACCAAATCGCTTCTCGCTTTGACCTGCTTTCAAACTCACGCTGCTCAAAGCATTCCCCGAGGAACTTGAGTCATATACCTCTGCTGAGGCCTCATTTTCACCTTGCGTATCGCGATGCCACCATCCCAGGCTAAACACCCACCCATCAAATGCTTGCCTCAGCTGGCTTTCGCTCATATGCTCTGCATTCTGAGGGATGACCCCGAGTTCCCTGTCACATAATTGCGAGTGGGCCAGTAGAGTCATTATGCTTCCAATACTACATGGATCCCTTGGCAAAGTTCCACGTATCTTGACTAGAAGAAAGCCTAGAAGACTAAGCCCGGTCATGGCGGCAAAGAGAACCTGAAGGATAAGTTTCGAGGTACCGTCGATGACAAGGTGTGTCACCTCCGCCGTGTACGAGCCAATCGTCATTGTGTCAGATGATGTTGTCGAATTGCCATCTGTGGCACTCAACAAGTTGGTTCGAGAGGTTGTGTTGCTTGCTCGAAGATTGCGGTCGATGATGTGCCTCATGTACTCGCAGTAGTCCCCCGTAACGGCTCTAATCAACTTGTTGGCATTATTGGGACCGAGGAGGTCTTCTCGCGAGTATCCATCAGGGCGCATGACTAGTTGGTTGAAAAAGTTGTCGTATTGGTACTCTGGGTCGTTTCTGGCGAAGTTGAGGAACGTTGATCCTATGAATTCCTGGAGTTTATGGCCCAGAGTATGGGAACCGCTGGTCTTGTTCTCGAAAGCTTGTGGCTGGCCTCGCAACTGAAGGCTACTGATTTTTCCAAGGGCCGGATCGCCTTGGTACTTGATGGTCACCGGAACTTGGTTGATCCCCTGGCTACATAATAGACCTGTCAGATTCCTCCCATCAGTCTGGGTGTTGTTGACGAGACCGAAGAACATGCCGATCGACGGACAGTTATTGTTGACTAGACCAGCGGTCGAGTTGTTAAGGTCGATGTACTGTCCGACCCATATCCTGTTCTGGGTTTCATATGTGTTACTGAACCTGAAGTCCGCGAAGCTGTTGTTTGGTGGTGTGAAAGAGCATTTTGGCTTGATCCCTGGAGGATTCACCATAACCATCGTCCCTGGTATCGGAACAAACTGGCCCATTCTACCGCGTTCTACCTGGTAGTTCCAAGAAGGCGCGGAAATGGCTCTTTGCGGTAGCACGGTGCAGTTGAGGACCGGCTGAAGAGCAAGCACATCAAAGGTACTACTGACTTGACGATAAGCCTCGTATGTTCCATTGGGTGCGAGAGAGACCCGAGGTACTACAAGATCTTCCCAGATTGTAGCGGGTGTGACAGCACCGCATTCCGAATCAAGTTCAGCCCAATTCCTGCACCGCCATCGTCAGCTGGATCGGCCAACCAAGCCATATCCCAATTGCCAACAGAGGCTGTTGTGGGTTGGTCGACAACACGAGAGTCCATAGGCACCCAAAGACCAGACACGATGATTGTCAAAACCCCAGCGATAAGAGTTGCAGCATTGGATGCCGTCGCCCCAAATTGGCCATGCTGAAGTGTTTTGAATAGAACTAGGAAGGGATTTACCGAGAGCAGATGAAATAGAATACTGCGTTCTGCTGAGACACTTCCTGATCGAAGGCTCGAGTAGGGTGCAAAAGTAACAATGGTGAAGTCGAGATTATTGATCATCGTGGCCAGACCAAAGACCACCAAGGTAGATACGAGCCGGATGATGTACGATGAGGCGACGGAGTCTTTGGCACCGACTGCTAAGAGATGATCCTTGTCTCTCATAAATCGGTGTAGAAACCCGATAATCCCGATCAGAACAAACGGTGCAGTAAAGGTGATTCCAATGACTGGTAGACGAACAGCGAGGGGAAGCCAGCGGTGTTTCTTCAACTTGGCCTTTGGCTGCGGGCAGGATGGAGGACTGAAGGATGCAGATGCCGTATCAATACGGAGCCGCAAGCATCCAGATTGGTTCTTGACAGCGGAAAACTCTAATCCTGAGAGTTTTTTGTTCAACTCAGACTCAGACAGATGCCCAGTACCAGCCAGGGCAGCCTGTACGTCCGGACTGTTGGCGAGTATAGCCGCATGGCCGGTGATAGAGGCCGAAATGACAGGGATCCGGGAAACAGGACGAGCCAACCAAAACAATAGCAGGCAAATTATGGCCAATAGACAAAAACATCCTGCCATGATCCAGACTGCCAGGCGCCTCATATACAGTCGATTCTCAGTCTTCATACCCCCAACGTTAGCCACTCGCGCTTTTGGGATAAGGAGTGATTGCCGGGCAAACTCTCTAGCGACGCCCTCCAAGACTGAGATGCTGGCATTCTTAAGAGTTGCTCTTTCGTAGAGGATCTCTAGATTGGTTGGTTGCCCCAGCTGTGTATACATGAGCTGAAAAAGCACAGCCTCAGCCCCAGGTACGGGTCCTCTTGCGGGATCGGCTGCTGCTTTGAGAGTAGGAACCTTGTCCACAACCACGAGAGAATTAGCGGGTAGCTCTAGAGTGTTCCATAGGACCTCGGCAAATGCATTGCTGGAAAGATTTCGAAGTGTCGTCATCTTCTTCCCTGTAGGAATAAGACTGACTGAGCCCGTCATTACGTCAAGGACCCAATCTTGCATATGATGCATCCGTACTCTAACAAGTCAAGGGCAGTGAGGTAGGGTTCCCTCATGACAAAGAGCGTAGTTGAGATAAGAATAACCAATTTGAGGAGGAAAAACGCAGCGATCGTCGAGGCAACGGAGTAATGGCGGTGCTTCAGAGCTTTCGTGATGCTTACGGCTTGAAACGGGGTGGTGTAGTCGAGCAGAATTGACTTGGAAGATGGAGACGGTCCAGCAAACAGCTCACACCATGGCTGGATCGCTTTGAAGTGGTAATCGACACGCCTCCAGAGACTGAGAATAACGATGAGGATCGCAGTTGGGCCGTAGGTCCACGAGTATGAGCTGGTAGAGATGGTGAGTGGTAGGCCATTTCGAGAAGTGACGACTCGGTCCAGAACGACAAGGGCGATGATGCAGGCCATGAATGTGAAGAAGAAGAGGAAGAGGGCAACTTTGGACAACCAGAATGGCTGTCAAAATGCCCTGGTCGCGGTGCTGCGTCGAAATTGACTCTCTTCTGCAGCTTCAGTCTGCACCATCAACGATGTGGCCGCGGGGGGGAGGGGGGGTCGGCATTATGGCGAGAGGCTGGTGGATTCTTCATCCAATACAACCACGTTCGAATAAGGTTGAACCCTCGTTGAACTAGTCAAGATAAACTTAAATTGCAGCTGGGTAACGGCTTTTGTGGCATAATTCTTGCGGGATTTCCTCTCATGCAGGGCTACACTCGAAGTAGTTTCCCATGTGGTATTCGTTAATCGGTTCCAGGTCATCTGCTCCAAAGACCAACACACAAAGCTAATGCAGTCGGAACCTGAAGGTCTTGGCAGCATGGGCTGTACTGGGAGATCGGCGATCGTTCTCCCTCTTTTTCTTTCACTTGGCCGTGTATTGAAGCGAGAGACGTTCATCAAGTCCCGTATATTCCCTCTAGGTGGATACACATGCTACGCTTGACATTATAATTGATATAGTACATAAAAGCCTACCTAAATCTATGGTGTTTCCTGTCCTTCTCCCAGGCCAGCTGCGAGACACACACCTTCGTTTAGAACAACATTTCAAGTGATGGCTTCAGCAGGCTACCGTCCAGTACAAATGTATCGTTGGTGGACCGTTGCCGTCACAGTCAACAGCTTAAACATGGAACCTCTTCGCAATGCATCCCTTTTTGGGCCGGCTAGTAGCGACGGCAATGCTTGTGGTGGTCGATAGCAGGGGACTGGCCGTGACTGTCGACTCAGTCACGTATGGTGAAGACGTAGTTGTACCCTCGGTAGCCGCCGCTTGGAGTGTGGAACTTGGCAAAGTGCTGACGGTAGAAAAGGTGGTGGACAACGGCTGGGAGTTTCCAGCAGTCGACACAGAAGCGGTAGCTGTGGGGATTGAAGTCTCAGTTGATGACTTTGGAGGGTCGACATCAGCCTCGTCCAGGTGATGAAGCAGTGATCCCCATCCAAGTCCATCGTAATGTCCCGAACCTTCACCCCACGATCCGGCCCCTCCTTCGTACCCGCCAAAGAACTCCAAGGACTTGTTGAGATAGGCAGTCGTCCAAGGCGCATCAAGACCTTTGATCTGTACGTAATGAGTGTGGAGCAACTCCCACGTAGGTCGCACAGCGCCACGAGACTTCTCGCTGATCTCGGTGAACGAGACAATGCCATTCGTATAGGGCTCGAAGGGGACATCGTTTCCAAGATTATACCTGGCAAAGTACTCGGCACTTTTACGCAGGTAAGCTTATGAGTCCAACAATATTCATGGTAAGGAAGTACAAAGATAATACGTACCCAAGGAGGATTCGGCTGTTGTTGTAGGCAAAGAGGTCTTCGCCCTGGTTCCAAGCCTGCTGTCCAATGGCTCCTAGAAGTTGAAAGACGAGGGCTGAATGGCCTTGATCACGGCCAGCTTCTTGTCCCTGGCCCAGAACCGTGCCGGTGCCCGGCTCACTAACAAGGTTTGTGATGGCATTGTTGATGGCTCCGTTGCCCTCGCCATGCTTGAAGTAGTTGATAGCAAAGTCCCAGGCAGTCTGGTTGTCCGTAAGAACGCCAATGGCAAGCGCAGAGGCAATGTTGGATAGCTCCCAGTTGGCAAAGAAGTGCTTGACATTGTGTTGAGATCCCAGGACATGGTTCAAGAAGTCGATGTTCATCGGCAGGAAAATATCGTTCATCATCGAGATGACACGGTCAAGTCCATTGTCAGCGAATGGCTTGTAATCTCGCAGCAACTCAGCAGCGTTGGCCAACTCGTAGCCTTGCAATCCAGCAGTGAGATACGCATCATCTCCACCGCCTTTCAAAGTCCGTAGTTTGTCTGCCCATGCAACAAGGACATCCGCTCCGGTCTTGGCAAACTGCTCATCTCCGGTGATCTTCCAGCGCAAGCCGAGATTGAAAGCAGCTGCGGCATCGTGCCACAAAGCTTCGCCATTCTCGCTACGATAGAGTTCAGCGGTAGCGTGATCTTTGTAGTCGGAGGCAGAGAAAGGAATGCTCGTCAACTTGTCCCAAGAGCTGACCCAGGGCTCCTTCTTGGCAGCAAGCTTGGTTTTGACACGATCAATGTCGGACTCGGTTACGAGCAGGCCGGGGTGAGTAAAGGCAAAAGTGAAAGAAAGAAAACAAAGAAATACAAAAGCGTAGGCGTTCGCCATGGTGAAAGAAGAAAATTCAAAATGAATGGCTAGAAGACTTGGCTTCAGAGGTCGGATAAAGGAATGTCTGGCGAAATGCTTGTCCAAGAAACAACAGTAGCAGAATTTTCAGGACTTCACATCCCTTTAAAGCCTGAGCCGAGCCTCGTAGCCGCCGTGGTCCATCAATCTGCGACCAGTGTGGGGGGCCCTGTCATATACCCCTTGTTAACCCTGTAATACAACCTGCGACAAAGCTAGCGATCAAACATGCGAGGGTAAAAAGCTAAAGTGATGTGATCAAAGATTCCAGGCTCTTAGAATGCCGACCCAGCCGCGTTTGAGTGACAGATGACAGCTTCGTCCAGACCCACACTTACGCCGATCGTTTGATGCTTCGCGGTGGCCAGTGGGAGGTATCAAGAACGGCGTATTGAATACGAGAATGCTCAGTGTTGGTGCCTTGCAGCATTGCAAACTACATTTATTGCTCCCTTCTTGCTATTGATTGTATTATATTGAAGAAAGGGGAGTTAACGGCAGTGAAATCCAAAACCTGTTTGCAGAGTTGATCCTCTGTAATCCCCCACCCCTTGACTATGGTGAGATTTGGCTCCAAGATTGCTAATCAGGCGGCAGATGCAAGTCTTCTCTTTGTCAGCATCAAACCTTTTGAACACCTTGTTGCTGCGAGTTATCTATGTCGACGTATGGGTGAGTTGACCGCCCACGTGTGATGGCAGGGAGACATTGTTGACTGCGCGTGGTGGAGACATCAAAAAAGCGACCAACAACCCGAGCAGGTAATCATCGATAAGCAAGGATTAAGCGCTACTCATGAAGCTTCGTAATTTCTTTCAGTTCCCGTCGTCCAGAACCAGAGCCTCGATGATCCAAAAATCATGCCATGACAGACGTTGGAATGTCCCAACAAAAGATTAAGTATCAAAGATCACCAAACAAACGGCACCATTCCGCCGGAGTGAACTGCAACTACAAGGGGCGAATTCGTCATTCTCAAAACGTAACCGGGAGTGGAGATTTTGCAGAGATGTTGAGTGAGTTCCCTCCAACAGACGAAAGCTCTCGTTACCACAAATGCCATTCCACTTGATCCAGCACCGATGGCCTGGAGTCATTTAGGGGTTACGCTTCTGTATGCAGTCTGAACTTTTGTCTTGACTCTCATTGTGAGGAGAAACTCTTGTGCTCTTTTCATGTTTCGAAGGTCATGAATGACGTGGACAACTCCCGGATACATGCCCGAGGGTTTGTCCGCAGACAGGGATCAGTCTCATCACGCCCAAACTAACGTTGAAGCACGGACCTCATCTCGGAGAGAATTTCCAGATGTTAAATTAAACGACGGGGAGATTTGCCGTCGCCAGCTTGGAATGGACGTTAGACAAGGAAGCTAAGCTAGGATTCGTGAATGATAATACGACATTGTCAAGCCTACGCACGCGGCGGCTGTTTAAGCGTTACCTTTGTGGACACAGCAACCTACCCTGCATCCGTGACTTGTTCTCCTAAGCTGACACTGGTGAATCCATCTTCTTGAACCTTCAGGACCGGTTTGTTAGCGACCATCTTGTCCCACAATGTACTTCTCTTCTTTCGCTCCTCTTGGTCAATCCGCCTTAAGAACTACTCGGCAGTGCGAATTCTCCCGGGAAAGATCCTATCCAGCAGATCGTAGTCCCTCTGGATGACGCCTTTGTTGTAACCAGACGCCCTCCAAATGTTCCACCATCCGGTAAAATTCTGCTTAATGATCATATTGGCGCTGTCACTTGCATCAGCCGCGACGCCAATCGGTCTGTCCGCAGTTTCGGCCAGGGATTCTTCCCTCCAGTATGTCTCGGAATCCACATCGATAAAACGTGCCTTTCGTCCGGTGACTCGTTCGAATGCCTTGGCAAGATCGTCGTAATGCACGTGCTCGATAGCCACTTCCAGGTCTCGGCCGTCCGCCTCTTGAGGGTTTTCAAACAACCATCGCACGTAGTAGCCACAATCATCCAGCGCAACATGAACGACTGCTCCATCATGTGTAAGAGGGACCTGCTAGGTGAGGACATCCTCACCCGTGACTTCGTCAACTTCGACCTTTGGTACGGCTGGCCCAGCAGAAGAAATCGCCATGTCGAGATATACACCTGTGGTGAACAGGGATACCTTGATGTCGTAGCCCGCTAGGGATTTCTGGTAATCTTACAAGAAGGTCCGGAAATCCAACTGCACCCATCTCGTTCCAGCATCCAGCCTTCCGAACGCCAAGCTTCAGGGGTTCAAGTTGGTGAATTCAGGCAGCGTATCAGCCAGAACATTGGCCCGTCGGCCTCCGTCACCTTTCAACCTCCATCCACGGGTCAATACAGCACCTTTAGCCTACAGACTGCGTATCTGACAATTCAGTACGCGTGTCACATCTTGTCAGCCACAACAAGCCCGGCAAATGATGCACTATATCGTGTCTTTGGCTCTCGCTTGCGAATTTACACGAGGGAAGACATCCTTCTCAACACACGGTGGCATCTTGGGCCCGGCTACTCGCATCTAGACTGTCTCGCTACCGCAACCCTTACCGAGCCCGTTTTCATCAACACAGATATAGAACTAGAGGACCAGCAACTATACAATTCGGATCAAATTGCTAGAGTTCTACGGCAAAGAACTCGTGGGATTATAGGAGGCGACTGCCTGGATGTTATAGTAACCAATGGTATGTCAAGGACGAGCAGCAATTCAGGACACACTCCTGCGATGCAACGGCAGAACATAAACTACGCAGACTCGGAGGCTAGGACGATTATTCGGGTTTCAAAACTTGGACTTTTGCATAATACTTCAAGAAGTGGCATTTGTTATGGCTCTGGTCCAGCCTTCCTGAGAGCAGATGTTAAGAAGGCCATATGGGATTCCGTATTACCTGGGAGCTGCTTAGCTTAGGTTAATAATAGGACTACTATCACTATCGAAGGATCGCACTGAAGCCAGATATGTTCAAATAAAACGCGATACCATGCCCCTTGGTTGACGGCGACACCATGGATGAACAACCTGAGCGTGTGAGAATGCACAAGTCCGTGAATACTGGTAGAATAGACTCCTAAGCACGGACTGCAGCAACCAGACCTGTTTATTAACGCACAAAGGGCATCTTAAGCGAGCAGGACATACTAGATACCGAATCCTTGGGCCCGTCAGACATGAAATGCAAAATTGTTGGCATGCGACTTGAACAAATCAGGAACGAACCGTCCATATACTCCTTCCAGCGCATCACCCCCAAAAATGTCAGAAAGCACTTCCTCGGCCTCTTCCAGGAGCATAGGGAGGTTGCTTAAGAAGCCTAGTGCAAGCTTAAGCCAGTCTTTGACGCCAGAGAGCTTCTGGCGGGTTGTCTGCATGAGATCCATGTCAACCAAATTTGCCGACTTGATAATGGACCGGGTTGAGACTACTTACCTCAAGACGCGTCAACATAACGCTTCTTTTCATTGTTGTCTCATCATCTTGCGGATGATCCGACTCCTGAACAGCACTGCAAGCAAGGACGGCAATGTCATGGAGTTTACGACATCCACCCAGCAGTCTGTCAACATCACAGCCGTCGTCACCAAGACGTTCTAAAACGCCAACAAAGTCTCCTATTCTGTCAACATCATCTTGTGCCGTCTCAGAGCCAGGATCTTCAAGTACCGCCAGCAATAGCATGAATACGGCCGAAAGGGGATAGCATAAAGTTCCCCTTTGTGACATCTAATGTTAGTAAAGGGCCAGAACTTTCTGTTGAAGAACAGTGTGGCAGAACTTACCACATCTGGTAGAAGGGCTGCGATACCAAGTTGCGTGCAATATGTATTATGTCGCGGGCAGATGCAGCACACGCATCCCGGCCCATTTGTGCTATGGGCTCTATTTGAGGTACTGTGGAAGCCCTTATAGAGTCATCCAGAGCCCTGAGATGGACGAGCGCCATGTGCACTCTGCTCACAGAGTTATGAAAGTTATATAGCAAAAGGGCCATGCCTGTATCCAAGTCTGGCCCATGTTGGTGGACTTCCATCGACATGTCCTCTGGTAAGCCTCTTTTCCACGACAGGAGCTGTTCATTTATCGAGCAAACAATCCTTAGAGTCTCTTCCCTGTCAAGGAAGACAGATGCTTCCGGATGAAGTTGGTCATGGATCCTTCTCTGGATGATGGCAAGCTCGGATCTCCACCGAAGCAGGGGCGAACATTTGCAGGCCTGTATCGCCGCACAAGATGATGATGAACACCTCAGAGGTAATTCTAAGGGTGCTTCTCCATAAGCGAGGCCGGAACCACATCCGTACTTATCCATCATCTCGATCTCGAGGACGTAGGTGGCCCAGAAAACCCGTTGATGTCTCCGGGCAGTATGAACATCGAGAGAGCTGTAAAAGCCCCTACGATGTAGACCAAGTGTTTGAACCAGACGACTTGCCGCGGCTGTCAGCTGCAAGGTCATCTGCGTGTCGGCAGTGCATTGCGTGAAGGCAGTCATGGCAAGCAATGCTTCGCATGCCGACACGTCTCTGCCACGCGTGATAAGCTCAGGGAACATTGAAAATGCGTTCTTAAAGTAACTCCACGCAGTCCGAGATGCGGACGCGAGGGATTCATTAGTCGTCTTGTGCAGCATCGCAGTGGCGAAGAGTGAGTTCAGGATGGCCCATCGAGATGAATCATCGACACAGCTGTCGGTGCCTGCCAGGTATTGCTGGTCCAGTCGCTGTATGAACGATTCGCGAGTGATGATGACGCCGTGCAGTTGAAGCTCTTCAAGAATGGTCTCTATAAGGCTGGCCAACAGCAGATGCATAGGCAGTTTAGCAAAGACCCTGCTGCGGTAGGGGCCTTGGTCTTCGTGCGCACGCATCCACTGGCGTCCCTCCCCAACTTTCTGGGCGAACTCTCCGAGCTTCGATGTTATGATTCGCGCAAGTGGTGGGTAATCTTCTTCTTGAGTGTACTCTGTCAGTGGTGGAAGATCATGTATGGTTTCCATCTCATCGTCGTCAAGGAACTCGGCCTCATCGTCGCTACTTGTTCCAACAGATGCTTGGTTGCGTTGGTTTTGATTCGAAATCGAGCTGTCTCTGCTCCGAGGATCGCCAGTATCAGTCGGGGAATCGAGGTCGGGATCGTCATCTTCAGCCAAGTCCTCTCTCGATAGGGAATCCGAAACAGGGCCAGGGAGCCGGCGCAGAGCAGACTCTAATTTCGCCAGCCGCGTTTCAAGGTGTTCCACATATTTCTTCCTGATGTCGGTTAGATTTCAGGCTTGAGTTACCACCTGATTCCTCTCAGATCTATGCTCACTTTTTCCCAGGACCTCTGGGTCTTTTTTCGGTGTAGTGGCAAGAGACTTCCCATCTTGCGCAATTACAGCACAACGGCCTCCCTCCATCGCATCGTTTCTTTCGCCTGTGGCATTCATTACAAGCCTAGTGCCATGCATGAGTGTTTCTGTTTTGTCGCCGCCAGGGCATATTCGTAAGCTGACACTTACACGGCTTGTCCGAACCCCGAGCTGCTCGGCCATTGGGAATTCAGAATATCGGGATCGGCCTTTACTGGCGGGCCGACATTCGAAGCGAGGTATGAAGTAATGTAAGTTGGTCAGAAAATGGGAGCGGAAGCAGAATTGCGGTGGACTTTATTGTGGTACAAAAACATCCGCCGTGGCGGCATTATTTTACATCCGCTCTTCTGACAAAGCACACATGTGACCACATTAGCGATGTGGGTGGGCTAGACAGATTGGTCATGGTCGGAGGCAATTGCATCCGCCGCTGAATGCGCATTACGAAACACAATCAACTGACAGATGTCGTGATTTGGGCAGTATAAATATCAATAGCAAGTTAGCCAGTAGCCAAAAGAATAAATCGTCTCACTCATCGCAAAACACACATCAAAGCATCACCCCCATCACTATCAACCACCCATCATGACCACCTTCCAGAAGATTACACTAATTGGCGTAAGGGACCAGCCCAGTCCCAGAGGAGGACATGACTGACAATCCGCAGAAAGGCCTATTCGGTTCTGTCGTCCTTTCTGAACTTGCGAGCGCAGGATTCGAAGTGACCCTCCTCAGCCGCTCGGAAAAGCCCGACGAAGTCCTTCCAGGCGGCGTTCGCCGTGTCGTTGTAGACTACAACGATAGAGAAAGCTTGGCCAAGACCTTGAGCGGCCAAGATGCTGTCGTTTCCACGATCACCACCCAGGCAGCTCTTAGCCAGAAGTTGATCATCGACGCTGCAATCCAAGCCCGTGTCAAACGTTTCATCCCCTCCGACTTTGGCAGCCTCACCACGAACCCTGATGCGAGTCATTTCCCTCACCACGTCAACTTCGTCGAGATCCAGAAGTACCTCAAGTCCAAGTCGGATGAGATTGAGTACACCATTTTTAGCGTCGGTGCCTTTACCGAATTTCTCGTCAATTACAGCCTCGTCTTTGATTGGAAGAGTAAGACAGCTGAGGTCTGGGGAGATGGGACAAGCCCTATCAGCACTACAAGCCTAGGCGGTGCAGCACGAGCCATTGTCGGCGCCCTCAAGAATCCGGAACCGACCAAGAATAAGAACCTCTTCGTTCATGAGCATGTCGTCACACAGGCACAGCTATTGAGCCTCGCAAAGAAGTACTCGCTGGGAGTTGAATGGGACGTCACCACCGTTGAGGACCCTGCGGCTGAATTCGACAGGCTTGAAGCTCTTGCCAACAAGGAGCCCGAAATGCCAAACATTCTTGCCCTTCTCAAGGCCTCCCTCGTGAGTGGAAAGTACCAGGGCTGGTACAAGGACGTGGACAATGACCTGGTTGGCGTGCCGGTGCTGACTGAGGAGGATCTGGAGGCTACATTCGCCAAGGCTTACGGGTCTTAAGATAGGGGCACATTCTTACATTCTATCCAACTTTGATTAGACTTTCATAGTGTCAGGGGGGTTGGTTTCGAGATCCAATGCCCTATAAATGGGACTTGCAAACTCTGGGCTCGATGATCCCGCAATGGAAATAACTACCACCTCCTTCGAGGCTGCTTTCACTGATGTCTTCACATACACATACCTCCCGGGCCAGCTACCCTCTCTCTTTCTTCATTCTCTTCTCCAAGGCGTTCCATTCATTTGGGCCTACAAGTTGAATTGCCATAGCTACAGTCATCTACATTGGTCAAAAAGTACGAATGCCCTCGTATGTTGGAAGGCAAACGCTCGCATAACACCTGCTCTATTTGAGTAATGAATGCATGTCGCTGTGAATTCTGTTAGACGTCCACTATGGCAAGCCTGGGTCTATGATGCCTTATCTCAAGAACATCGGTTCAGGACACATGAAAACTGGCCACTCACGCCACTCTGGTTGGACCTTACAAGATTGGAATTTAACTATTCTTACTAGAGAACCCTACCGAACCGACTTTACGGCAAGCCCAGAACTTCTTTGAGTACCCGAAGAGCACCAAATAGCTCATTGTCATGATACTTGCGCGCAACTATCTGCAGGTTGATTGGCGCTCCGTCAAAGTTTGAGCTCTCCCACAACTCCTTGACATGTCGACAAGCGTCACTCAACGGCACATAATCCGCATCATACTTATCTCCAGCTTCCGACTTGATGTGAGTTGGAAATACCACTCCCGGATAGTCAACGAGGTTGTAGAGCGAAGTGTAGTTCCAGTAGAATGCTGTGTCGTGGGCAGAAGCAGGTCCAACAAAGGCAGGACCGAGAACCACGTCAACGTCCTGCTCGTTCCAGCTCTCGGCGAACGCCCAACGGAACTCATCTCTCTCTCGGCGCATCTTACTGAGGTCCTCAGCTGTCTTCATGCCTTGAGCTTCTGCGTCTTTCCAGATCCACTCTGTCAAGGGAAGGATTGGTTCGCCTGTGGCAAGAATGGCGTCTTTGGCAAGCTTTCCACCCTCGGGCCAGTACATCCTCTTGACCTTGGACCAGGCGTCTTCTGAGCCCAACACCTTAAAGTCCTTCACCTCGAGGATGCCCTTGTGCTTTGGGTCTGATAGAAGACCCTTTGCCCAGGACAAGGCTTTCTTGACTGGTGGTTGAGGGTCCACGAAACCGTCATTGCTGATGAAGCCAATCTTCAGCGGCCGGCCGAGAGGTGTGTTCAGGCCTGTCCATGGAAGGGGAACGAGTCTTGGATCCTTAAGATGTGGTTTAGCAGAGAGGACAGACTTCATGAAGAAGTCCATGTCCGTCAAGCTGCGACACATAGGTCCCGTGGATGCCAAGATTGTCAGCTCAGCTGGAAATGGGCTTGCATCGAAACCCCTCATTGGCAAGGTATACGATGTAGTCTTGAATCCATAGATGCCGCAAAAGGCTGCAGGTCCACGGATACTGCCACCGATGTCTGTGCCGACACCAAGAACGGAGCCCTTCATGGCGATCAGAGCCGCCTCACCACCGGTTGATCCGCCGGCAGAGAGGTGGATGTTGAAGGGGTTCAGGGTCCGGCCCCAGAGGGAGTCGCTTTCCAGATGCATGATGGTCTGGGGCTGGTTCGTCTTGCAGTAAAACACAGCTCCAAGCTTCCGCAGAATCGCGACCATGTCGCTATCTCTGTCGTCCAGGACAAGGCTTTGGAGGCAGCCCTGGGAAGAGAGAGTGCCAGCAATGGGCATGTGCTCTTTGATGCTGATGGGAAGGCCATGGAGAGGTCCAATAGGCTTGCCATGCTCGGCTAGATACTGGTCTAGCAGCTTCGCTTGGGCGACAGCCTCATCCATGAACCACTGCGTCAAGCAGCAGGTGAGCTGGTGCGCAATGATGGCCCGCTTGGAAAAGGCCTTGGCCACAGCGACCGCGGTGAACTTGCGACTGGCAATAGCCGCAGCAAGGCTCACAGCATCATAGTCCTCGGTGATGTGGATCTCTTCATCCGTCAAGATCCCGCAGCTTGACGGTATGCCAGAGACATCACTTGGAGGGTTGCTGATGAGCTCTGGAGGGAGGTAATAGTCAAACGGGACTTTGATCTTGAGGTCTCGAAGCAAAGCTTCCCTCCTGGCTTCGAAAGCTGGAGTTCCACGAGGGACGGGCTTTGGCTCGACCACTGGCAGAAGCGTGGCCTCCCTTACGGTAGTCTCAGCCTGATGTTTGGCATCGACGACCGACAGGTCTTTGGAGGTAGCCTCCAGGTGAAAGATGGGTGAAGAAGTAACGACACTCATGATAAGGATGGCGGTGGCTGCTATCAAGGGAGAGATAAGAAGGTAACGACTTGAAGTGCGGAAAGACAAGATTACCGGGTTGACGCTCTGCCATTTATCAGTGAATTTGGATGCTTAGATATCATGTTACTCCTGTGGCCAACTCCAACCTGCCGACGTAGCACATACACTCTCGTACGCCACGACTATCTACAACCTTCAACTCGTCCATTGATTTCCGACCATGAAACCGCCCGTATCAGGGTTCCCCTCATGCGCAAATACGTCCTATTGGCTCAGCTCAGACCCCAGTCCGTTCCTCACGCCCGCCCGCGAAAACGCGTCTTCGCCACGTTTGTCTTAGTCGCTGATACGGGTAGACAATCCCTACAACGCTGTGGATCTGACCATTGACGTGTATTTGCGCGACCCACCCTTACACGGCTTTGGATAAGGTGTGTGCCACAGCAAGCTGGGTGGGTGTGCTGGTGAGGTCAATGTCCGACGCCATTCGCAGGTGAGGTTGTGTCTCGCTTCAATCCCAACTATTGTATCCTTGTATTGTAGGATCAAAGGTCGATCACTATAAAGTAGGTAAGCGTTCTGCCATGAAGGATACGATCTGGATTCTTCAAGTTCAGCATCATCCAGCTTAACATCACATTCCTCACATTTCTTCCAACATGGCTGAGCCACGAACTCCACCCGGCACTGTCCACCTCGTGGACTTGAACCACGATATGCACGCTCGCCATCTGGGCGGTGCTAGCGATATTGTCCTGAACCCGACGCCTTCCCCTGACCCCAATGATCCTCTCAATTGGGCTCCTCGTCGCAAGCTGCTCGCCTTGATCTGCCAGAACCTGTAGGTCAACGTTATCAGTTATTAGAGTAGTATTGTCGCTAACCATCATCAAGTTACACCTGGTTCTGCGGAATTGCGGTATCTACTGTTTATTCCGTCCTTGTGCCCCTTTCAACGGCATCCGGTGTGTCCATCTCGACCCTCAATGAGGGAACCGGCTACATGTTTCTACTCTTGGGCTGGGGTCTCTTGTTTTGGCAGCCTTTCTCGCTGCGATACGGCAAGAGATTAACATATCTCATTTCGATCCTCGGTGCCATCGTAAGTAGTGCTTTCTATCATCGTTGATCACGTTGGGGCTAACCAGTGAGCTTAGGGTACCTGCATCTGGAGGTAGTTCCACCTGAACCAAGCTTACATATCTAGGTCAAGATCCGGCTAACATTCATGCAGTGCGTACGTCAAGAGCAATGGCGAGTGGCTGGCCAGGTGCATCATCCAAGGCTTCTTCATTGCGCCCATAGAGGCCCTTCCTGAAATCTCTGTCACTGACATTGTAAGTCACTTCTACCAAGGGAAAGACACTTCTAACATCCCATTAGTACTTTACTCACGAACGCGGTACCTACATGGGAATCTACTCCTTCGCCCTCGCAGGCAGCAACTACTTCGCGCCCATCATCTGCGGCTTCATCGCCGAATACCAGGGCTGGCGATGGGTCTTTTACTGGCCTGCCATCTTCCTCGCCTTTGTCTTTGTCTTTCTGTTCCTCTTCATAGAGGAGACCAACTATAACCGCGTGGTGGTCCCTGAATCCACTTCGCCAACCAGTCCCTCTGCCTCGGAGCATGCCATTGACGACAAGAGCCACCCTGTGAAAGAGACTGGAAGAACCTCCATGGCTGAGACAGGCGAAGTCTACGCCGCCCCAAAGACGTTTATCCAGAAGATGTCTCTTTGGCAACCCTCGCCAGGCCAAAACATGCTCAAACGTGCGGTTCGGTCTCTCTCGTTCCTCAGCTGGCCCGTCATCTTCTACGCTGGCTTCTCCTACGGCTCGTACCTCATCTGGTTCAACGTGCTCAATGCAACATCTTCCATCATCCTCTCTGGCGAACCTTACAACTTCAAATCTTCCATGGTTGGTCTGAGTTACACATCTTGCTGCATTGGCGTCATCGTTGGAGCTCTCGTTTCGGGTAACTTCAGCGACTGGCTGACCATCAAGCTTGCCCGTCGTAACAACGGAATCATGGAAGCAGAGCACCGACTGTGGCCTTTTGCTATCTGTGTTGTCATGGTTCCTGGTTCTTTGATCCTCTGGGGCGTTGGCGCTCAGCATGGTGTTCATTGGTTTGGCCTCGTCTTCGCCATGGGTTGCCTCGCCTTTACCAGCGCCGTCGGTGTCACCCTCAGTGTCAACTACCTAATTGACAGCTATCACGACATTAGTGGTGATGCCATTGTCACCGTCATTCTTGTACGCAACACAATGTCATTTGCCATCAGCTACGGGTAAGCCTTTCTCTCTTCACGCAGTAACATACACTCACAAATTTGCCAGTATTACTCCATGGTTGACAGACCTCGGTTACCAGAATTGTTTCATCTCGGCTGCGTTTGTTGGAATGACGGCTTCTCTAGTCTTTGTTGTCATGATCATATATGGAAAGTCGCTCAGGATCAAGAGTGCGGACAAGTATGAGGAACTGGTCAAGCGGGATCAGGCTCAGTGGGAGCACCGATAAAGGGGGTTTCTGTATGGTGCGTGGGTATTGAAAGCCACTCTAGGTAGCATTTCTGGAATATTAAGTACGCCTCAAGTACAAAGTGTGACAATCGTTGGATAGCAATACAATGTCGCATCTTCCACTCTAGTCAAAAAAGCGGTGATGGCGTTTAATGCATTCCGAGTTTTCCGAAGTCTGTTGTCCAAAACCGCGTTCCACGGGTTCTCGGTACACCATGGCACTAGCTAGTCTTTAGCATTAATCCATCTTCTAGAGTAATACCAGGACACCATAGAGACACTTGACTCAGGTAAGCTAGGCATTCTCTTGGCTCGTTCTTGGTGTTGAATTCCGTTCTTCTCGTTATCATCGACGTGCCCACCCTAGACAGCGACAGCGCCCGTGGGTTCAAGCCAGGATCCTGGTCAAGGTGGACTCTTACCCCGCAAACTAACCCTCCACCAAGGATACGGTCCAATCATTGTCCCTAGGCCAAGCCCCCAGATAACGGAATTAGAAGCCGGTAGCGTTATCTCCTTGGCTGTGCCGGGGCTATCAACGCGTGGTAATCTCCACCACTAGGTCACTATCTCAAACTCGAAGAAAGCCTATGGGAATGTGTTAAGGCCTTATCGCGTCTCCGATAGACAACAAAAGAGACTACGCATTCTTCGCTTAGATTCATGCCATCGTGTCGATGAGATACGTACCCTGCACATATTAAGATCCACCTCCCCCCAGGTTGGCACTGTTAAACCCCGTTGAAGCTCTCTCCAAGAATCCTCCAATTTTCTCCATTATCTCCGACACGTTCTCGTCAGCCTTCTCAAGGAGTGTGGCATACCAGAATGACACACAAGCGACAGGCACTATGAGTGGTGCTACTCGGCCGAAACTCCGCACAAAAACTGGCTGTCTGACCTGTATGTTTGCGTGTCAGCAGCTATCGGAACAACCGCTAACTGATAACTAGGCAGACAGCGCCATAAGAAATGTGACGAGAATTTTCCTGTCTGCGACGCCTGCAGCTTGTCCAGCAGGAATTGCCAATGGCCGTCGTCTTCAGACCTCCTTGATCGTCGATATGCTTCCCACTCCGACTCTCGACATCGAGACCCCATCGTCAAACTGAAACCCGAGCACATAGAGATAACGATAGAAGATGACCACGCCTGGGACCCAGTGCAAGAAGTCCAGCATGATGCTGTTCCTGCCACTTTTCAAGGCGGCTCCGAAGGGATGCACCCCCTGGATCTTGTCTTGGAGGCTGGCGCTGTCCATGGTGTCATCTCCCATGACCTAGAGCTCCAGCTCTCTCGACATTTTGCCGACAGATACTTTTCTCTTCTGCTGCTTCCTAGCTGCCATCGTGGATTTCATGATGGCTGGCTAATAGACATTCAACACCTCATGGTGACGCACAAGAGTCTCTACTACTCCGTCCTGGCTTGCTCTGCTGCGCATTACATGAATGATGAATCCTGGTACAGGCAGGACCTTGCCCTCATGTACTATTCCAAGGCGCTCAAGGAACTCTCTACTCTTCTTGCAACGATTTCGAGTCACGAGAACCACAATGGACTATTGATGTCTGTGATGCTCTTGTATCTACACGGGGTAAGTTCTGCAGCTCTTCAAGAGGCTTCAATGCTAACGAGCAAAGTGCCTAGGATGGGGCACCACCAACGATATACCACGGCATGTCAGTGCAGCAACTCGCATCGTCACACTCCGCCTCCTGAACCGACCCGACAGCACACCACGGCTTTTTGATCGGCTCGCCATCGAGAGCGTTGTCTACCAGACCTTCCTTGTTTCGACGGGGCTTTGGTCTGACAGGAGTGAACTTAGTTATGATTTCAATCCTGACTTCTGGGAGGGAGCCGAGAAACTATTGGAACGGTCGACCCTCTTTCCAGGGAACCAGAGAGCCCTCAACAGCCCGGTGCTTGGTGTACCCGTGTCACTCTTCCGACTTGTTCTGTTACTTAGACAATTCTATCGAGTTGGTTTCTCGCTTGACCCGACCACCCTGGAGCAACTGAAGAATGAGGTGTCAAGCTGGGAAGAACGATTGCTCTACGACGAGGACCTACGACCGCGTTTTAAAGAGGCCGCAAGACTATCGCCTCAGGAAACATGTTTTAAGGATGGGAGCTATCTCTACGTGACACTGGCTTCTCTTTTGTTGGAACAGATATTACAGGGTCGGATGAGTGAGGGACTCCCGGTTGTTGTTCCAGAAGATACCTGGCAGATTCAAATGGCGGTTCAGGTTCTCGAGAGTCACCAAGATGACCAAGTCTGGACAAAATGTTATCTAGGCGACTGGCCCATCTACTCCCTTGGATTGTTCATGTCATCTCCTGAGCATAAGCAACTGGTGCGATCGGAGCTTCAAAGACGATGGGAGTGTACAAAAACGGCTATGGTGACTCGCTTCCAACGGGATTTGGAGACCATTTGGGCTGCTCGGGATGGGACTGAAGTAGACTATTCACTAGGCTCTTAGCATAATTATCCAAGATCGTGATCAGACCTCTTCTTCTTCTTCACCTTGAAGCGTAGGCAAAGATCCGATTAGTTCTTTGATATAGTTGAAGCCTTGCCCTTGATGACTTAACTGAACCAGAAGGTCATCAACAAAATTCGAATTCTCTTCTCATTCCTTCGCCCCCAAGGTGAATACAGGGTAAGTCCTGTTGCCAAACATGTCTAGTTTTGGCATGCAGTGTGTAAGTGCCCACTTATCACACTACCTGAGTCCATGTTGGCTGTTTGTGAACTGTGCCCATGCCGCCTATTAATCAGCTGTGATTGGTAATGTGGGGTAGAAAGTCAACCAAAATTGGGGTGGAAAAGCTGCCTGGATATTGTCAAATTGACAAGCCCCTGGTTGGTAGCTAAAAGGAGGCGTGTTCCGCCCCGTCCTACTCTGCTGGGCACTGACAACTTAGTGTTCATCCGAACCACTTTAACCAACATCACCACTACGACAATATCTTGAATCAAGATGGGTTCCATTCCAGTTGACCAATACACCGACTTCAGGAGCATCGCTGTTGCCGGGCTTCCCTTCTTTACTCCCAAACAGCGCGTGCCCGTGGGCACGGCGATTTTGGCACCTGATGACGACGTGACGGAGGACACAATCACTCCGGCCTTTCGTCCCATTACAATCCGCAGCAAAACCTTTCAGAATCGCATTTGGGTAGCCCCTATGTGCATGTATAGTTGTCAGGACGGCATGTTCAGCGACTTTCATGTTATGCATTATGGGCAATGGGCCATGAGGGGCAGCGCCCTGATCACAATGGAAGCAACTGCTGTCACACAGAGGGTAAATCTTGTCACCTTTTCCTGTGGATTCCTTGGTGATAGAGAACCTAGCTGACGCTCGCAGGGGCGGAACACCCCACAGGACGCAGGCCTCTGGTCTGATGACCATATCCCACCTCTCAAGCGGGTGGTCGACTTGATCCACTCTCAGTCACAAAAGGTTGCTATCCAACTGCAACATGCGGGGCGGAAGTGTAGCATATGCCCCCCATGGCTTGGACTTCGTCTTGTCCCCGATGCCTATGGCGGATTTGCCAATGATGTGCAGGGCCCGACTGCTGAGCCTTGGAATGAGAACTACGCTACGCCGAGCGAGATGACGGAGGAAGAGATCCTTGAGACAATTGAGGCTTATGGTAAAGCTGCTGCCCGCGCTGTCAGGGCAGGTATCGATGTCATCGCAATCCACGGGGCCCATGGCTACCTCATCCACTCCTTTGCCTCTCCTGCTGTGAGTGACAAACTTTGACCTTTCTCAAGTTGTCAGAGAAACCATGATGGCGAATGAAAAGGGCGAATGTTAATACTCAGACTACAGACCAACAAGAGGACTGATAGATGGGGTAGAAGCTTCGAAGGCAGAACTCGATTTGGTATCGAGGTCGTCAGAGCTGTTCGACGCAACATCCCAGAAGATATGCCACTTTTCTGGAAGATCTCAGCTGTAGACTGGCTCCCTGCTGGGGAGGGCTGGGAGCTGGAGGATACTCTGCGATATGTGCCAATTTTGGCCAGCGAGGGCGTCGACTTGTTTGACGTTTCCAGCGGAGGAACTGACAGACACCAGAAGGTGCAGCTGGGACAGCAGTACCAAGTCCCCTTTGCGAAAGCCGTGAAGGACCTGAAGCTACCCAACGTATTTGCCGGCGCCGTGGGTTGGATCCGAGACGGAGAAACAGTTCACGATGTAAGCTGACATACAAGCTTTTCGATGACTTACCAGCTGATAATTCCACAATAGATCCTGGGCAATGACAAAGCAGACGTCGTCCACGTCGCCCGCGAGTTCTTGCGTGACCCAAACTTTGTTCAAAAGGTTGCGCTCTCCACTGGGACAGAGGTCACTTGGGTTGACCAGTATCACCGCGCTCCAAGTAAGTGACTGAATATTTCCATGCTTTCTTCTAGGGAAAGTGATGCTCCGAGGGCGAGTTCAGTCTCTGACAAGCTATCAGTGAACAAGAAGTATGTTGAGTCAACCACCACCATTACTACGGATCGAAAGGCGTCGGATAATGTCACGCAGACACATGAAAACCAGACTTCGAACAAGATGACTACTTAGCATTTCATTGAAGTTGCACATCTTCGTGGCCTGGTCGTGGGCTGGTAGACTTTGAGTAGCTTGTTGGGTTGGGATGAATAAAAGAGCAGATGTGAATAATTCTTCACGATGATGCTACCGCAGACGTTTGACATCAGTTCCTAGAGTGTTGACTGGAGCGGTCTAGACTATGTCAATAGTGCCAGGCTGGGCTGGTCGACCCAGTTCTTACTGGGATGGTAGATTTGAGGGAACTAACATGTTTATGCCAATGATACAGTATCGGAAATGCTGATAAAAGTCAATGTCAGGTATTGAAGAATGAATGCTGTTATCCCTACTCGATATGTGATAGATTCGTGTCGTGCACTGGGCACTGGGTGGTGGACAGGATCAACCAAGCTCACTCGCCTGTAGATGTACTCATGACTCACCATCAATGTAACTCTCTGCCTGGGCATGGTTTCTGACTTCTCTTATCTGATCTTTGCCGCATTTAAACTATGTCGTGATGAAATCTGTTGATAATGCATCATGAGCTGGTACCAGCTGGTGATACGCTCCCAGGACGACAATCGCCGAACAATGATTGGTGCCCACGAGAACTCCTTGACCCAAGGTTGCAGCTTGCGTGCGTATCCGGCTCCGACTCTTGCTGCCGGGATGGTGGGCGTCAAGGTTCTGGACCCTTGTCGATTCATTCATTTTCTACCCCATTATTTCCTCTTTCGATGCCGTCTCCGACTGATAGGGTGCCTCCCAAATAGGAAATACCCCAATTACCCCTTACCCACATTCGCCACGCCGTCATCCCGTCTTGTTGGAGAGAGCTAGTCCGAGTTTACCAGGCAACATGTATCACGTATCACGGAACATTGTACTCTTCAAAGACTTTCCACGAGAGGTTAACAGATGAAGCCATCTTCCTTCGCCACGATAGCCACCAAAAACATCACGCCTTTCATCACCAGGTACACTTCCCTTATCTCGACCGGTATCATGGCTTCAGGTCTGGCTCGCAAGTATGAAATCAACGCCGACATGGGCGAAGGCTTTGGTCGGTGGAAGATGGTGAGTTTTGCAAAGTTTCAAGTCGACTGAGATTTTCGTACTGACAGACATTCTCTAGGGACCAGATGAAGAGCTGATGCCATTGATCGATGCTGCCAACATCGCATGTGGGTTTCATGCTGGTGACCCTTCGATCATGCTCAAGACGATCCGTCTGTGTAAAAAACACGGTGTACGAGCAGGCGCTCATCCTGGACTACAAGACTTGTTTGGCTTTGGTCGAAGAAAGATTGAAGTTGATACTGGAGACATGTACGCCATGATACTCTACCAAGTCGGCTCCCTAAAAGCCATGCTTGATGCCGAAGGCGTGGAACTGTCTCATATCAAGCCTCACGGCGAGCTCTTCTTCTACATGCAAAGGGACACGGCCATTATGAGAGCAGTTCTAGACGCTTGCGCTACCTTCAAAGTGCCAGTCTACGCCTCTCAAAACGCCGAACAAGAAGCCATGTGCAACGAGCTGGGCATTCCCTTCCAGGGCGAGGTATACGTCGACATCGACTACTCACCCGAGGGAAAACTCTTGCCGTTTGCAAAGTCTCGAACTGCGACGCCAGAGCTGTGTTTTGAACGTGCCTTTTCGGCGACGAGGACGGATACGGGAAAAGACATCAACGGAACCCAGTTCAGTTTTGGCTTTGGAAAGAAGCCGTTCAGCATCTGCCTTCATTCAGATGCGCCTACAGTCTTGGAAAATGCCCGGGCAGTGCGAAAAGCGATTGATGAAGCCAACATGGACAAGTTTGCTTCTGCGGCGCCTCACCTATGACCGAATGGCACACATGCTAGGCCTTGGTAGTCTTCGTCATTATCTCAGTACATCAATTGACATCAATAACGCGACATGCGATGTTTCCTCTTCATTAGCCGTATGCGTGATTGTGGTACCGATTAGCTGAGGCCTCATGACTTACTTGCAATTCCTTGATAGCCTCTCGGTAAGTCATTCACGCTAGTATCTGTAAACAGGCCACAATTCATGTCAACTGAGCCCCTGTAGCGGTTCTTATCTACATTGGACAAGATTGCTACCATGGCTACCGTAGTGGCCCACACCAACCAAGCCAATTTATCAGGGCGGGGGAATATCGCCTTACTGTATCAGGTCTCGCCGCTAATCCCAAGAGATAAGGACCCGGGCATCTGGGAGCAAAGAATCGGGGTAGTAATACCCTAGTATCATGAGCTCTCGAACAAGGGATCGTTGCTAGAATGGTCGAGGCCGAGTACAAAAGGATATCCCGGCCTACCTCACAAACATCCTAGCACTCCATCATCAAACATTCTTGTTGATCATTCCTCTGCCCTTGGATGCATGCCAATCATCTTCAAGGCCGAACCATTTAAAGGATTGACGCTCTTTGGCTCAATTGCTCAAGTCAAGCTTGAAACATACCGCCTTCATAGTCATCGCCATCGCTAAGCAACCACGATGGCGTCTCAAGTACCCATCCCTGGCACGGTTCAACTCGTCGATGCCCAGGGCATCTTACACGTCAAGCATGGTCAACAAGCCCGAGACATTGTCCTTGTCCCCCAACCCACCGACAACCCCGATGATCCTTTACGATGGACCGTCCCCCGAAAGACAAGGAACATCATCTGCGCCATGACGTGGTGCTTCTTTGTTGCTGCCATGATCTCGGGCCTGTCGCCGGCGTACCTTCTCATCGAGCGCGATACTGGTATTTCTGTTGCAGACCTCAGCACAGGAAATGGTCTTCTCTTTCTGTTCCTCGGCTGGGGTACAATGATCACACAGTGTCTTGCATTGAACTACGGACGTCGCTTGACCCTCATGGTGTCTATCATCTGCACCACTGGTGTAACCCTTTGGACCGCATACGTTCAGAACAGAGGGGAGTTCTTCGCCAACCGAATTCTTCTCGGCATTGTGTCTTCTCCACAGGAGACACTCATTGAGGTTATCATCGGAGATATCTTCTTTACACACGACCGAGGTTTCTACATGGGTGCCTACAGTTGGACCTTGTGGTGCGGCGCGTTTCTGGCGCCCGTGGCATCTGGATACGTTGCGCAGGAAGTTGGTTGGCGATGGATCCAATATGTCTTGACCTTTATCGGAGCTGGCGTCGCAGTTGTCACCTTCTTTTTCTTTGAGGAGACAATGTTCTACCGCCACAACAACGTTGGAGACTTCCGCGGTATCTCTGGTCTTGACCCAGATCACACGGGCAATGTCACCGAAGTGGTTGCTGATGCGAAGGCCGGTGCAGACGAGGAGGCAAAGATTCAGGCAGTCAACCGAGACGAGGATTCCGCCTCCAGGTCTATCCAGACATCCGCATTCGAGTCATCAGAAAGCACCAAGACCTACCTCGACAAGCTCAAGTTCTGGGGCTTCCGCGATTCACGACAACCCAACACTTTCAGGTTATTCTTCTTGCCCATCCAGCTACTCTTCATACTTCCTGGCATGTTCTTCGGTGGCCTCCTAGTCGGTGGAATCCTGTCTTGGTACAACGTCGTTGGCGGCTCGCTGGCCCTCATTCTCGGTAACCCTCCGTACAACTTTAGCGCCAACAACATCGGCCTTTGCTATCTCGCTTGTGTCGTTGGTGTCACTATCGGCTGCTTCATCTCGGGTTGGATGTCAGATGCTCTTGCCCTCCGCCTTGCGCGACGAAATGGAGGCGTCATGGAACCTGAGCAGCGTCTCTGGACCTGTCTCATTGCACTTGTGGCGCATCCTGCTGGCTGTCTTCTCTACGGAGTTGGTGCATCATATCAGATTCATTGGTTCGGAATTGTGTTTGGTCTCGGTCTCATCTCCGTCACTCTCCCAATGGGCTCCAACCTAGCCTTTACATATATTCTCGACAGTTACAAGGAGGTTGCCGGAGAAGGCCTTGTCTCAGCTATTCTCATCCGCAACATGATGGGTAAGTCTCCAGTTTGTGTTTCTGCAACAGGTCACTGACGCTTCTAGGCTTTGCTTTCGGTTACGCTGTTGTTCCCATGATTGAGAATCTTGGCCTTCGGTATGCTTTTGTGCTGATTGCCATCTTGGGCTTGGCCTTGTGGTGCAGCGCAATTGTGATGATCTATGTTGGAAAGACTCTACGTCGCTCTACTGCGCAGTCATACTGGAATCTCGTTGAGCGATATGGTGCCACAGCTCATTAAGCACATGAATGTTGTTCTATTCCGTAGCGATGTGTGGTGTTAGTGGTGGGGGAGAACTTTCGTGTATTTAGTCGAGCATCTACAGTCACTATCATAATAATACCTCTGGCTTCGCCTTATTAGTCCAACTACACCAGTGACGAGGAGAATTAAGACACAGGAGTCCATTGTCCTTCTTGTTCTCAATGCTGTTTTAAAAGAGGTCATCTATCACAACAGATAATACGGCCGTTTATTAGCACTTTGTCAGCTTTGTGAGATCTCCAAAAGAGACAATGACGTCACAGCGAACACAAGCCAATCGATAAGTTATCAGTCGACACTGAAGCATGACTTACGGTCGGATACTCACATGACGGCGTGATCGAGTCCCGAATGGCTTCACTTTCAGTCGACTCGCATAAACTTGACATTTCTGGCCCATGCCATGACCAAGCTAACGTTAGAATGCATCAGCCGACACACGGCCAGAGCCACGGCACTTACAACACTTTCTACCCCATGGAATTGCCAGAAACAGCAGAGACTCTCAGGATCCGGGACAATTTCCCCTTTCGTCTACCCCGCGCCGATCAATAATTGGGGTAGAAAGTACAGCAAGGGTTAGCTGCGGGCGCAGACACGTACCCCATTTTTGATAGCACTCACTGGGGTAACGATAAGCGGCATGCTTCAAGACATGACATACAGACGCGACTCTCCTCTGTCGTGTGTCTAATCATATATCTCTCGCTTGCCACACTAACATTAGGTAGCATCCTTAATCTTTATGGTTCATTATCAGACATCATGGGATCCACCGATTCAAGCATGCTGCGCAACATCCGCAAGGTCTTGGTGGCCAACCGAGGCGAGATTGCTGTGAGATGCATCAAGGCTTGCCGTGAGCTAGGAGTCCAGAGCGTGGCCATCATTACAAACGCAGACGCAACGTCTTTACATGCCACATTGGCGGACGAGGCAGTACTGTTGCCAGGAGATGACAGCACTGCATATACAAACGGGTAAGTTCATGGCATTACCCAGCTTGTAAAGCATGATTACTAAAAAGGCCTAATAGTGAAGCCATCTTGGACATTTGCAAACGCACAGGTGCTGATGCAATTATCCCTGGATATGGCTTCTTGAGCGAAAATGTCGAGTTTGCCGACATGGTGGCAGCTGCAGGCATCACATTCGCTGGTCCCTCTTCAAAGTCCATCAAAGCTATGGGCCTCAAGCACGAGGCGAGAGCCATTGCCGAAGCGGCAAATGTTCCAGTCATCCCGGGTACCACACTTCTAGCATCTTCTGAAGAGGCAACAGACGCTGCACGACGTCTGGGTTTTCCAATCATGCTCAAGGCTACTGGTGGAGGAGGCGGTATGGGATTGCAGATTTGCCATACCGAGGACGAAGTTGAGAAGGCCTTTGCAATGGTTGAGAGCCGCGCCAGCACTCTTTTCAAGAACAGTGGTGTGTTCCTGGAAAAGTACTACCCCCGCTCACGACATGTCGAAGTTCAGGTGGCGGGCAATGGTGAAGTTGTAGTCGCTTTCGGAGAACGAGAGTGTTCCTTACAGCGGCGCCATCAGAAGGTTATTGAGGAGTGTCCCAGCCCTTTTGTCGAGCGACATCCCGGACTACGAGAGAAGATGCTTCAAGCAGCTATCGATTATGCATCCCAACTCAACTACAAGAGTGTGGGGACCGTCGAGTTTCTTGTCGATGACGAAACAGCCAAGTTCTTCTTTCTCGAGATGAATACACGCCTCCAGGTTGAACACGGAATTACGGAACTGTGCTATGGAGTTGACCTGGTTCACCTGATGCTGCAACAAGCCGACTACGAACACGGTGGCAAGCTCGGAATCCCGTCTGACGTTCTGAAGGGACTTGGAAGACCACAGCCACTGGGTTCTGCAATCGAAGCCCGAGTTTACGCAGAGGTACCGCTCCACGACTTTGCTCCCAGTCCTGGCGTCTTTCAACACGTTGAGTGGCCCCAGGGTGAGGGCGTGCGAGTTGATACGTGGGTCCGAAGTGGCCAACGGATCACGCCTCTTTACGACCCTCTGATCGGCAAAGTCATGGTCCATAGTCCGGATGGACGAGCGGGTTCCCAGAAGTTGATGCTCAAGGCGCTCGCTGACACAGCCCTCCAAGGGGCGCAGTGCAACTTGGAATACCTCTCACGAGTCGTCGAGTCGGACATGTTTATCAGCGGTAGCACATTGACCAACTCACTTGCTACCTTCAAGTTCAAGACTTGCTCCCTACAAGTCATTGATCCCGGTGTGTTTACGACAATTCAAGATTACCCAGGCCGCATTACGGTTGGACACGGAGTTCCCCCTGGAGGCCCCATGGATGATCTGAGTGCCCGAGCGGCCAACATTCTGGTTGGAAATGACCCTGGAGTTGAGCTTCTCGAGGTTACCTTGTCTGGCCCAGAGCTCTTGTTTCACGAGGCAGCCATCGTTTCTGTCTGTGGTGCTGAGCTTCCGCTCACTCTTGATGGCAAACCTGAAGCAATGTGGTCCAGAATCATTGTCAAGCAGGGCCAAAGACTCAAGCTTGGTAAAGTCTCTGGGCCTGGCCTGAGGACATATCTGGCTGTCAAGGGCGGATTTCCAGAGATTCCCGAATTTCTCGGCTCAAAGGCCACTGCCCCTGAGCTTGCATTTGGTGGCCTCCAGGGGAGAAAGCTCCAGGTCAATGACATCCTTGCTCTCCCTAAAGAATCAGGGGCTTGGGCGGCTGAAGCAACACCTTTCTCTCTGCCACCCGAAGCCATACCAACCTTCAATAGCCGGAGCGTCTATTGTCTCGATGGTCCTTACGGTTCTGACGATATCCTTACCCCTGAAGGCCGAAAGACCTTGTATGAGACCGATTGGATCGTCAGCCACAACAGCGGTCGCAGTGGCATCCGCTTAGAAGGTCCACGTTTGAAGTGGGCTAGGACGTCAGGAGGTGGTGGTGGATCTCATCCGTCAAACGTCTTTGATTACGGGTATCCAAACGGGGGAGTCAACTTCACTGGTGAATCCCCCATCATCTTTGCTCACGACCGTCCGGACTTGGGAGGTTTTGCCTGTCCCACAACCCTCTGCTCAGGCGAGATGTGGAAGGTCGGGCAGCTGAAGCCGGGCGACACGATCCGATTTCGGCAGACGACTTATGACAAGTCACGAGAGATAACGCAGAGGAAGGATGCCTATCTCCAGGCCCTGCTTGAACTTGCACAAGGCGGCGGAGACGCCAGTCGGATGCCTTCTCTGGAAATTGAGTTTGGTGACGAACCCACGTCTTCGATCCTACATCAAGTGTCACCTTCAGGATCTCATCCTCGGGTGACATATCGTCAAGGAGGTGACACAAGCATCATCGTGGAATACGGCGAGCAAATTGCAGACCTACGAAACACAGCGTGTGTCCAGCTCCTCGCCAAGCAACTGGTGGCCGCAAACCTGCCGAGTGTCCGCAGTGATACCAACTTTGCCACCCTCACGGTTCGCTTTGATCCGTCACAAACAGATCGGACAAAGCTCCTCCAGCAACTCATCGACCTTGATGGCAGCATTGGAGAAACAACCGGTATCAAGCTCACTACTCGACAAGTCCGGCTTCCCATATGTCTCGATCATTCGTCACTGGAGGAATCTGCCCAGCGATACATGGCCAACATCAGGCCTACTGCCGCTTATTTGCCAGACAATGTTGACTACATTCGCAAGAGCAACGCTCTCGAAAGTCGTAGCAGCGTCTTTGATTCGCTGCTCAACACCCCATGGCTCACAGTGGCCGTTGGCTTCTATGTTGGAACACCGATTTTGTTCCCTCTTGATCCCCGATACATGTTTACAGGTCAGAAGTACAACCCCAGCCGAGCCTACACGCCAAGCGGCTCTGTTGGTCTAGGTGGCTCGTTGCTGGCCATATACCCAGTTGCAGCCCCTGGAGGGTATCAACTCATGGGTCGTACATTGGGCGCATGGGACACGGCTGGAAATCGCCCAGGATTTTCGGCAACGCGACCTTGGCTGTTCAATCACCTCGACTTGGTGAAGTTCTACGAGGTATCTGAGGAGGAGTACGATCAAATAGAGCGCGACTTTGAGTTTGGTCGATACGTCTTTGACGTGACCGAGACAACACTCGACATGGACGAGTACATCGCCAAGTTTGACGCAGCAAACCACGATCCGGATTATCAAGCCTGGCGAAGCCGCCAGTCTGCAGCGGCCAAGGAAATGGGGGAGCTTGAGCAGAAACTCTTTGAGGAATGGACTGCGGAAAAGGCGTCGGCCAACAACAACACAGGCGATGAAGATGAAGATGATCCCAAAATGGTCAAGATTGAATCCCCAGTAGACGCCAACGTTTGGAAGGTTCTAGTGGAACCTGGCGATGTGCTGAAGAAGGGACAGACAGTAGCAGTGCTTGAAGCAATGAAGATGGAGATCAACCTGGTGGCTGGTGAGGATCAAGCTGGTGCAGTAGTTGTCAAGATCAAACAGCGACCTGGAACTGTTGTGAGTCCGGGGACGGCGGTGGTGACAGCCCGGAGACAGGATTAAGATAGATTTATTCAAAAGACTCTTTAAATGTTTTCTTGCTTCTCCCTCTTGAAATGGCCCATTGCTTGGTGTTGCGTAGTGGAGAAGAGGTCGTTGTTGTGATCCAGGATGACAGCCAAGATAAGGCGTTTTGCACCACTTCAATGGGTTTCAAATATCCTATTCTTACTCAGAGTATCACGAGAATTGTTTTCATTGCATGACCTTCCACATCGGCCGCTATCATAACCCGTTGTGTTTTCATGAGAAACGCGTCGTCTATGTGGCCTACCCTGTAGCTGCATGTCGAAAAGGGGGGAATTCGTTGGAGCCGTACAGATCCGAGAGTGCCAGATACGATTTAATATTTAACACTTTGAGGATCTATTACCTTAGGAGAGCCTCGCGAAGCCAAGTTGAATCACATCTCTGAGAAGAAGGTCATCAGGTAAGGGGCAGTCGAGGAGGTTGTGGAGCCAACCGGGATAAATGGCGACTAGGGTGCGGGATGTTAGCAGATACTTACTTCTAATCGACTTTTCTCTGCGAGGAGAGGTAGTCCTTATTGTGGCATGACAGGCAATTGTCTCGTGGCGCTGGGGTGTATCAACCGCTTTGGGTAAAGATCAGCAAGCCCACTTTATCTCATTAATCCATTCGCCAGTCCTTATCCCTTCCCCCTGCTCATCGATAACCGGGCCGGGTCTTATCTCAACTCTCCCCGCAAACCCGGTCCACCGGAACGGATCATGTTTGTCGTCGTCTCTCCACCTCCTGACCAATTCGTTACTCTGTGCCGCTCACTCTCTCAGCCTGCATACGACAGCTCTCATGCGTATTGCCGCCCTTTTTCTCAAGGGTAGGGCTTATAGCACCGCCCCCACGCGTTAATCACGTCGCCATCTCGAAGCGACGGCCTCCTTTGCGCCATGAAAGGTCGACCGCGACTCCGTGTAGCCCCGTGCAAATACTGCAATAAGGAGTTCAAGCGACAAGAACACTTGGACCGTCACATACGAACCCGCAAGTATTCTTAATCCTCCAACTTTGTATCTTAATGCTGAGTATATAGACACTCGGGAGAGGCCATTTGCATGTTCTTGTGGTCGCACATTCTCCAGACAGTCCGTGATTCCCCATACCCCTACGCAATTATGCGGGTCAATGATAGTGATATTGATATTTCTGTGTGTACTTAGGGACCTTTTGAGTCGTCACTACCGGCTGTCTCAATGTTCAGACCCTGCTGCCAACCAGTGTGACAACAGAAGGGGCTCTACAGTCAGCCGACCACCTCAGTCCGCGCTTCGAACCTTTTCAGTCGAGCCTACCTCAATTTCTCCTCCAGCTGCAAATACCAATCACGGGAGAACGAATTCATTCACATTTGAGCACAACCCTCCTATGCCCGGAGACACCGTGTCCAACGTTGCACCCCAGACACCTCAAGAACAGTTTATGGGAAAGTTCTCGATACACGATCCCATTTACGAACCCTTGAATAACAACCCTGATGCCCTGTCAAGTAACGGTGGCCCCTCAACGTCTGGCGATGACCAGATGGACGTGACCGTCGAGCCAGCCGCCGACCTCACCCAACTGGTGGGCTTTGACTCCGACTTCTTCTCCCATGAAACAGGCATGATAAATGATTACCTGATGGGTGTTTTCTCTCCATTCGACTACCGGACACCAATGATCGACAATGTATCCGATGGGTACAACGGCATGGACAGGGGTCCGGTGGCGCCAGTTCCCAGTGTTCTGGGCCCTGATTATCGCGAACCATCGGCACCGGTACAGATCGCCATAGCAAGAGAGGAAGCCCAGGACTCTACGCCTGAGCCACGCGCGTTCACTCGTGCAACTCCAGTGGATCACACGATGCGGGATAGAGGCGAAGTTGGTGGATCATTGGACGCTATTGACGACGTTATAGGGACCAATCCTTGGGCAGTGTCCATGACTGCTTTCAGTAAACTAACTGCCGAGGTTGCAAAGTATGAGCATGTATTACCAGAGCCCTTTCCCATTCCATGCCGACAGACCTTATCGCGATATATTGCCAGCTACATTCGTGGGTTTCACCCCCATCTCCCTTTCATACATATCCCGACATCTTGTGTGGAGACTATGTCGCCTGTCTTGTTGCTTTCCCTCGCCGCTACTGGATCGTTCTATGGTTTCGAGCATACACACGGGTATGCAATGATCCTTTTGGCCAAGTCAATCACCGCTGAGAAGCTCGAACAACGTCGCCGAGAGTCTACATCACGTCTTGTTCGGAGTTTCCCACGGTATGCCGAGCTACCCAATAGTTCCTCTGGAGAGCACGACCCATCCACACGACCAAAGGTGACGCCACAACCCGTACCTACCCCCGTCTTCGATCTCGAGTTGGTACAATCTCTGGTGATCCTCCAGATGACCATGTCTTGGCTTGATGGACCATTTGCTGAGGATGCGTTGGCCATGAGTAGCCAACTTGCTGCGGTTACTCGCGAGGGTTTGAGTCACTCACCTGTGCAAGATGCGGACAACTCTTGGAAGGACTGGTCATTTGAAGAAGCAAAGCGACGCACGCTATTATCTGCTTACTTCGTGCTCAACATCCAGACCATCTGCTTCAACGTACCACCTCAAATCGCCACCTCCGAGGTCAATCTCACCCTTCCATGTTCTGAAGCAGAGTTTAAAGCACCTAATGCGGCTGCCTGGCAACGCCTACATCAGAAGAGCAATGTCCACGATATGGACTTTCAAAAATGTTTCAAGCAGCTGCTGTCTGGAAAGTCACTCCCCAAGGAAGTCTCGGCAGCCGAATTCGGGAACTACATGCTCGTCCAGGCCTTGTTGGTACAGATTTACTTTGAAAGACAAGCTGCCTCAGTTCTATTGAGCTCTTCGTCGAGCCTTTCGCCTTGTACGATCCAGCTCTACGACAGTGCTCTTGCTGCGTGGTCAACATGCTGGGATTCTGCTATTGAATCTGCATTGGATCCCTCATCCGTTCACGGACCATTAGCCTTCAACTCAACTGCCATCCTTAGGCTGGCCCACGTGCATCTTGGGGCTGACTTGTTCAGTCAATGCGCTCTCAACTCGCGGGATCCTCGGGTGGTTGCTCAAGCCTTTGAACCACATCGAAATCCCATTTTGCTTGGCTCCGCACATCTGGACAAAGCTGTTCTCCATGCCATCTACGCATTGAGGATTCCCGTAAGGGTTGGCATAGCGTTTGTGGCCCGAGGCCGAACGGGACATTGGAGCGTCCAGCATGCCATTAGTAACTTTGCGTGCGCACTACTACTTACGCATTGGCTCGAAAACATCTTCAATCTGGTCTCTTCAAGCGGACTCGGCGGTCTGAGGCATGAGGAGAGGCGTTTACTCTCCATGATTGAACGGCTTATTGAAGAGACGCATCTACATGATGGCCTAGGGCCAAAGGACTGCTACCCAAACCGGATACGACGACTGGCCATCGCTGCGGTGAAGCTTTGGGCTGAAACATGCCAGGGTATTCAGGTATATGAGTTGGTTCATATTATGGGCGAGACACTTTCTCTGGTCGCAGAGTCACTGGAGAGTCGTCTTTGAAACAAATATGCAGATGTAATCAAGTTCAACCTCATGGTCCACAGTAACCACCATCTCTCCCCAAACGTACGGCTTGCGCATGCGCATCGGGTCCACATACCGACGTTCCACATTGCAATACTTCATCTTGGGTCTTCTTCCATAATAATTCCGTGACTACTTTGAATGAGAAATGATATGTGAGTGTGGGCTTTTCGAGATAAAGAGAGGCGAACGATCTGAAGGCTAGTCCTCTAACCGGAACGGTTCACGATGACAACAGCCCAAATATGCCGACTTCGGAGCAATGCTTCAAGGCATATAATGAGAACCAGACTTTTATCTGGGGCAGACTACACGTTGCACAAAAAGATGGAGCCGAAGACTGTGCGGGATACAGCCCAGACATATCCTTGAGTATCCGTGTGTTCCCACAAGGAGGTTCGAGGAACAGAAGCGACCAACTGGTTAGTCCTGGGACAAGTAAGAAACCAACTGAATAGATCACATGATATTTAACGAGTGTTTTATAGCAATTTGACCAGTTTGACCCCCAAATACTTGATATGGGAGCGGCTCTCCTGTCCTCCGGTTTGATATCGCAGTCTCAAAACCATTTACAAAGAGGCTCTCGTAACGATGTAGTCGTATCTCGGATGGGATCAAGATGCAAGCTATAGTAAGCGTGGGCATGTGTCATAGTAATAGAAAGACATGGCTCCACATACCGAAACTTCGTGACACACTCGTAACCATGATTTGACGTGAAACTTCTTTCCACTGAGCTGAGTTTGTCCCCAAGGCTCGACTGATGTTAAGAATCGGCCCCACCCACCGGGGCTGCTGTCACTGAGCTGTTGGACATCTTTCGGAGTGATGAAAGCTCTGTGTGCGGCATATTTTCATGTGGAAACAATGCTCTGTTTTAGTTCTGAGAATAGTTGCTGTACTAGTTTATGAACTGACCGCGTTTGTATTACGGCCATGGCAGCAGCTATTTCGGACAAATCCACAATACACCCCCTATCTCCCAACCCTTTCAATCTGGGCCCTGGCCAACACACTAACATCCATGCAATCTCAAAGCCCGGTACTATATCAAAGCCAAATCTTTCCCTTCTGCTTCACCAGGCCGCTGATGGTGGCCTTGTAAGGAGCTTGTCCTCCAGAAATGGGTTGTCGCCCAACCAAACCGATTTTACCCGTCACCTTCCCATTCTTCCAGAAAGCAAGATTGAAGCCTCCGATAGCCGGGTTATAAACATTAGCACCGGCTCCGCTTCTAGCGTTAAAGACTGAAAGATGGTTTGCGGCGGCGATGGAGGTGTCGACCGAAACCGTCACTGAGTTGGCCGTGGTAGACACTCGCGCAAAGTCAGTGCGAGTTATGTCCCTGCTGCCACCGATGAAGCCGTTGAGATACCTGTTGGTGGTGTATCGAATGCTTCCGGCAACTGGGCTGACAATTGGGCTGCCGATTCCGATGACCACATCAACCGGGTTCGCGCCATTGCGGGACCCCGGCGATGGGATCGGTCGAATGAGAAGGAGCTCGCCTCTGACTCGCCAAGACTGCCAGTTGCCCTGGTTGTAACCATCAAAGGTCACGTCCAAGAGAACATACTCCAGGTTGAGGGCTCGTTTCTCAAGACCCGTGTCCTCGTCACGTTTCGAGATGGTGAAGGAGTCCAGGTCGGGGCGGTCAACCACAGGAATTGAGTCATCATCAAAGACCGAGAGGCTATCCGCCGCAGCAGGGGAAGCCCAGAAGCAGCTGAGAAGAGGAAGGAGGGCAAAGAAGGTCTTCATTGTTGGAATTGAGTGTTAAGAGATGATGTTGATGCCAAAGTTGTTGGATTGAAGAAGATGAGGAGATTTGACAAGGGCCAGGATGGGTGAATATATACTCGATCTCGGCATCTTCTTGTAATCCGGCCTTTAAGCTTATTGTCGGCTCTTGCTGATAGAGCAAGTCAACAAAACCACGATATTCGTGAGAAAGAAAGCCTTGGTGTTTGGGTTTCATGTGATTGCCGAGACATTGCTACCGGTGGCGCTCCTTTTGTCAGCCCTGGAGTCCCAAAGAAGCCTCATGCTGCACTACTCCAAAGTCTTATTCCCAAACGGTTCCAAACTGTCAAGTGGCGCCTCAGCTCAAACCTAGAGACCAGATCCGTTGAGAGTGGTGTCATTCTCCACTGATGAACGCCATCGCCGACCAAACAACGAGGCTTGAACATTGTTGCTCACTGACGGGGCGAAGTAGAGCAAGCCATCTGCCTAGCTGGTTTGCCGGCGCCACGTTGACAAACTCTCCAGTTTTAAAAGTGCCGAGACTACTCGCCCGGTTACAGTGTATGATTTACCGCCTGCGGCCATGGTAGTTGCTACAGTCGAGCCTGCTTTGGAATCGGTGTGGACAACTCGCCAGCGTTGAGATGTCCATCACACGTAGTTTGAACGATACGATACGTGCCAGCAATCAATAACGTGAATAAAAAATGAATAACTTCCATGTAACATGAAGCCTCATTGTGCAAGGAGTCAAACGATAGCTGCTTCATGGAGAAGTCTCTAATGGACACAGTAGAATGGCATTGCCAACATGTGGGTGAGTGAACGTACGTCGCCCCTTGTTGGGCAACAGGGAAGACAGGACAAGCACTTCCGCTCAGCCGGAGATACAATGAAGGAAACTGTAAGAGTTGGGATCCAAGTGGAAACTGAGCTGTCATACGAAGTCTTGGGCGAGCTGTGGGCTGGATCTTACTGACCAACAAGCATGGCTTACGCCCGTGTAGGGGCTATTGATGCAAGCCATGTCACTACTTTGCCCAACGTTATAACCTACTTTCTCCACGTGAGTCTAGGCAAGGCAGATCGATGTAGCCAAAGCCATGCCAGACTTAGGAAATAGAGTTTATCTTGGCATCTAGGCTCAGACCAACAACCTGGTAAGACGGCCCTCGGAAGGGAAAGCCGCCTGTCCGGTTACGTTTCGTCGCACATAACCGAAGGAGGGCAGTTGAAATAGGCTCAGATACTAGCAGAACCTCCTCCAATCCTCCCATCACCGCTTACTGCATGGTCATCTCTCTCACATGCACGTACGGTTTACTTGATTACCTTTACTTGGCCAACGCCAGTTCAGCTTCAGCTCGCCACAATTTTCCCTTTCTAGACACAGTACTCTTTACCAGCATCAGCCTCTAAATAACATGACACATAGTGAAACGGACTTCTGCAACCGAGATCATTTGACTTCGCTTAGGAAATCAGGCTGTGGTGGAAAAGGAGGCTGCGCCATCTCGGGCCTCGGGATTTTATGATCTGTGATTGTATCAGCCCTATTTCGCAGGTCTAGCAGTCATGTCATTTCCCATAATCATTACTATTCGTACACCCGGGTCAATGAGAACTTAGCTAGCGATGATGAATGCAATAGATAGCTACATTGATGCACGCTGAGCAAGACTGTGTGAATTTCACCAGGCTCCACAAGAGGCCATCAGCCACAATAGGTAGTTAAGAATACAGTAATTGACGCATGCCAGCAGACAAGGTAGCTAAAGATATGGAATTAAGAATGGTGTCCTGCCGATGACCAACATGCCCCAAGTACTGTACTTGACAGGCTCCTCTCGCACCCCGTCATGTCGCAATCGCACATAGGATTCAAGTCTCAACAAAGCCAACAGAGAAGCACGGTGGTGTGAAAAAACACTTATATCATGTTGAGAACACCTACAACTGTATATCTAAGTCCAGCTCGGAAGGGAAGCAGTATGAAGAAGGTCAAGTTAGCCTTATGTCAACTCTAGCAGCCGGTCAGGAGGATTAAGTGATCAGATTCCCAGTTTAGTTATACCACGGCAGTGTGAACAACATGAACACAGAGCAAGAAGCTGGCCAGTCTGTTCTCTCAGGACTATATTCCCTCAAACATACAAGCTGCAGCGCGAAACCACTACTCCCCAATCAGCCGACCACATTGAGGGCGAGCTCCTTAATCACTATCCAATGGCTGACACTGATAGCACTCGGGCTGGTTCACACGGTAACCGCCGGCTGACTCTTGGAAGTCCAGTTCCTGAGGTGTTGCCGAGTATAGCTTACAGGTACCTATAGTAATACCAGCGTGGACGAAAGTCTTGCATCCTTGTGTGCCTGCGCAGGCTTGTGCACAAAAGTCGAAGTTAAACCAATCTGACGAAAAGTCAATCAGATATGACTCGGCCGCAGGGTTGTTGAATCGCCCAACACTCCCACATATCAACCCATCAGATGGTGCGTCGCGTAGAGTGCATGGAGGTTCGTATTCGACAAAGCTCACGTCGTCAATGCGCACCTCGGCACCAGCCCACGTCGGTGAAGTTGAAGAGCACTTCCAATAGAACAGTATATCCGCAGTAGTAGTACTAGCAGGGAAACTGGCAATTAGCTGCCTTTTGATGTAGTGGTTCACCTGCTGCGTAGGATTCCGGTAGGTTCTACCCTCCAGTAAGGTCTGGACATATGTGTAAAAGTCGCAAGTTATACCCGCGATTGATCCAGCGTCTGTAAATGTCCAGTAAAAAGTGAGGAGATATTTCTTGGTTCCGTCAATGCCAGTCACGGTCTGCCTCAGAGGGTATACGGGACGGCCTGTGCCAGTAATGGGGAACCGTGTCAGGCTAGAGCTTTGGTCAATGGGATGAAGGATTGAGCAGAACAGAACAACTTACGCATAGCGCTCTCCTCCATGGGCATTTGCAGGGTCAGTCTTGATCTCAACACTTCTTCCAATAATCCAGGGTAACCCATCAACAGTTTGATCTTCAAAACCGCCATTGAAGAACCCAAGGCGAGGTCCTGCATGAGTAGTCGTGGCTGGGGCTTCGCTGGTAGTCGTCGTTGAAGATTCGACTGCTTGGGAGGTCGATGCCGTCAGAGATTCGGGATCAGATGTCGAGGAGGACTCAGAGAGAGTACTGGTAGAACTGCTGGTATCTTTCGTAGTCGAGGTTTCGGTCTCGCTGACGATCGTAGAGGAAGTAAACGTAAGATCCGATGTAGTGCTCCAAGAGTTACTTGCTTCATCAGAGGTTGAAACAAAACCAGTTTCAGTTGTCACGGTGCTGGTGAGATGTTCTCCATCCTCGCTCGAAGAAGAAAACCAAGACTCAAGAGTTGTCGTATCTGAGACATCTGATTCCGTAGCAGTTGAAGCGAGGGACTTCTCAGTTGAAGTTGTCCAGGAAAGATCAGTTGTGTCAGAAGTCGAGGAAAAGGTGGTTTCGACTACAGCTGTGCTCGTGGTCTCGAATGACTGAGATGACAATGCTGAAGATGCATGGGGTATACACGGACCGGCGTTGGCTCCCAAGGACAAGCCCAACGCCAGTATGAAGGCGCTAAGTGACTTGGGCGGCGCCATGTTTCTCGTGGTGAGGAAGAAAAGAAATACACTTGGGGAAAGAGAGACAGAGGAGATGAAGTGGCTCACGGAAGTCATCCAAGCATAAATTTAGGGGTCACCTCGTCTCAGGCCACCGTTGACGCTAACAGACACTATCGACTCTGCTAAGATGCACTATCGACGCCACTGTCCGCTGGGACAGCTGAGAGCCTGCCAAGTGAGAAAAGACAAGCACCAGAGTGGCTGAGAGTGGGATACAGTGGAGCCAATTTCAGATATTTACAGGGATTAAGCATTTCGCGGAGTTTACGGAGTACAAAACACAACATTATAGATCCTGAGGCTGCAGTTTTGAGAGCAAGTGCGTCTGTCATTGGTCTGCATGGAATGGGTATCTGCTGCGCTGCTCCAAGTCCATAGCCTTCCTTGTCAGTCTGGTCGGTTGGCTGTTGAACAGGCGTCGGGAAATTTCTGTCCGCTTGCATGATGAAACCAGTAAGGTCTTCATAAGCAGATCGGGCAAATCACCTCGTGATGGCCGTAATTTCGCTGGCTTCAGTCTGGTCTGAATATTTCCCTGTCAATTAAACCCGTCTCCCGGGAAAATGGATATGATACTACGAGGTTAAGTTTTCACACCTCTGTAGCTCTCGTTCATCACTGTCTGGATCTATGGAGTAATGGGTCTAACAATTGAAAAGTCAAGTAGTTAGCTTTATTACTCTGCGTGGATATACCCGCTAAGAATGATAGATACTGCAATCTTGTTACCAGCTTGACCCGTCTGAAGGATCTCCTAATAACATGCGATCTTCGGGCTCAGTTAACCCATCAAGGGCCGGGCTGCAACTATAATAAAGAACAGATCACTAATAACATGCTTTGGCTCTCGGGTAGTTCCCTGTCACGCAGTACGGCCAGCCAGACACCAAGGCTTCTAGCTCCGACTCGAACCAGGGCGCATCTACAGTATGGATATGTGACCAATAATGTTTAATGAGTGAACAACATCGCCACGGTCAGGAGATTTCGCTGCTCGGGACAGAAACCAAGCATGCGCCAGCCCCCAACTACAATGACGGACTTGTGACATAACTGCCGACATAAATTCCGTAAAGTAGCAGGACAAGTTCTAAACGGCCGAACCCATGTAAACAACATGCGCCTCACATATGGCCAGGTCACGACATCCAAAAGCGAACTCACAACACTCGCAGACAGGCAGTTTGGGCTTTGAACCATCGCCTGCAATTGAGGCGTTGGTTCGCCTCTGGTTAACCAGTCAGGAAGCCAAGGATATCTACCAGCAGTTTCAAAAATCCTGCATCAGGAACTGTCAGGTCCTGTGGAGCGGTATGCATCGTGCAGAAGCTCAAAAATGGGCAGACAACCGAAATCTACAAACGTTGGCAACCGCATTGGGACCCCTTCTCATCCCTTCTCATCCAGATTGCCCATATCATCCAAAGCCACCTTCCGGATGGGTGAGGTACATCCACGGAGCCTCTGTCATATTTGCCTGGTACATTTCTCAAGGTGACTCGGTAATAGTCCTATCGCAGCCTCCACCACAGCGTTTCCATCCCTCTGGAAAGACCTACTACCAGACAATCGAGGAACCAATAATCAAAGGCAAGATGGGCAACAAGCCTGTCAAGAAGATCATAGTCGTTCATCCAATTGTGGGAGGAAAAGCCGAGGACTTCAAATATGAGATGTGGCCCCAGGACGAGGTTTACCTATGGACCGGAACCTTTCGGACACGCAAGATTGTCATTCATTGGCGAGCCGTCCAAGGAGAAAAGTCCAGCAAATCACCCAAGTCTGAAAGGTAAAAAGCCGGTAAGGAAAGCTGATCGATAAATAACTGACGTCGAGTGAACCAAGCATTGTGCCGACAGCCAAATTTCCAGTTTCGAAGAAACAGCAAGGTGAACCAAAGCCAGTCAAGAAACGTAAAAAGAAAGCAAAGAAAAGAGGGGAAAATGCTCAAGATCACCACGGAGGGGGAAGCACGGTTGGCAAGCAAGACGCGGTGGTGGCCCTTCGTCAGTCAACGAAGAAGAAAGGGAGAAAGAATAACAAGAAGAATCGAAGCAAGGCGGGAGCAGTGAAGGAGCTGAAGAGTTGAGAAGGGGGATGGACTGGGATGCAGTCTCTCCGAGGGGAGCGCTTTGACGCAGCAGTGGCGAGGGGATAAGTGAGGGCAGAATGATGCCACAAGTACTTCAGAGCTACTCTAGTGGTGGTGAAAAGTATGACATATCTTTTTGTAATTAAGCAAACAGACTGAAAATGACTTACTGTACTGGATCTATAGGTACGTACATATCACAGCACGGGAAAACACCAGGTTGTTCCACTATAGTACTGCCAATGCAGGATAAAAGAGGGGATTATCACCTTTCAGGGATGGGGAAATGGAAGCCATATTCTAAATCTCTTCATCCCTTCCGATATCGCTATTGTTTGGCTTGGTAACGTTGCCAAAACCATCCGACACCCCAGAGCTTAAAGCCTGTAATGGGCGTATGGGCAAGGCACCTATCATGCTGTTCCTAACATTTATGTGTCTAAGGGGAGGCCAGAGCCTGTATTCTCACAAAGAGTATGAGGTGCAGCTTGAAGATGAAATACGCGTTCAGCTTAAAGAGCTTGACGACTGCTTCTTAATTCAATTCTCTTACCACACCGACAGTTTCAACGTGATTTTGGCATGTTGATAGGCAGCGCCGGAAGCCTGGTGACTCCGCCGCATTGCAATCCTACGCATGGCGTCATAGAGGATTCTGATCCTTGCGTCTCACCTAAGCATCAGTATCGTGAAGAAAACCTGGACCTCGCGGGCGAAAAGTTCACGATCTTCTTCTCTGGTCGTCTGGCTTAGTTATCGCATCAAGGGCCGGGATTCAATTATAAAAAGAAAAAACACATTGATCTTCTTCTTCATCACCTTCTCAACCGTAAATCATCCACTACCAGCGACCATGGCCCCGTTTAAGAAGTTCGACGCCGACACTGTCCTAACGAGCCGAGATGTTCCGGCTTTATATCATTCAATGCTGGAATTGGCCAAGGAATTCGCCGTCCTAGGCCAGATCAAAACAGCAAAATCATTGACATCACTCCTCCTCTCGCAATACTCCTCTAACTGGCAGCTCCGGCAAGTCAGTTCCCTCAAGTTTGCCTTTGCGGAAATAGGTGAATGGCCCGACCAGATCCCTCAAGAAGAGAGGACGGAAGAAGCGTTGAACGATCTGGCCAAAAGTATCACCTCGGACTTTGGGAATGAGAGCGACGCCGAGGAGGATGACCCGGCGGAGTTGGGTGTGCTCCTAGAGACTGCTAGAGGCAGTGATGCTTCCTCAGGAGGCGCGGCCATGGAGCGGAGCAACGCGCTTGCTACCGCTCTGGCCATGACCATTAGGTTGGCATCTAAGCAGACATCTTCTATTGAGGAGATCGAGGCCGATCCAAAGGTCCAAAAAGCCCTTGGGTATATCGGCGTGAGAATGCACAGCAACAAGGCCATCGATTGTCTCACTCAGCACCGCACGAACTGGCTTCTTCTCTCTACCAGTGCCTTGGCTCGGAAAATCCCGGTCGACATGGCCAAAGTCGAGGCATTTGGCCAAGAAGTTGTCGACACTTTTACCGAGCGCATGAAGAATGGGCGTCGTCCCCATCCGAGGGAAGACAAGTCAATCAAGGAACTTCTTGACGAGTTGGACCGCAACACAAGAGCCAACGGCACAAGCCAGTACGAAGCGATGGGGGAGGAGGTGCCAGGATCTCTCTTTATTCTACCCCCTGCAACAGATGAACAGATATCGGCTCTCGAGCGCAAGCTCGACGTCGTTCTTCCAGATGACTACAAGGAGTTTTTCAAGATCAGCAACGGGTTTGGTGGCACGTGGAACGGCTACTACCTCGAACCCCCTCTCCACGGAGTCGACGACGTTGATTGGGCAGAGTTTTATGGTGATATTCTTCCGATTGAGTTGCATGAGACTCCAACCGGAAACATGGATCTCGACCTCCGGGGTGGGAGAGAGTGGCCAACCTACGGAAGGCCAATTGAGCTCGGAACCTGGGATGTCCTTGAAGCATTGTTCATAACACCACACGACACTAAGAGAGCTATCGAGGCATACAAGGAGTGTCTGGAGAGTCCAGAGACACCGGATGCTTTAAAGGAGCACACTCGTAAACTCATTGCTTCCAAGTATGGGAGCTGGGAGGCGTTTGAGAAGCTCGAGTGGGTTGCGATGGACCAGCACGATGCCGACAGCGTTACCCATGGTACATTTACGCAGTTTCTGCAAGAAAGGGTCCGACAATCGGAGATGGGCAGGTGGCAGGGTCAAGGCCAGAGGGATCTTGCAAGTTTTGCATACTCATACATGGCCGACGATTCATGAGTGGAGTGAAGAGAACACTGTGTTAATATCGGGTCATGATGTTATGATATACTGAAAATCCGTTCTTTATTATAGTTGCAGCCCGGCCTTCGATGGGTTAACTGAGCCCGAAGATCGTGGAGTGAAGAGATGTTTCGGAAATGGAGCAGAGGCAAGCAGAACGTCGAACCTCGTCACATGGAAAACTGGACATAACGTGTCAGGGTTACCAAAATTGATATGAGTTTAGATGTTGCGTATATGAGACGGGTTTTGAATTCCTAGCAGCGTGAAACATGCTTTAATGATAGGTAGTTAGTTCTATAGTAAATGGGCCATTTAAAGATTTCATTATTCTTTGGGGGTTCAGGGTGTTTATAAAGCGTGGATAACGCAAGAGTTAAGATGTTCTCAGTTGGATGAATGACAATCAATGATGAAGGAAAAAGGGCACGTGACTACACTGTAGTTGATCACACAGTCGCGGGAAACAGTTGACGGAGGGATCTCAGTCTGGCAACACTGACGAGGGGTGCGTGTTGGCGCGTAAGCTGGTCCAGCCGCAGACTAAAATAGAGGCGATCGGTTAAAACCCACACGCGGCAGAATCGATTGGTGGGGATTGGCTACTTGATTACTTGGCTAATTTCCAACAGACAGGGGCAGCCCGATGAAAAACGAGCCAAACGAACTCGACGTCTCGCCTACCTAGTTCAGCTGACAAGGGCCGCCTGCAACAACGGAGGACAGGTTCCGAGCGATCGAGATCCCTGGGATAACCGAGTTAGATAAATGAGGATGGGGACCTTACTTGGCAGCTTGGCTTCTGTGTTGTGGCTTGCCGCGCCTTATTCTGATCCGCAAATATGCCAGGGCCAAATCAATAGTCTCCCACTAGTCCTATGCAGAGTGGCCTAGCCACCAACACCAGCATGCATGCTGCGTGAACCAGAAAGAAGACAAAAGGGGCACACAAGAAGAACGTTTTCAACCTCTTACATCTCATTTCTGGGGCTGGGAACCTCTTCCCGTCACTAAGTTGTTATCGTCGCTCGTTCTCCATCCAACTTCCGTCACTCGCTATAATGCTTTCTTCTCGCCTTCTCACTGGGGTTCTCGCCCTGTTGGCCGCCAGCGCTGTCAATGCTCGCGTGTGCTACCCTTCCTCGATCCCCACCCTGTCAACCACCGTTTCGACTGCCACTGAAACTGCTTCCACGAGCGAGAGCGCTGTTACGACCTCGACTGATACTACTTCAACTGACGCCACCTCGACCGAAGCCACAACCACCTCGGCGAGCACCACAGACATTTCGATCACCACCACAACATCTGCTGAGAGTACCAGCTCCGCCACCACTTCAGCTGCCACAACCACGAGCTCCGCCCCGGCAACCGGTGATAGCTGCAGCGACGCGAATGACTGCCTTCTGTCCACGAACCCGCTTTGTGTTTTGGGCCTGTGTGATTGTGACAACGGCAATTGCGTTCCGGATCTCCTGAGCTGCGCAATCGACGCCGACTGTGCCCCGGGTCAATTCTGCATAAATGCCCTTTGTATAACAATCGAGTGAAATAGAGAATCAGACTATTTGCCCAACGTGGATTTTGGTTCTCACGGGGCGCTCGCGCCGGCCTGACCGCGTCTCGGAAAAGAGACGACGGCGACCTTGGTCTGGGTGCGGTATCATACTATACTTCAAGGACCACTACCGCAGAGTGAAGCGAAATTTGATGCCTCACCGAGGCTGAGGAGGCTTCTGGAACGGGTGTAGGGGTTGCGGAAAGAGATGGTGCTTCTTGGTTTCTCTGTGTAACTCAATCTAGGCTTGGTTTGGAATTCTTTGGTATGCCTAATATTGATGCTGATGTAGCTATGGCTTGATGTTTAGACCTGACATGATACTCAACACGGATCTCTCTCGATTGACTCTTTTAATGAGCAGCAAAAGCGACGCCCAAGTATGTTATGTGACTACGTTTACTTGCCTTGAAGAGAAGAATTGCAATAGCTTGTCATGCGGGTGAAACATCATCTCCTAATGAAAGATGGTGGCTTAACGACCAAGCGTGACGATGGAGTGATCGAACAGGGATATTCGCTGGCAATTGGATGGCCCCTGGACTTTTATTCGCCAAGAGGTTCTCTCTGGTGGGTTATTGTGAGCCAATAAACTCATGCCAAACGCATGTAGATCAACTAGGGCTTATGCAGCTAAAAGGAGGCTGAGTTGAGGGCTTGGCTTCAAACCCTCATCACTCAAACTTGGCCTCGTCTCGAAACTAACACACGAGGCACACTGAACGTCTGTCACACTATGAGCTTCTTTCTTCGAAAAACCAAGTTCAAATATGACTCACAGCTCGACAGCGATAGCATTAGGCTCGTGCGATTTCACAGGCCAAGGCGGACACAGCGAACAGCGGAGTTGAGTCTTGAGTTGAGTGTTTGGCAACTCCAAGCTTCTGAAAAGCTTGGTTATCACGCACTCTCATATACCTGGGGGCCACCCGAAGGCGACGACCGTTACACCTCTTCCGACATGCGCCAAATTCTACTCAACGGCAGGAAGTTTCAGGTCTACCCCAACTTGCACGACGCTCTTGTCCAGCTTCAAGATTCCCACATCGCCGAGTATCACTGGATTGATGCAATTTGCATCAACCAGGAAGACGAAAGTGAAAAAGCAGCTCAGGTATCCATGATGGCTCATATCTATTTCTCAGCTGCCCAGGTCAATATCTGGATCGGACAGAGCGACGAAAACACATCCATGGTAATGGACACGATTAGAAAAGTGGCAAAGCTTATCAGCCATATGTTTGCCATCGAGGGACACCTGGAACCCAAGCTCGAAGACAAGGTGAAACAGCTGGGACTTCCACCCTTCACCAAAGAAAACTGGGTACCATTTGCGAAATTCTACTTTCGAAACTGGTTTAGGCGATCGTGGGTTATACAGGAAGTGGCACTGGCGACAAACGTCCGGTTTTTCTGGGGCGACAAGGGGTATCTCACTTGGAAGGTCCTCATGGATGCAACCGGCGCCATGAACCGACTCGGATTCTACCCAGGTGGTTTGACCAAGATGCAAGAGGGATTAGGAGAAGACTGGGAGTACCCTGCGATCGGGGGCCCCCTCGAGATGATCATGGCTCATTCCTTGTGCAAGTCCCGAGACTTCACCGAACCCCAGTACTACTTTCTGCAGTCTCATATCGAGACAATCACTGGCCCTGGCGCATGGAGAAGAGGCGCGGCCCCAATGCTAGCTTGGCTCATGATGAGATGCAGGCGGTTTCACGCTTCTGACCAGCGAGACAAAGTGTACTCGTTATTGGGTATAGCAAGGTTTGCAGCCGGGGTTAAAGGGGCTCCGCCAACCTCCATAGAGGTTGACTACACAGATTCCTCTACGCCGACAACAGTTTTCACAAAGGCAGCAACCTTTATCCTCGAGGAATGCAATTATCTGGCCTTCATATCCCTTGCGAGTCATGTTATAAGCAAAGACGGCAAGAACCTCGAGCTCACGCCGAATTTGCCATCTTGGGTACCTGACTTTTCGACTTCAGCCCAGCATGCAGCCACCATGGCTGTGCTCTGTTATTCAAAGTACTTTGACTGGGACGCTTCCTGGTACCGCGAGCTTGGATCCCTCGGCTTACGTATCGATGGTCCCAAGCTTCATGTCAAAGCCGTTCGAATGGGGACCGTGTCCGCTGTTTCGGGTTGCGTTTCTGATGATCTCTTATATGGCAAGCAAATTGAGCCGTTCGCCGCGCTTCTATTGCAATGCGCCCAGCGATACGCTCTTACGGGCGAGCTGGCTATCGAGGCCTTCTGGCGTACTCTAATTTTCAACACAGAGATTCACGGCGCGCACCCCGCCAGTCGGGAGCTGGGGAGTGCTTTTAAAACCTGGATTCTTGGGATCATTTTCTACTATGTGCGAAACTCCGGTAGCCCCGGATCTGTTTGTGAAGAAACCATTCGCAACATGAAGTACTACAAAGCTCTTTCTGACCGGGACGCAAATATTGCGGGCGATGTGCTGCCAAATTTCGACTGGGTACGGGAAAAGATAGACCACCTAGGTCTTACGAGAAACGCAGAAGGGAATCTGGTAGACGATTTACCGTTTGACGAAAAACTCGAGATTGTACGCATTGGTGATTCCTACGGTGCGCTAGTGAGCGGCTCTGGCTATGACCGGCTGTTCTTCTTGACAGGAGAGGGTCACATGGGGATGGCCTGCCTTTCAGTAGCAGAGAATGATACTGTATGGGTTGCTTCATCCTGCCCTGTTCCTTTGGTTCTAAGATCTCGGGAGGATGGTTCCTATCAGCTGATAGGAGACAGTTACGTGCATGGAATTATGCATGGCGAGGCGGTTAAGGACGCCAAGTGGGAGGATATATGTATTACTTAGCTCAGTCCACATTTTATGCTACTTCGCCTTGCACTATTTCTACTTATGTCATGGGAAAAGAAGGGGGGGACCAACACCATTATGGACTACTTCGCATTTCAGAAACTATACATGGTACCAAACTAATCTATGGACTCGAGGGTTGGATCAAGAAGATATGATGCTGTCATCATTTAACTCAAAAGTCTGCGCTAGACGAGATAGCCTTTGTCTTCTCTGCAGTCTCTGACAACTTCTGAATCTTGGCCTGCAGCATACCGTGACAGTCGGATCCCAAAGGAACTCGCAACTGATCCTCGAAACCAACAGCCATTCCTGTTCCGGTAACAACTTCATAGATACGTTCAACTCCCTTCTGAGGATCACCAGGTTGATTTCCATGCATACCCTTGAGCATGCCTCCAATGTCGAGGTATCCTTCTCGGTTCGTGCTAACATTCTTCCCCTCTGAAGTGGCCTTGAGAAAGTCTGTTCTGAAGATGCCCGGCTCGATAATGTGAACTCTGATTCCCAGGGGCTTTAGCTCTTCATACATGCTTTCGCTCAAGCCTTCCACAGCAAACTTGGAGGCTGCGTAAATGGGAGCGCCTTGGCCTGCGAGAATGCCAACACCGCTCGAGATTTGCAAGATGACACCCGAGCCCTGAGCTCTCATGTGCGGAATAACAGCCTTTGTGAAGTTGAAGAGCCCAAAGAAATTGACATCAAATTGATAGCGGACCTCTTTTTCGGTAACCTCTTCGACTGCACCCATGTGGCCGAAGCCGGCATTGTTGACGAGGACATCGATGCGACCATGTTTGGATACGGCCGAGTTGATGACAGCCTCGATCTCGGTGAAAGAACTTGTCACCTCGACTTGAATGAGATCTGCGTTGGGAGAGTCACGAAGAGACTGGGGAAACTTTGAAAGACTCCGGGCTGTGGCGACGACTGTGTGGCCTTTTGAGAGAGCCAGCTGAGAGAGGAGGAGGCCAAAGCCGGAATTGGCTCCGGTGATGAACCAGACGAGATTCTTGGATGACATTGCAAAAATGGGTGAAGGTGGTTGTTATTCTTGTGACTGTTGGTTCTGTAGATGATGTGGTGGTTATGCTTCCTTGAAAGAGCTGTGTGGACGCTCTTTATAGAATTCGCGGCCTATAAACAATAACTTGAGCATCTAGCATCTGTTGGACTGCTAAGTCCGCTCTAACAACGTTTCAACGGCCCCTAGTGCATGTCTTGTCCATATCTCCGGTTGTTGTAGATGATTGGTGAGTTTCTGGAGAGATGCATGCCAAGCCACACCCCAAATCAACCAACTCCGCCCTGGCTAGCATTTTCCCGCCCTCACTCGGCCGACGCCAAGGCTGCGTAAGCACCTGCTGACCAACCTGGCAGCAATCCCCGATAAGCCCAATCTTTCGCCATTTAGCATCGGGAAATGACGCATTTCGTTTCTTAGGCGGCTATCCTTAGTCTCGCATTCTCGTTATGAGCGACCAATCCCAAGTCGATGCGGGACACAAGCGTGGCCGGAGAGTCACGGCGTGCATCGAGTGTCGGAAGAGGAAGAAGAAATGTGACCGTCGGTGGCCTTGCAACCACTGCCGGAGACGACAGTCCGCCCATGACTGCAAATATGAGACCAAGGTAGCTCTAGGGCCGAACGAGCCTGCTGCAGACCAAGTTAGTTCCACTCAAGGGCCTTTTTCTGCCGGTGGTTCTGCAGAAGCTTCCGCTGCTGTTATATCCCTCGGGTACATGGACGACCCGGTACTCAACATGATTGCAGTATGTACCCTTTCAAGTCCCGGCCGACGAAATCACTAACACTCAAGACAAGACTACGGCTCAGTCAAGCGACACAGTAAAATCTCTAGAGCTGTCGGGTCCAATACTTCAAGCCTCTCGTGCCGTTCCTCCACGTCCATATGCAGATATGCTTGTGCAGAGCTTCTTTGATAACGTCAACCACCATTATTGCATCCTCTATCAGCCATCGTTTCAGGCCTCTTACGAAGCCTGGTGGTCCCGCCGGCGGGATGTCTCATATCTCCGCGCCATGACCACCATTGCTTTTACCAGCTTGATCCTGCGTGTGTGCTCAAGTGCAACCCAGTTTCTACCGAAAGATGGACAAGATAGGCTAGAGTCCGAGCTTGGGGACTCCGCGACCGACCTCAGCCAGCTCTACCACGAGGCTGCAAATTCGTTGAGCGACCTTCTCCCTCCAGGCGTGGCAGGGCTTGTCAATGCTCAGCAGCTCTTTCTTGGGGCAACTTGGCTAAAGGCCGAGGCGAATTTTGTTGAATCGTGGCACATGCTGGCGGATTCAGTAAGACAGGCACAAGAGATTGGTGAGTTCAATGTTGGCATACCTCGTTGGTCAATGAGTAGATGGTAACGATAGCACACTTAGGCATCGATACTGATAAATCACCCCTCGACATGACGGGATACGAGTTAGATTCACGGAGGCGGCTGTGGTGCTCTCTAGACACTTGGGATAGGTAAGAATGCCACTTGTCTGATCACCTTGGATTGAGTCATATTAACTCGTTAGATTTATGACAGCTGTCTTTAACCGACCTCGCATCATAGGGTGCAGTAACCCCGTGCCGTATCCCAGCACCACTCTCAGCCTCTCGGGCGTTTGCTCGGATGCCCCTTCAGCAGCCCTCGCAAAGGTTCTCGAGAACCAGCTCGGAAGGGTTCTATCGGGAACCGAGCCGGGAAATCGCTCTCTAGAAGAGAGTCTTGCGACAGTCGAAAGCTGGATGTCTGCCCTTCCGCCCGTGTTCAGCTTGCATGCCTCTGAAAAGCAATGGGATGAAGATGCTCCCTGGCTGCGGTTCCAGAGGCTGCAGTTACATTGTGTCGGATACATGACCCAGCTGGCCCTCATGAAGACTGCGTTGGTAGTTGAGCCGCAGCATCAAAACCACATTGAGAAGGCTACGGAAATCGGCCTATTGGCTATGAGTGTTTGCGAAGAATTCTTTGACCTCTGCTTTCCGCATCATGCCAAGTATTTCATGGTCTCGTTCTGTCCGTTTGACGTTGCGGCGCTTCTCTGCTCGCTACTCCTCCGAGATACGAACAAGACATTGTCGAAGAGAGCTGAAATGGTGAATGCGGTTGGCTCCGCACTTTCGATATCCTTCCGACTGCGAGATTATACGAAGATGGGCGAGCCGACGTGGACCATACTCAACGCCTTGGTGTCACGACTCCAGCTAGAGTCGGGTGAGACTGAGGCTCTGGGAAATTCGGCGAGAGCTCGCAACTTGGGGGACGGAGAATTAGAGTCAATACACAGGGGCCAAGTGCTACCGAGTGAGGGCGTTGCTGCTCCCGTGAGCCAATGGCAGGACGAAAATGTCTTGTTTGGTGGAAGTACCGAGGGAAGTCTTGATCTAGGGGTCTTGGATGGAGTATGGGACTGGCAAAGCCTGTCGAATGAGTTCAACCTGTAGTGGCCGTGATAGAAAGGCTGGTATGCTTTAATTATTAGTGGTATAGGGTGAGAATTCCAGGTAATAAAAAAACGCGTCAAAGCCTTCAGCAAATGTCTTAAGGTGGGTAGCGGGCGGGCGGGCGGGAGGCTGCGGGCAATCCCGTAGCCGCGCGATACTGGTAGCAGCGAGGTTAATTCGACGAATGGGCAGTGCAAAAGTATGCCTGAGGCGAAATAAATTCAGGAATTTCTCAATTCAGCCCTATACAGAGACTCGTACGTTGCTTGGCGTTAAGCATACTCATATTGATTGCGGGGCAAAGAGTCCTGAGTTTTATGAAGTGTGTGTTAAGTTGGGTGTGTAGAGGGAGCCAAGGCGGCACTTCGACTCTATCTCTGCTAAATTTAGGAGCTGAGAGCAGAATTGAACCCGATCGAGACAGATGGTGTGGTAACAGCCGTGGCGCTTCCCTTAACTATTCTTCATCGGGACTTATTTTGCGTTGGCCAGGGCCCTCGTTGTTGGCTGTTGTCAGCACTGGTAGGGTACTTTGGCACCGCTACCTGCATGTCAGATTGACCGCCGCCAAGTATGGTTATTTTTTTCTGCCGAGATGGGCTCCATTTCCCGACGTTTCATGTGGGTAAGACAAGCTATCCGTCGTCTGCCAAGGATCGACTCTTTGATGGCTTCCTCTTGTCGATGTCTCTACCGAGTGAGAGGCAGACCTGGCGCAGATCTACAGTGATTACCCACATCTACATGCGCATCTACAGACATTCTCACGTGCGAGCATAGAGTCAACGCTGGGAGCTAGGGGCCATCCTTGGCGGCCCGACCCAACCCTCATCATGCAGGTTGTTCGTTGTCCAATCATGCTGCCGATGCATCTCACCAAAGTACAATTTGCTGTACTGCGCCCTGATGTGACCGTGCGCCGATCTATGGTTAATAAACAGCACATGATTGTACAAGAGTACAGCCACGTATCATGCACATATGCAGAGAGAGGCCAGGCCGGTGGGTTTCACATGAAGCACGTATGGACGCCTCTTGGCTGCAGTCAGCTCCCAGCTGAAAATGCCTGGTCAGAGCCAACGTTGAGTTGAAACTACTGCAGGTAGAAAAAACGGCTGGAAACAAAAGAGGCCACTCTTGTAGCATGAAAATATGATGATATCAAGTGTTGATACTGTGCTCTTCGTTATAGTTGAGGCCTTACTCTTCATGGAATATCTGAGCCAAGAGATAGTTAAAGAGGCAAGATGATGGCGAAATAACCCACTCTGAAACAGCAGATGAGAACATGGACAAGGTCATGAACTAAACAATCGTCCCCAGTCCTGGCGCCCGCAGACGAGATGAGCCCCTGATTCTTCTTGGACATGATTTGCAACGCCACTCAGCCAACCGACAACAGCACCTTCTGGCATCACCAGCCCTCGTACGACAGTATAGACGCCGTTGCACCTGTCCTGCAAACGCCACAAAACCCAGCCCTCTCAGCCCTACCGGGGGGCCTGGTCAACATCACAGCACAGCAGTAATAATAAGCATTGCCGGGGTCTGGACTGTGGAGCCGAATCAGCCATTGGAGAGACCTGGGGTTGGGCTTGGGAGAGCGCGAAATCCGGCCTAATTAGGAAATCGCGGTCGTGATTAGCTGGATGGATTACATGAGCCAGACTCAACCACAAGTTGGCTCTCGACTTCGACGACACGAGATTATTTTATATCCTCGTGCTTCCCGTTCATCTCGAGTCTTGTTCCTTCCAAGCACTCACTTCACTCGAATACACTCGGTTGTGTCTTTTCCTTGGTCGATTTCATATACCATTCTGTATATTCTTTTTCCTTGTCTTGAAGCTTTCTCATCCCGACGACGCAATGGGCCATTCTGGAGGCGCTGGCATCGTTTCTGCCACCACGGCACCAGTTCATGGTGACGGGTCCGGACTCAAGCTTGTTTCAGGACCCGACACCGACTACCAGCAGGCTCAGTCCCACGACGAGGAGGAGCCCGTGATCCAGTTCCCCAAGCGTGAATCAGCGGCTCCGGTAGAGGTATACACTAATATTATTTCACTTGCCAGAGTCTAGTCTTGGCTGACTTTGTTAATAGCTCTTTTACGATCTTTGGTTCGTCGCCAACCTCAACGTCTTTACGACTCTGCACCCCATCACCGACGTGACCAACCTGGGTTCCTTTATCAAATACTTTCTGTAAGACTCTGCGGCTAACTAGTAATCGCCATCCACAGCTCGCTGACTGTTGAACTCTAGACTACTCTGGATCACCTGGCTCGCTACTACCGTCTTCGATGTCCGCTTCGGCCAGGATAACGTATTTGAGCGCGTCGCCCGCGCTGCTCACCTCACAGTCATGATTGGTTTCTCGGCCGGTGGCGTCTCCTTCAGCCAGACCAAGCAGCTCCAGCCCATCTTCAAAGTCATGTGTGAGTGCAGAATAGGAATTGGATGCCAAAATACATGAGATTGCTGACCGGCCTGTTTTCTCTCGCAGCCCTCTGCCTCATGTGCTCCCGCTTCGTCCTCGCCATCCAATACGGCGTCGTCCTTTATCAAGCCCGCCACAACCGCCGAAGCCGAAACAACCTCGCGCTCTCCGTGCTGCTACACCTTGTGCCCGCCTTTATCTACATGGGAGCCACCATCGCCATGGCGAAGGGCAGCAAAGCCGAGATCGACTATCTGTGGTGGGCCGTTGCCCTGGCTGAACTGGCTGCCATCATGGCGCACGCCACTTTTTCCAAGACAGTGAGCTTTAGCGGTACGCACTTGACGGAGCGTCTCAACCTCCTCACTTTGATTGTCATTGGAGAAGGTATGGTTCATAAACTCTAGATGCAGCTATTTGTTTGCCGTCTCAGTGAAGCTAACTCGCCAACTCAGGCATCATCATCCTCGCCAAGACCATCACCAAGATTGTGCAGTACACCTATCTCAAGGACCCTACCACGAGCTGGTGTAAGTTTCTCTCCCTGCTGCCCGAATCAATTTTAGTCCAACGCTGACACTTGCCAAAGCCTCTGCCCTCTTTGGCCTTATCGCTTGTGGCGCTGCCATCCTCTACTTTACCTTCCAACTCTACTTTGACTGGATGGATCACCACAGCCATATGTCTCCGATCAAAACAGCCATTTGGACGGTCCTCCACCTTCCCTATCACATTGCTGTTGTCCTCACTGTCGAAGGCAGCGGCCAGTGGATCACGTGGCGACGCACCATGGAAGCCATCCGGGAAGCCATCTTCTCCCTGGAGAATGGCTTCTTCAAAGCCGCGACCGCCGGCATGGATGGACTGGGCATGAGTGAGGCCGTGGCTGCCGCGTTGACCAAGACCTACGACACGTACACGTTCAGCGCCAAGACCGTGGACACCATGAACCAGGAACTTGCAAAGATTCCGGATTTTCCCGACTCGTATTGGGAGTCGTTCGACATCGACCGGTTTTCTAATAACCCTACCGCTAATGACACGGCCATCACTAAAATTATGGCAACCCTTGAGGGCTCGCTGATAAACGGCGTCTTCACCACCTATGGGCTTACCACTTCGTCAAAAGCCAAGACCCAGGCCGAGGCTGCGGGAAAGACTGATAAGTTTCGCGGCGAGGAAGCTGCCATGGAAGCCGTGGGAGAACGCCTTGTAATGATTGTAAGCGGTGCCCCAGTCCCTGCCTTTGGCTGAACCAAACACCCATATCGAAACTGACGCTGACCTTGACTCATTAGCTTGCTTACGTCTTCGTCGCTGGCGGCGCTGTCCTGTTGCTCCTGTCTCTCATGCACCTCATGCAGAAGCCCAAGGGCTGGTCCGTCTTCCAATTTATCCGCCTTGGCCTTCTCACCATTTGCGGTGCCGCCCTCTGCCTCATTGCGATTGTCTCCACCAACGATAATATCACGCAAAACATGATGCAACATCCTTGGACACTCCCCATCATCGCCCTTGTCTATCTCCTCGCCCTCGTCGGAACCCACCTGCCGACCCCTGGCGGCATGAAGACTTCTCACAGCAGCCAGATGGAGATGGGCGAGCACAACAAGCCAAGCGACACTGCTCGAAGCTCGCCGTACCACGATTAAGGGCCCTTGAAATCGAAACGACTAGACTCTGAAGAAAGTCTGGGCAAGGAGGGCCACCAAGTTGAAGAGGGAGGCGGTTGATTGGGATCCGGAAACACGACCACGCTTCAAGAATGGATTTAATTTGGTCATTTTCGTCTTCTTTTTCTTGTTTTCATTTCTTGTTTTCCTTGAATGCCTCCGGACTTGAAAGAGTGATTGGACGGCATGGCACAGTAATTTTGTTTGATGTTCAAGATACGAGTTTGGCAGCATTAGAGCAGAAAATACATGGCTACCCGCCCCGAGGTTGAATTTGCATTACCGTCAAATTTACGACCATGATTTAGCAATCTCCATGGGGATGTTCTACCGTTTCACTCCTGTAGCAACTTGACGCGTTGTCTAACCCTTGGTACTGAGCATAAAGAAGGACAACCCAGCGCGGCTGCACGGAAGGCGTTATGACATACCACACATGTCCATAGCAGTGTCTACAATGAGAAGAAAGATACGCCTACAGCGACGGGAAAACGTCTTGGGTCCTCCCTTCGCATATCCATCGGTTGTATCAAGTGGAACAGTGCTTAACTACCTATGGGCACAGATGACAACTTAACTTGGATACACGATATACTTAAGCTAGCAAGGTCTCAATAGGAAGTGTGGAAGGGACAGAAATAGCAGCATTCCATTGACACTCACACTGCAAAAAGGGTTCCTCACTACACCTTGCTGAAAGACCCCGCGCTGGAGGCTTGTGCCTGAGCAAATTGAGCCTGAGCAACAACCGCTGCCAACCTCTGAACTCGAGAATGAGTGATCAGCATTGATCGCGGATATTCATCGGGCAGCTTTTCCCCGAGCAACAGGTGCGCGAGCATTTCTGCCGCTCTGAAGGCTCTAACCATGCCAATGCCTTGGAAAGCGGCGCAGACCCATTGATGACTACGACCAGGGAAGGGGAGCTTGCCAATGAAGGGATTACCATCCAGCGTGAAGCCAACAGGGCCACTCCAGGCATGAGTGGTCTCGGCCTCTCCACCAAAGTCAAACACTAGAGGACTCGTACCGCGTAAATGGGCGTGAGGGAGAAAGTCGATGGCGCTGTCATCGGCTGTTGCTCGACGGGACGAGTTTGCCCGTCCGATTATGTACGCACCATCAGGCCTCTGCATCAAAAAGTCATAGTCCTTCTCTCCGTATCGCAGCCACCACGAGTTACCAGGCTTCATCACCTTGTTCTTGGGAAGACGACGCTGGACATTGGCTCGAACGGGGGAAACAAATGGCCGTAGTTCTGGGACAAGATGACCAATCCAGGCATTGGTTGCGTGGATGATATTGCAGGCCCTGATGTTTCCTCGGCTTGTGTGGACGGTGGCATAGTCGTCTTCGTCATTATCAGAGATTGATGTGACGACGGCATTGGTCTGAACTGAGAGTTTGTTGTCTCTGACCATCCTCTCCAGCAGCGCTGTCACCATCTTATAAGGCCACATGGACCCCGCACGCATGCCGATTGCTCCGACGCACTCGTCTGAGACATTTCGGGATCTCAAGTCCTCCCTGGATGTGTAGATGGTATATCGCTTGCCGAGTGCCGGAGCATACTTTCGCATCTCTTCGACCGCTTTACAAGCATGGTCGAAGATCTTCTTATCGTAGTAGGCATCAAGGCCTTCCAAGAGGTCCAGGTCGCAATCGATGTTCTCTTCACGAATGCAAGCCGTCATAATGTCGACGTGACTATGCTCATACTCCATGATCTTGATGGCTTCTTTTAGGCCATACATCTTCTTCCGATCGTGCCAGGCGCCGGGACTCATAGCTTTCATATGGCCTCCATTGCGGCCAGTGGCCCCGGAGCAGAGGTCTCGGGCTTCGAGGAGAACAATCTTGGGTGCACCTCGGGAGTACAAGGTACGGCAGAGGCTTGCTGCTGTCATGCCAGAACCGATAATGACGATGTCTGCCGAGTCCACCCATGGAGACTGGAGCGTTCCGATCTTGGCTGGCTCTGTCAGCCAGAAGGGTTTGGTTGAATTGTCGACAGGAACTCCAGGATCAATGACACCCCTTTCATAGATTCCGTCAGGTGAGGTGGACATTTTGGTAATGAGAAGCTCTGAGTATGATTGAGATAACGAGGCAGATGACAGTAGTGACGAACAGCCTACGTCCTTGCCGTAGATGGTCTTATAAGCATATTAGTCCTGCTGGAGGCCAACTCTCGACTCTCATGTTAACTTCCCGATTTGGCAAATCGATCCTACGTCTAGTATGCAGTCTATAACCGCGTGACGCTGAATCTCGGCCCCGCTCCCGAGCAATCCTGCCGGAACACGCTGCAAGCTGAACTGCCGTAGATTAAGTTTTGCATTGCGATTGGTCTATACGCTCAAGATCGGCGTTACAATCTAGATATCGAAGTCCGAAGGGGTCTATACGACCTCGTCCCTCTTGGGAAACACCGGACTTTGAGCAGTCCCGCCTGCGAATGTGAAAGAAACGCCGCCACTCTTGGCACGCCTTTTGGCCCGCGAACAGGCGATTAGAGAGCGTCTCAAGATACACAGAAGCAAGTTTTACGTGGTCATAGGTCAGGTAGAGTCCCATGAGTGAATGTAGTTGATCTGATATGGTGTGTACTTGGAAACGTGGGAGCTACCCCGAGGCATTAATAACCACCACCATGTCTCGGATAACATAGGAAAAAGGCACTGCGACCTGACGGCTCGCTACAAGTTCCCGTCGCGCACAGGGTTGAATACTAATGTCGGATAGTAGAGGCATCCGCATACCAAGGACAATAGTATTTCCTGATTTACTCAATGTGCCCATGCTCAACCTTTTCCTGAAACACGTAGTCACTGTGCTGAGCGAATTCTGAAAAGAGTCAGTAGTATTCTGTTTGGATAGCAGTCACAGAACTTACGATCAACTTTGGTATACTTGAACTTCCTGGCGGGAACCTTGTTCTCGAACAGAATATCGATCTCTCCAAAAGTACGGTCCTTGGTCTCCGGAAGACGGAACCAACACCAAATGAAGCAGAGCAAGTTAGTACCGGCATAGAAGAGACCGGTCTTGGCACCCCAGCCCCATCCTATCTCGTGTGAGTACAATCCTTTGCGACCTGTCAATATTCACTAACCTGAAGCTGAGATCATTCGTGGTGTAACAGCGTTGTTGAAGATTGCAGTAAGATTGTAGACAAATCTTCCAATGACGATAGTCTTGTAGCGAAGTCGTCCTGAGGGTGTTTCAGCGACGATTGGATAGCAAACTGGCCCGATGGTGATCATGTTGCAAAGGGTCGAGACAACAAATAGAAGCCCTACCGCAAGGTAGGCGTCCTTGCTATCAGACCATCCAAGACCGCCGATAGCCAGAAGGCAGCAGAACATGAATGCCAGTCCACTCATATAGATGGTCGCTCTGCCGATATGTGGGAAAAGGAGCCAGCAAATTATACCGCCGATGATGTAGCATGCCGAAAGGGAAATGTTGAGGTTGAATGACTGAACTTCGGACCAGCCAGCGGCTTGAAGAAAAACGATGACGAAGCCGAGGATCGCGTTGCCACAGAGAATCTGGGCAGCCCAGACAACGCAGTTCTGAATAGTTAGCCTTGTGAGTTGAGCTGGGGGGTATTGTACGTACGATCTCAGTCCGGCGCAAGTTGGTTCCCTTAAAACACTCCCAGAAAGATGCACCCTGCGTCTCCGCCTTTTCCAACTCGGTTGTGTGTCTGATGTAGGCCAAGCTTGCTTCGACCGAAGCCTCCTTATCCGCCGAAGCTGTAGCAAGCCTCATCAAGCTATGACGAGCTTCATCGATCTTGCCACGACGAACAGCATTCCAAGGCGACTCTGGGGCAAAGTACGCCACCAGAAACAATGGAACCGGCCAGATCCACTGGAGATAGAAAGGAAGCCTCCAAGCGAGATTGCTCTTGATGTCAGAAGTCGCTCGAACGACTCCAGACGACAGGAGGATACCGAATCCCCAGCACATACACACCCAAGCTGTAACATAAGGTCGGAGAACGGTGGGGACGACTTCGCAGGCATATGTTGTAGAGAGTGTCTAACAACATCAGCAAAGTTCGAGAGTAACAGGGGATGATTAGTGGACTCACCTGGAAAACACCCCAGGCCACTCCACAGAGGGCCTCGCCCAGAGCCAGAATAGACAGAGACGGAGCAAAAGCGATGATGAAGATCATGCAAGTCAGATAAGCCATAAAGACCATCATAGTCAACCGAGCGCCGTATCGATCTTGAGAGTATGCGTTGATCAAAAGACCAGCCAATTGGCCAACTTGGGCTGAGTTGGAGAGGCCTGATTGCCAAGCAGGAGTGATGACCTTTTTGCCTTCAGCTTCGCTGTACTTTCCAAAGTGTTGCTGAAATTGGGTCTGTCCGTAAAAAGAGCCGATCTAGAGATGTCAGTATGCCCAGTCTAGGGACAAGTATGGTAGACGTACCATGACCAGGTCGTAGCCCTCCATGATCAAGCTGACGGACAAAAGGCATGCCCAAAAGACAGCCTTCTTGTACTTCTTGAGGGCTTCCTTAACCGTGAGCTTCTTATCAGCAGCATCTGCATCTTGAGCACGCTGAATAAGCTCGTGGATCTGAGGATCGTTCAAATCCAGACCAGCAAGTCCTTGCTCGGTCGGGATGACTTTGTCTTGAGTCATGCTGGAGTACGGTCGGTTGCAGATTGAGATATCGATGATGCTTGATGATATTGACCAAAATGACCAGCTGTCAATCATCTATATATACTCGTCGCGACTGTAACCATCTTCCCCATGGGGATCAAAGGCTTGATTGAGTTGGTGGCATTAGCCTGGCCCAAGAGCCTGGAACGCTCGACGCGAGGTTGTGTGCCGCCAAGGCACGTGCGGGGGAATATCAGAAGCGCTCCAATGCGAACGAGTGGCGTCTTGTTTATTCAGAGTTGTCAGTCGACTTTGACGAGTGTTTGCTGCGAGAGGAAGCTGGCCCCTGAGGGCTGGAGTTCTGACACCCATCACCGGTTTGAAAGCCGCTTCGAATGACGAGTCAGGGTCGTTTTAATCCGCCGTGGCTTTCATGGCTTGTCCGACTGACCACTCACGGGTCGTTTATCCCGCCTCATGCACGGTCTTCGGGTAGACGGCTGGGTTCCGTGTAAGCGGCTGATCGCTGTAATTACCCCAGATTGATTTGCGCCTTCATCCGACAACAACGTTTTTCTATACGCGCACTTATCATGTTCATATTCTGCTTCATCATCTGCTATTCATTGCTCCTATTAAATAGAATACTTCATGTTGGAAGTGTACAATAGGCATCATCGCAGATAAAATGTTGAATTGTGGAAGATTAGATCAATCAATACGAGATACCGAATCCGGGGCTGTCACCTGATAACAGAACCCCGCTTTGAACTTCAGGAAGCGATCCGAGGCTAAACATCAAAATCTGACGGAGCCACACCTCTCAAGATGCGCACAGTCTCGTCTTGTAGTGTCTGTCGGTAGGACATCTCCCTCGTAGCTGTGACCTATAAACTCATACATGACAGGTCAAGGAAGAAGCGGTGCATCCCCAGTGCTGTGGGGTCAGCTTGCAGACTGTGCACAGCCAAGGGGCTTCAATGCAACGCACCAACAGCAGCCCGGGAGTCTCCGGATATCCCACGGCCATTGGCACGCATTGCACCATCATCTCAAAGCAGTCCTTCTGTGAATGGACGTGAAGATATAATACAGATTGTCGACAGAGATGACGCATTGAGTGATGAATTGGTCGAGATTTATTTCAGGGTCATTCATTACAAACAACATCTCCTATTTCACCACAGCTCTTTCGTGCGCGACCAAAAGCAGGGCTTGGTGGCACGATATCTGTTATTTGCCGTCTTTGCCCTGGGAGCTCGGTAGGTACAAGCTACAGCCAGTCAAAGACAAGCTCCTGACATGTACAGCTTTTCCTCAAACCCTGCCCTTGACCATGTTACACCATGGTCACGTGGGAAGCTATTCTTGCGAGAAGCGATCAAGTCTTTCAACGAACGCACAAAGCTCATATCTATTGAGGCTCTTCAAGGTTCCATAATACTTGCGTTTGCGGCATTTGTCGAGGGTGACGTCGATCAGGATGCCCTGCTTAGCTGCCAGGCAATACGGATGACCCAAGCTCTTCAACTCCCGATTGTGTTGAGTCCCGATAGACTAACGAGAGAGATCGAGACTAATTGTGCGTTCACTACCTCTGTATATAGCCGCTGCTAACAGAATAGTATACTGGCAGGTCTGGATGATGGACTGCTGGACCTCTGTTAGATCTCAGCTACCACAGCAACTACGCAACGACCCGACATTTCCGAGACCGATTCGAGAAGAGGCCTTTGATGCCATGCCGGAATACAGACCTACCGACGACCAAATTGATCCCGAGTCGCGAGCAACGAGCCTCTGGACCTTGATCCTTCCTCTGACACAATGGCACGCGCAGGCAGTCAAGCTAAATTACGACATTGTTCACGAACCATCATTGGAGTTTAGGATCAGAAACTTGGTTCGCGACCTTGCAAGAAAACTTGATCATTGGGTCCAGAGCTTACCACCAACTCTAAGAAACACTTTGGAGAACTGGAGTAGTTACTCAGACCGTGGATATGGGCGACCATTTGCAGTCATGCACATCATCTACCATCACACTGGCCAGCTTCTCTTTTATCAGTTTCTCAACAAATGCATCGTACCAGAAGATCATGCCACGGTGGACGAAGAAGCATTGGGATATGCTGAGCTGTGCAAGGCCCATGCCACAGCTTTGAGCAAACTCTTCTGGGAACTCAACGTCGCCCCAGATCTAGACTGTCTGTGGTCGCCAGTCAACAGTCATCTCCTCGTCATCGCATCAACAATTCACTTGCACACGATGCTTTTGGGAACAGGAAGACCAGAGGCAGCTGAAGCGAAGCAGCTCCTAGAGCAGAACTTTGTTGTCTTACAGGAGTTACAGAAGTACTGGCCCTCTACAGAGCTTGCATTTTCGCGACTTCAGTCATTTCACAATGCTTGTCAGATGAGCAGTATCTCAAAGACGTTCAACATGGATCAGTGGATGGTGAATTTCCTCAATAGATATGACATCTCCATCGAGGATCGGGAACTTGGTGTCGAGGTGAATGGCGGGGTGGGCGGGAGCAATACAACGGGTGATGAACTGTGGGCAATTATGTTTAGCAATAATTAGGTCGATCAATAGAGTCTGACCACCTCGATTGTGTATGCGGGGATCCCATGTTGATCTTCCGGAGAAGATGGGGCATTGAAGCCGACAAAGCCGACAGTTGACAGATGACTACCTCCAAGCCGCCACATTACTTTATGAAGGTCGCAGTGAATGACTGGCTTAAAGTGTAGTTACCCCTCTCCATTGAACAGCTGATACAATCCGAATGTATGCGCTCCAATAAGCAAACGCTTCGCCATGAGATGACCGTTCTTCGAATGTGATGTGAACCATCTCCGCACTTTGACCCCAGACACCGCCGACATGGGCCTTGATCCGCCAAGAATGGCGGCGCTTTAGCGATTTCATTGGCTCGTAGCCCGACAAGGCCTTCTGTAATGCGACGTTCCGTAGCATCGTCCGCTTGCTTATCGGTTCCCCTCCGCTGTGGATCGTCATCGTCCGTTGTCTGGTATAATAAGGATCCAAATTGTTGACCTTGATGATCCACGAACACTCACCAAGATCGTGGTCCAACGTCCTCTCATCTTCTGCCGCTGTCAGTCTGTCACCGCAATGCCTTTCCAAGAGTTTCCCCTCACCAGCGTGGACGTCACGTCTTCGTTTTGGTCCCACGTCCAGCATTGCTCTAGGCTCAAAACCATCCCCGCCATCGTTGATGCCCAAAAGACATGGGATCACTGGACTTGTCTGACCTGGAATGAGGGCCACGATGTGAAGCCTCATCAATTCTGGGACAGCGACATTTACAAAATTATCGAGGCTGCTTGTTATTTTCTCATTAAGCACCCGGACGACAATATGAGAGCAGTGGTGGAGGACGCTGTGGAAATGATTCGGGGCGCTCAGCATGAGGACGGCTACATCAATTCTTACTACACCGTGAGAGGGATCAAAGACCGCTGGACCAACCTGAGAGACAACCACGAGCTGTACTGCTTCGGCCACCTTCTCGAAGCGGTGGTTGCTTATGAGACACTCACAAGAAATGGACGACTGCTCGAAGTGGCCATGAAGGTCTGCAAACACCTGGATTCCATCTTTGGCACCGAACCTGGGAAGAAGCGCGGCTACCCAGGACACCAAGAGATTGAGATTGGCCTACTAAGGCTATACGAACTCACCAAGGACCCTCTTCCTCTCAAGCTTGCCACGTACTTCATCACGGAGCGAGGTCGACGAGATGAGAAGGATGAGACCTACTTCGACAAGGAAGCCTTCGCACGAGGAGCCGATCCCTATGGCCACATGGGAACCGAGCACAAAGCTTGGTTCAGGGACCCACGAGATTATGGCTACCAACAGGCAGACGAGCCACTCGTTAATGCTACGCAAGTCAAGGGGCACTCTGTGCGCGCCATGTACTTTTATACCGCGGCTACCGACCTTGTGCGCCTGTCAACGGATGCAGATAATGCTCAAAAGCTGAAGGCCGCCCTTGGCCGTCTATGGAGAGACATGGTCGATAAGAGGATGTACGTTACTGGCTCGCTTGGGTCAGTCCGCCAGTGGGAAGGCTTTGGGCCTGCCTATATCTTGCCTGACCTAGAGCATGAAGGATGTTATGCCGAGACTTGCGCCACCTTTGCCCTCATCAACTGGTGCGCCCGCATGCTGCGCCTTGACCTTGATGCTGAATACGCCGATGTTATGGAGGTTGCTCTCTACAATGGCTTTCTTGGCGCTGTCAATCAGGACGGAGACGCGTTCTACTACGAAAATGTGCTGCGTACCCGGAAGGGGGAGTTCAAGGAGAGGAGCAAGTGGTTTGGAGTGGCTTGCTGTCCTCCCAATGTCGCAAAGCTCCTGGGCAACCTTGGCTCGCTGATCTATTCTCAAGACGCCTCTACGAACTTGGTGGCCATTCATCAATACATCGACAGCGAGCTGAAGATTCCGGAAAGCGGTGTGATCATCAGACAGAAGACCGACATGCCTTGGGATGGTCAAGTCGTGTTATCCATCCAAGGGTCAGCCAACCTTGCCCTTCGAATCCCCAGCTGGGCAAAGGACTGGTCATGCTCTGTCAAGGGCGAGGTGAAGAAAGGTTACCTCTATGTCTCGGCCGAAAACACCGATATTCGCCTCAATTTCCCAGTGGCCTTCCGCAAGACATATGCCCATCCCAATACCAACAAGGATGACATTTGTCTCATGCGAGGGCCACTTGTTTATTGCCTTGAGGATGTTGATAACGAGGGTACCGATCTTGACTATGTTGGACTTGTGGATGGCCCTGTCAATGACGGCACGACTGTGCCTTTGTCTGGCCTTGACCAGGTTATAACAGGACATGTCCAGGGAAAGCAGCTCATTGAGGTGCAGCCGAAGGGACTGTACAGTGGCCGGCCTTGGGTATATGAGAAGACGTCTCGGGACTTGGTAGCGATTCCCTTCTTCCTCCGGGCAAATCGTGGTGGAAATGGAGCGATGAGGGTGTGGGCTCCTCGTCTTGAGGCTTCATCTCGGAATGCCACAGGATCACATCTGTAAGGGCTATAGCTAGACATAAATGATGTTACTTGTAAGGGTTCCTTCTAAGAACCATGTCTTCTGTGACTCATCCATGAATGTCTGGTCAGTGTAAATTTTCATGGCCTCATCACAACTTGGTCATGGTTCCCCAGATTGGTCTACAGATAGGTACGATAGAAGAGCACGGAGAGTTCAAGATGCCTTTGTTCTCTACTTAAACTAATATGAGGAGTTTTTGGCTAATAGACTAATGAGAACCCCGACATAGAACCATATCTGTATGAGATGAGGTGTTAAGCTCTCTGAGATTTAGTAGTTGAAAATAGAATTAAGTAATGATGCCAAAGTAAGAATATGCAACGACTAACATTCTCATTCAGCTTAACACCATGTATTAACTACATCAAGTGGTATGTAGATGTTACTCCAATAATATCTAACAAAACGGCTTTAGTTTAATTGCACATATATCAGAGGGGAAAGCGTTGTTGGCTGAGTCTTGATGCCTCTAGAACTACCCTAGACAGTTGTGACGATGATGTCCCTGGAATAAGTTCGGAGGCCTTTAGGGCCAACGACTTTACTCGCTTTAGTGACTTTTCATATAAACCTTATGGCAAACTGGGCCTAATGCTTAGGACTTCTATACATCTTGTATCACAATATGCGTGAACGCGATTAAAAATGACTTCAAATTGTACGGCGCTATCTAATCTGCATAACGAGTGCCCTTTGACCTGGTTTGACAAAGAATGTTCCATCAACAAGAAAATGAACGAGACAGAGCGACCGCACACCAGAGAAAGAAATGGGCCTGGGAAGCACGCTACCTTGGTATCGAGAAATGATTGAGTAGGGAGGCTTGGTGACTTACTGATCTCGGCGACGTAACTCGCTACGTAAGAATCATCATTGTCCTGGGCCTCCCGTCGGTGAGACCCCCATGGACGCCTTCGAATCAGTGCATTTGGCAAGGGCAATGCAAATATCGAAGTTCATTGAGGTCTGACCTCCCAAGCAGTGGTGGTGATGGTCTGGCACCCAAGCCTCGATCCTTGCTCATTGGCTAATAAAGGGCTAACCACTCGCTAAAGAAGTGAAATGGCGTCTCCACCAGTTCGGGTGAATTCGATGCGAGCGTCCGACAGTCTAGAGCGCTGACGTGAACATTGGGGTCCCCACAGTTCTTTTCCATTGATAACCAGTCGTGTGCCCCAAAGGGAGCCTGGTCCTGCATGGCTGAGACTCCATCACCACCTACCACTTCGTTGCACTCCCTTCACTGTCTCAACTAGGGTCGCTTTAAGTCAATCTGACTTCGACCAAGATGGATACACGCTCAAATAAACGACAAAGAAATAACAGCACAAACGGTCATGCCCAGGGAACGACACCTTCGACGGCGCCCCGGGACTCAGACGAGAGCCCTAGCCAAATCCCATTAGCGAACAGGCCAGCGCCTGTGCCCGCCCATGAATCCCCAGCAAACTCAAATGAGGCCCCAGCCCTGGAGATGCGCTCTTGCGAGAATTGTAGACGTGGAAAACTCAAATGCTCAAGGTCATATCCATGTGCCAAGTGCCTTGATAAAGGTCTTGACTGCGTGTATGAGCAAGATAAACGCAGAGGCCCGAAGCCCGGCTACATTGAGGAGATATACCGGAGAATTGATGTCTTGGAGCAGATGGTCATCGGCCAGTCTTTGCTTATGCGGCCTCAACACCAATCTTCTGAATCAAGGCCCGATTTTCGCTCCGTTGTCGATGGCACAAGGCAGATGCTGAGAGAAGTTGGTCTGCATACTTCCAGAGATGGAACGGCTGATGATGCTACTCTATCTCAAGGTCCCCGACTTTCACGTGTTCAACAGTGTGTTTACCGACACGCCTTACAGACGACAGTGAGCTGATCGGCTTAGGGACACGACAAACAACGATTCACCTGCTATAGACATGCCGGACGCCACCATTGGCGAAATGTGTCACGTTTATCGGACCCAGATTCAACCCTGGATACCTGTGCTTCAGCCTCAGTTCTTCTTCCACGCTCAGGGGTATGTTGGTCAACAATCGACATATCCGTGTGGCCTGCAGATGGAAGCACTCATGGCGGCTACTGGGCCTTTCCTGGGAGGAGGACGAGACTTTGATCGACAAGAGTATTTGCGCCGCACCCAATCTGGCGTCTGTGAGAAGCTCCTCACAACCGCTGATATGAACACTCTTCACGCTTGCACCATTATTCAGTTCCTCCTCCTCGGCGACGGACGCATGACAACTTACTGGGGTCTCGTTACAATGCTGCCTCAAGTGGCACTGCGGGCTGGATTGCATCTCGAGGATCACCACCTCTCACCGGAACAACGAGAGTACAGGCGTCTGATGAGTCTTGTTGTCGATAACAGCTCATGGAGGTCACGGGAGTCTACCCGCCGCCTCTTCTGGGTGCTATTCCTGTTGGAGCAGTTCGCCGCCTTGCTGTCAGGCACCAAATCAAGCTTCGACCCCAACATGGTTCGAAGACTACTTCCTTGCGATGGCCAACTATGGCTGGAGAATCGACAAGTTCAAACTCGCGAGTTCATACAAGCCAATGTCGCCGCACAGGTCCAAATCACCCCTGATCCAAGCATTGGCGGCTTGGCCTATCTCATCGAGGCGACCGAGATCCTCACTATGGTCAACTCTTTCGCTAGAACCACGACCAGAGCAAAAACACCATTCCAGGATCCTCGAGGGTTCTTGAGAGAGTTTCTTAATCTCGACTTGGTTCTGGCCAACTGGAAATCGAGACTTCCTGCTCGATATCAGCACGCATCACCCGACAAGAATGGGTACATAGACCATAACATGACGCTCGCCCACTTGACACACAACACAAGTGGCATATTATTATATCAGGCCCCGCGAGCATTCTGCAGACCTCAGCCACCAGTCGGTAGCAGCAGTCAGGACAGCAGCGGTCAATCTACACTCATGGCCCACGTGGCACTGGTCAAGCAGGCCGCCAAAGAGATCGGCAAGATATGTACTCGCTTTCTCCTCCACCGGAGGTACCTCGTGTCAGGGCAGTTCTCTTTTTGCCAGTTCATCGCAGCTCGTGCCTTGCTTGCTTACTCAAGCTGGCTGATGGAGCCTGTGGATGACGATTTTGAGACGATCCTCACCTCTCTAGCCGAGTCGTCCAAGCGATGGAATTCATCTCAGCAGAATGATAACAAAGAATTGCATCAAGAGCCTGCTCAGGCTACGGATTTTGCAGCCCAGTTGCTTTCTCGACTCAAAATCGACGCCCAGAAACCAGAAGCTATTGATCTTACGGCAAGCTGGACGACGTTATCCGCTGAGATGGAAGGGATTGGCCAGTCACAAAAGGATGCATCTACAGAACGTGGCTCTGTGGCGGAATGGAGAGGCCAGCAGGGCCAAGAGACCGACGCCAGGCTGCCCTCCACAGCAGATGATGGCCTTCTCCCAATGTCATTGTCGACATCTACGCTGGATCTAATGACACCTCTGGATGTCGATGGCAGTTTGTCTATGTTGGCCTCGAGCCAGATCGAGACACTGGACGACCGCATATTTAGTTGGAGGGACTATAGTGAATTGCCTGTCACGGTCACAAGTGATGATCAAGGGCAATTTTACGCGAATCAGCAATCTCAGCATTTTCAAGGGCTGTAGGAGAAGCAAACAGTTCTCAATCCTTGCTTCTAGCAAATTCTACCAGCGCCGAATGTCGGTTCTGCCTCGATTTCTGCTGTGGTTGATGGCCTCAAGTGGCTGTCTCTACGGTTCTCCCCCCGGTTGTCTAGGGGATGGGAACGGCTCGCTACTACGTCACTCGGAAGTCCTCGGGCCACAACATCAGACCATGGACAATCCAAGACCAGGGATGCTCATGCATGAGGAAAGGAGTCGGCGCCGCTAGTGGAATAAACCGCGCCAAGGTCGACTCGTCCGGCGGATATGGAGGAACGCTCGGGGGCTTCTCCGGTTGCCCCCTGTCAGTTGGAGTCAGAATACCTAAGACAAGCCAATCAATCGGCTTGATGTGGGGACATGAATACGGCATGTCGACCCAAGGAACCAAGTTGAAGTCGGTCAAGCGTTCCCCTGGACTGCAATTTGGAACAGATTCCTTACTGTCATTGCCTACATAGCGTCTATTCTGTCAAGTAACTTCACTCTGGTCTCCACCCTGAGCTTACCAAGACATGACTCAGGATCTACCATCTTCGTGAGATGAGTTCCTCTCTTTCCCCTGTAGCTGCAGCAGACGGTTTCCTGCCTCGAGGAAATAATAGTCGGCATAGACAACGCCGTGCTCCGCCAGGCGATGTAGAGCGTGAACGTGGTCATTCGCAGTGCTCCTCTCCAGAAGGCAATCGCCCTTGCTTGTTGCTCGAGTTGTGACTGTATCGAGGATCCGCAAAACGCTCTCCAAACAATTGCACCGCTTCGGAGCCAGTTGCTGGAGTAGAAGAAGGCCGGAAGAGGCACACGCAGCAGCAGACACGTCCCATACGCCGGGCCGGGGCGCGTCAAAGTCCCAGTACACAATAGTGTCGATACCATTGCTCTCATCAACACGCGAGAGAAAATACTTGGCAATTTCAATCGCGGCATCCAAGAATCGCTCATCCCGTGTCCATTGGTAAACTGTTGCAAAGCCATACAGCGCCCAGGATTGGCCGCGAGCCCATGTGCTTTCGTTGGCGTAGCCTTGGTTGGTGAGACGATGTCGAACGACTCCCTGGCGGTGTGGATCGTAGCTGACCAGGTGATATGACGAATAGTCTGGCCTAATGTGGTTGGCAAGTGTCGTAGTCGCATGAGTAGTCGCAATGTCGGCAAGGGACTTGTCACCGGTATGGTGGGCCGCGTAGTAGAGTAGATCGAGGTTCATCATGCTGTCGATGACCACGACAAAGTCTACATCTTCATCATGAAGGTTATAAGTCTTTGTGCGAGCCCCAGCCCAGGATCTGATGGTGCCAGTGGTGGGACTGAACCGCGAAGCAAGTGATCGTGCCGCATTGACAACGACATCGAGGGATGCACGATTGCCCGTCAAGTCATAGTCTCGAGCAAAAGATGGCATGATCATGAACCCCAAATCATGGTTGTCTGTCTTGAATTGTTCCTTGGCCATTTCGATCTGCCATGTCTGTGCAGCGCGAAGAAGGTCTTTGCTGGGAGCTACCGAGAGTGGTGTCATCAGACTCCGCTCGTACAGTGACCAGACAATGCCAGGAAAGAAGCCGGACGTCCAGAAAGTCGAATCATTCCAGATATAGTAACCGAGGCTGGGGAACGTGAAGTGAGGGAAAAGATCAGGCGCATCATGACGAGTCAAGACTTTGCTGGCTAACTTCCACGCTCGCTCGACGTAAAGGTTCGATAGAACGGTCTCAACAACGTCCTGCGGAGTCTTACGGCCCGTACTATCAACATTATCTGTGTTGACAAGTGATGCAATGCTCGCAGTTGTGGCTGAGGGTGTCATTTCGAGGGGTTGGGTTCCGAGTAAATGAGTTAGGGGTGATAAAGAAGATTATTGTTCGTTTGCATGGGTTAGATATAGCAGCAGGTCGAGGAGATGGGCTTCAATACAATTGAACGATATTACGAACTGCTATCTCCTTTGACGACTTGCGCCTGCCACATTCAGCTGATGCTGTCATACTATCGATCCTCCTGTGTATTCCATTCCTCGGAGTTGTCGGACATGATCCCCGACTTGGTCTGTCGGAGGAGCCTCCGGACATTCCTCCGATCCAGGGGCGGGGTCGCTTTCTCGCTCATTTCACCAAGTTTCATTAGGTTTGAGTGTTTGTATATAGTACGATCCTGAAAGTTGCTGGTCCGAAATCAACAACTAACTTGGATTATACATGAAACACTAGAACGTCTTGGTTGACGCGTGCGATTCTCTACAAGACTTAGTCTTCCGACAGCCAACCACTTGTACGGGAGGTGCTCCTCAACCCATCAGTGAATAAATAAATCTCTAATCCCACTGAGCCTATGGATTAATTATCACAGTCTGCGTCTCAACAAACTCTGCAAGTCCCCATTCTGCCCCGAACCGCCCAAACCCACTGCACTTGGTCCCTCCGTGTGGGAGCGTAGCCTCGTCATGAACGGTCAGGGAGTTGATGTGAACAGCGCCAACTTGGAGCTTTCGCGCCATCTCCAACGCTTTGTAATGATCCTTCGTCCAGATAGCGGCCGACAGTCCGTAATCGCTGTTGTTGGCAACCTTGATCGCCTCGCTCTCGTCAGGAACGACTACTACACCAAGACAAGGCCCGAAGGATTCAATCCTAAAGAAGTCCATGGACGAATCGATGTCTTCAAGAATAGTGGTGGGGACCGTCTTCACGTTCGGGGTTTGAGTGGAGGACCTGGACTTGGCCCCCTTTGCCTCCGCATCTGCCACCAACGCGCGCGTCCTAGCTGCGCCCTTTGGTCCTACCAACTGGAATGTTTCTCCAGGTCTATCGGCTAGAAGCTGCCTAAGCTTGGCTTTGAAGTCCTCTGCAACATCTTGGACAACCACTGCGAGGTCTGTTGACATGCAGATCTGGCCTCCCTACATGACTGTAAGCATCTTGCCATCACATTGACGTGCGATGATTCTGAAATGGCGTGAAGTGAATGCTGAAAGGTGTGAGGCTTACGTTCAAAGTGGCACTTAGAAGCACTGCCTCTGCTGCTCGGGACACATCACCATCGTCCAGAACAATTGAGCAGTTCTTTCCTCCCAGCTCTAGCAAGACCGGTTTGAGGACCTTACTAGCCTCTTGAGCAATGATTCGTCCTACCTCGGTTGAGCCTGTGAAGTTGATCTTCCTCACTGCGGTATGTCTTATGAGTGTCGTGACCACCTCAGATGCATCTTCGGGTCTGTGAAGAATGAAGTTGACGACACCATGGGGAAAGCCGGCAGCCGCAAATAGCTCGGCGATGAAATGATGCGTCCGTGGACTAAGTTCGGAGCCCTGCAAAAATTATTCAGTCTTGATTCCCGTATTCGAAAATTACTTTCAGCATCATACCTTCAAAATGGCAGTATTGCCGGCCGCGACTGGAGCAACAACCGCGCGAAACCCGAGAATCAAGGGAGCGTTCCAAGGAGCGATTCCGAGGACGACGCCCAACGGACGGGGGAAAACGAAGCCATATGAGCCTTCGGCTTCAGTGTGAGGAATTGTGCCATTCATACTCCTAGAGGTAAGAAGGTAGGCACTCTCTTGGATCAACTTGATACTGCTGCTGACGTTTTCTGTAGCCCAGTCGTCACCACAGTGGATCTCTGCCTTGATGATGTTCTTGGCTTCATCTTGACGCTCTTTCAAAATCTTCAACACACTTAAGCTGTTGTTCATAGCATCCATATGGTGGTTACTTACCTCTGCTAGGCGGAGGAGCAATGCTCGTCGGGTTGTTGGAGGCGTTGTGGACCATTGAATGAAGGCTTCGCTGCTACTAGTCAGAGCCTCTGCGCAGTCGGCCAGGTTGGCTCCTTGGAAATGCCCGCTTGGAATGAGTGAATGCTTTTCGGTGTTTGATTCGTTAAATACTGAAACTCCATTGATCAACAGTGGGATTCGGGCAGGTTTGAACCCATTTTGGGAAACGATGTTATGAGTCGGTTGCGTCATTGCAGATCGAGACAAAAGAGGTGTAATTAGGTGATACTAATGGTATGGACGATGGAGGTTGAGGCAGGCTGGATCACAAGATACCACCGGCATCTAATAAGAGTTTTAACATACGAATGGGAAGCCATAGTAAAGACCATCCGAGTCTCAACCCGGCCATCGGGGCAATATCGGGCGACCGCCCGAGTACCCGAGGACAACACAAACCTTACCTAGGTAACAAGTTCAAACTAGTTGGCAGAATCTGCGGGGAAGCGTTTCAAGTTTAATTATGTTGACCCTACTAGAATACGGTGCCTTGGCCTAGAGTGAGCTGAGTTCAAACCGCGGTAGCTGGCAAACAGGACAGCCCCAAGCCTTGTTCCGACACCAGAGTAAAATCACTGATGTGGTATACTTGCAAAACGTTTTTGGGGCTCATGCAATATTATACATTCTAATTGTCTTTGAAATTACCCATATGCTACTGAATGGGGGTGAGATCTAGCATTAATGAGGTGGATTATACGAGTTGATCATGATCCAGAGCTAGCGTCCATCAATACTTGAAGCAGATGAACGCCGAGGATGTAAAAATCGCATACTTTGTTTCCAAAACTCACTTTGACAGTATGTGCTATGCATTACAAAATCGCCATGTCGCTGAGATATGGGAGAAGGTACGCGTCGTGGTTAAGAAACTCCTCACTATCCGTACTAGGCACATGCATTCATAACATAAGAATAACATATCAATCAGGCTACTTGAAGTCTAAGACATTTGAGAAGCAAGTGAGAAAAAATGAGAGATGATTGAACCAGATATGGTCTGAGATGAGACGACAGGACCTCGCAAAATCCCAACCACACCCTAGTCAGACACGTAAGTCTCGACATCCACACCATCGACACGATAGAAGCCAAGAGCTCTAAGCATGGGCTTGTCATCAAATCTGTACAGGTACACCTTTTGCTCATCCGCGTGGTGCTGGTACGCATGCCAAGTGGGAATGCAGAATGTGTCCCCCTGCTTCCAGTTGAGGATTGTGTCACCAATCCTGGTTGAGCCAGAGCCTTCAATGACGTGATACACAGCTGAAGACGTCTCACGAATCTCTGGAGAGGAGGCGCCTGGCTCAAGTCTCTCGGCTGACGCACCAATGATCTTGCCAACTACACAAGGAGAGGTTAGCAGACCATCACTGAGTTTACCATTCTTGACTCACTTTCAGCTCCATTGGGCTTGAGGTACGCCTCAGATGTCCACTTCTCAGGACTAGCATCCAGCCTCGCTTGCATCTTGTCCCATGAATAAACAATTTCGGAATCATCGACATCCTCGGCCGGATAGCGTGCAGCGGAGTAATGCTCCACAAAGTGGAGAGGGAAATGAATGAAGTTGGGAAGATCGAGTCCATCCAGCCAGATGACAGGCTTATCATCTCCACCCTCCTCATCCGCTCCCTTCTTACCATGGTCGTGCCAGTTCCATGTCGGGGTGACGATCACGTCACGAGGACGCATCGGGATTCGCTTGCCATGAACTGCTGTGAAGCCACCAGTGCCCTCAATGATGAACCTGCAAGCAAAGGCAGTGTGTCTATGCGCAGGTGCCGTCTCTTTGGGCTGGACAAGCTGAAGGCCAGCGTAAAGGGTGTCCGTGGTGTATGGTGCAGCTATGCCTCAGGGGTTAGAATAGAGTTCAAGGCATGAACAAAGCCACTCACCTCGAGCAGGGTTGGCAAGCATCAGGACGCGCCTTTCAGCTTGCTTCTCGGTAATCAGTTGGCCAGCTCTGAGAAGATAGGGCTTGATCTTCTCGTAGGCCCAGAGATGTGGGACAGTCTGGGGGTTGGGTGCTGGTGGGTTTAGACGTTGCATCTGGGCCCACAAAGGTGCCGTGTTGGTAGCTTGAAGGGCAGCCACCAGTTCTTCAGAGGTTTGAAGTGCCTTTGCTGGGGTGACATTGTCAAGCTGAGGGCCATTTCCATTGGCTGGAAGAATGTTGGCGGAAGGCATCTTGTTGATTGTTGATTGACTTGACGGTTTTGCGATTATGTGTTGAAGCTGAACTGTTGCGGCTTATTTAATCGAACTAAGTAATCAACCAGGCCGTTTCAAGCATAATAAATCCTCGATTCTTTTACCATGTGTCGTCATATTGCGGGATCTTCGGTTCATGAACCGGAAACGAGTCCCCGTCTTTGCCGGGAGTTGTCAGATCGAGCGGGGAACTATCGGAAGAGCTCCCCGCCACCAGTCTCCGTCTACCAGCTATAGAAACGGAAAAGCGCACGACAACAACTGAAGCGTAGCAAACACTGCGTTTGATGAGTAAGCTTGTTACATCTTCATCCTCACCACCGAACTATCCATCACCATGACAGCAACAAACGGAAAGACGGTTTCAAAGCAGGTAGGATGTCTCCCTATTCGTCCTAGTGATGTTACTCATCTCAGAACCAGATTCCGGAATATCCGTCTCGGTCTACCGCACTTCTCGAGAGGCTACAAGGTCTTGGTCAGTATCAGAACGGGTCCAATCATGGCAACCAAGTCGCCTTGCGTATCCTTGTCGTCGGAGCTGGACTTGGAGGTCTAGCTACCGCCGTTGCTTTGGCCCGTCGGGGACATGAAGTAACCGTGTTGGAACAAGCAGCTGTGCTAGGGGAGGTAAGTATCCCATCCACAGGTTAAAAGAGAAAAACACCAATAGCTAACAAACTCCAGGTCGGTGCTGGGATCCAAATCCCCCCAAACTCTGCCAGGCTACTACTGAGCTGGGGCATTGCTCCATATTTCAAAGATCGTGCAATCAAGCCAGAGAGCATGACTTTCCGCAGGTGGGAGAACGGAAATCCTCTTGGCTATACCAAGCTTGCATCCAACTTTGAGGAGTCTTACGGGGCTCCCTACTTTGTTATCCACCGGGCTGATTTTCACTCCTCCCTTTGTCGCCTTGCGGCCGACTATGGGGTCAAGATTGTTACCGATAGCAAAGTGGTGGATTACAACGAATCTAAACCCTCTGTGTCGACGCTTGATGGTCGCGAGTACAGTGCCGATCTCATCGTTGCGGCTGATGGAGTCAAGTCTCGCGCCAGGTCAGTTATCCTTGGTGGGCCAGACTTGCCCCCTCAAAGAACAGGTTTTGCTGCATATCGTGCCACTGTCGATACCGAGGAGATGAAAGCGGATCCCGACACATCATGGCTCTTGGAGAGACCAGGCATCAACATCTGGTAAGTACTTAGCCCGTCGTTCTGAGTGCATCTGGTTGATCAAGTCCCTTTTAGGATCGGTGAGGATCGACATGTCATGACTTACTGTATCGCTGGAGGAAACTCGTTCAACATGGTCTTGTCCCACGTTGATCATTCATCACCCAGCACATGGGACGCCGAGAATGCAATCGAAGACATGAGAAAGTCGTTCGAGAACTGGGATCCGAAGTAAGCCACCTCACACCTCAAGCGAGTCTTTCTAACTCCCTAGCAATAGATTGTCGAAAGTCATCGGAATGATCAAGCATACGATCAAATGGCCTTTGATGAGTGGCTGTCGGTTGCCAACTTGGATCTCACGGAGTCAAAAAGTCGTGATCCTCGGCGACGCCGCACACGCCATGGTGCCATATATGTCCCAGGGGGCGGCGATGGCAGTGGAAGACGGCGCAGCACTAGCTGAAGCACTCTCCAACATCAACTCCAAGCAGCAGGTGCCTGAAGCTCTTCACTTGTTTGAAAAAGAAAGGATGGACCGCAGTTACGCCATGCAGGCTGCCAGTTTGGTGAACGGCAAGCTGTGGCACTTTCCAGATGGTCCGCAGCAGCAGGCAAGGGATCTTGGCATGAGGGCCGAAGTTGAGGGAAGGCCTTTTGTTGAGAGCACTAACCAGTGGAGCGATCCAACGACACAGATCTGGGCTTATGGCTATGATGCAGAGAAGGCCGTGAGGGAGCAGTGGCGGAGAGCTAAGAAGCAACAGCCTGTAGAGAGTGTGTTATAGCTATTGACAATTATTTTCGTTCCGATTCACCCGATTTTATAAGATTCGCTAGGTCTGAATATAGCTGAGAATTTCGAAGTCATTTGAAGACTGAGTGGTGTTTCCCTTCCCCTTGCTATCAACTTGTCAGCATTTTGCCGGCGATAAAGATTGGCACTATGGCAGAACGACCCCAGGCACATAGCAGTCAGTATGAATATTAGAAATAGCCACAGACTCTAAGGTCTCTCCAATACCTTAAGGCATGCCTAGAGAATTGAAGCCCGCAACCTATGAGAATTTCAAGATTCTAGACATAACAATATCCACGTAGTATGTTGTTGAGGACAGGAGGATGGCAGTCAAACAGCTCTTCTATTCATGGCCATTCTATAAAGTGCCTCTAGCCGATCCGTGTTTCCATGACCTGCTAGCTCTAGGCGAACTCAACGCCGTTCTTCAGAGTGCCAATCTCACTAATCTTCACCTCCATTTTAGTGCCTGGGACAAGATACTTGGGAGGATCTTGTCCGGCCCCGACTCCTTTATTACCCATTTTATTAGCATGTGCTCTCATGTTCTACGTGGGAAAGAACTTACCGCCAGGAGTTCCGGTCATGATAACACTTCCCTTCTGGAGTGTAGTCCCAGAAGAAAGATGTGCAATTAATGCCGGGATGGAAAACACAAGGTCATCAACTCCCGTTGACTGCCGCACTTCTCCATCCACAATTGTCTTCAGGTGAAGCGTCTTCGGCTCTGGAATCAAGGCAGATGATACGAGCACGGGACCCAGGGGGGCAAAGGTGTCAAAGCCCTTGGAGAAGCACCATTGCGGCACGCCACCGGCACGGTTTGGGTCTCGCTGCCATTTACGTGATGAAATGTCGTTTCCTGCAGTGTATGCGGCGACATAGTCCAGCGCTTCGCTTTCTTTGACGTCCTTGGCATCTTTTCCGATGACAATGACCTTGGAATATGAGTGTCAACATCTTTCATGGCCGCAGTGTCACTTACTAGCTCTCCTTCATAATCAGCTTGGTCATCCTGTGCAATCTTTGGGATCACGACATTTACTCCATGATCCGTCACTGTCGTCGAGGGCTTGAAAAAGATTGATGGAAAGGGCGGCACTTTGCGCCCAGCCTCACGGACTATTGGCGAGTTAGAGACTTGAAACACTTCTCTAAAGTTGGATGTTTCAGCTTCCGGCAAGTGTAGACGTACTGTGGGTAGCATAATTCAGCCCAACACAGCGAAGGATGGGTACCTCGGTCGGGGCAAGCGGTCCAAGAAGTGTCTTGACAGTAACGACTTCATCCGTGACTCGAGTTTTACCTCTCTCATCGTAGATATCATCTCCTTCAATGACCCTAGCCTTGAGATGTGTGTCTTCTGTTGTGGTTCCAAGGTCAAAGTCGGGCCCAGGGAGAATCGGTTCTCCACGGAGGATGCGTCCGTCCGTCGAGACAAAACGTATTAATCGCTGCCAAGTAACCTTCATGTTGAAAAATGTCTACAATTGAGATATCATCGACTATGAAGATCATGATTCGAATGCACTGTTCTTTGATATAGTGCCTTGATGGTGGAGTTGGATCCTCGGGAAAGCCGGAACAAGGCCCGACGGTTCCCCGGGGATGACGACGCCCCCATATTGCCAGGCCTCTGATTGGCATCTCGCATCGAGCTAGTTACCCCACGAGCTGGGGACAAACCTTGGCGCCCCCTAGTTTCCAAGGGAATCTCGGCAGATGACTTCTTGGAGAACATGGGCCCATAAGAACCGGCTTCATCCCAATGTTCCCCCGGCGTCCTCTCCTGACCTTCCGTGCCTCTTGCTGCACCCGATACCATGACACCTCGCGACGACCCTTCACCCGGATTCGCCAATACGGCCACCTCTCAGAATGGAGCCAACAATGCCGAACCAGCTCCGAAGAGGCGGCGAGTGGCCCTAGCCTGCTCTGCTTGCCGCATTCGGAAATCGCGAGTAAGCAGCCTCATCCGCGTCTCTTGAAAGGATAGCCTTCTTAACAATTCTTGCAGTGCAATGGCGGGCGACCCAGGTGCGATGCATGTGAGCGGCTAGGATTTGAATGTTTATATGAGCAGCAAGAGGCCTCAGCCAATCTCCTAGTTCCAAAAGAGTGAGTGATATGAGTTGGTAGATTCCCATGTGCTAACACGATTCTTTCAGTCTCTTCGCCGCATTAGAGACAAGAGTCAAGCTCTTGGAGACAAAGCTTGAACTACAGAATGGCCGGCTGGCTGCCGTCGAGGGCGATGCCCGGAGAAGAACTGGCGGAGCCCACCAGGGCTCACTTGACCTGAGAACTGACCGGCTTTTGACTGAAGATGCCCAGAGAAGAACCGACGATGTCCACCAGGACTCACTCGCTTGTCGGTCCAGTGATGTAATAGTGAATATCGAAGGGTGTCATGACAGCTCTATAGACCAGAGCATGACTGACGGTATGGCCGTGTCGTTCGTCGATGAGCAAGACTGTGGGTTCTTTGGTAAGTTCAAGTATCTGAATTCGCAACAATCATCACTAACATCATGTTTTATAGGTCCATCCTCAAACATCGCCTTCATGCGTCACATACTACGGGCCATAAAAAAGAGACAGTCGGCTCACCGCAGACTATCTTCTCAAGCCTCAGCGTCTGAGTTCGGCACTTACGAGGGTGGTGTCGTAAACACCTTTAACACATTTACTTCAAAATCACCAGGCGCTGCTCTGAGCCATATCCACAACATCAGCGCCAACATCCTCCCCCCTGATCACGAGATGCAAAGGCTTATTCGTGCCTACTTTTCCAACACTGGCCTTTTGTTTCCCTATATCCACGAGGAGGCCTTCCTCGACACCTACGAGCGTTTTCGAGCAAGTGGTTTCAGAACTAATGTTCGTCGTACCTGGCTAGGGCTTCTGAACATGATCTTTGCCATGGCCACTTGCACCTCTTGTTGGGAGGAATCAGGAAGCGACTATCGATTTGAGCAATCAGACGTTTATTACCGTCGTGCTCGTGAGCTTTGCCAAACACAGATGTTTCGTGGTACCACCCTTGAAATAGGTAAGACGATCACTCTTGATCAATGCTCCTCGGGTGACTAACGTGCAAAGTTCAATACCTGTTACTCATGAGCCAGTATCTCCAAGGTACGCAGAGGTCAGTCCGTACATGGACGATACACGGTCTTGCCATCAAAGCTGCCATGTCTATCGGACTTCACTCGAGAGATATTGCATCAAAGTTCATGCCAGTGGAGCAAGAGATCCGAAAGCGTACTTGGTTTGGATGTATCTTACTTGACAGGTCGGTTGAATCCATTATCAAGTCGAGCTAAGTACCCGGATTCGATACTGACTGGTCTTATAGGAGCTTGAGCATGACTTTTGGTCGTCCATGTGCAATCCCTGAAGAGTACATACGCCTAGACCTTCCCAAACCATTGCCGCCGTGTGCCTCTGTACCCGAGGAGATACAGAGCCTTAGCACAGGCTTCTTCAACGCATCGATGTAAGTCCTTTCATTTCACCGGACATGAGAATAGCGGATTAACCCAAGAAAGACATCTGTACAGAATCATGGGAAGAATAATCACGACATTATATGGTAGTAACCTCGGATGCGATGAGCAGCCAACAGAAACTGTCACGATGACCTCAATAATCCAATTTGGACAAGAGCTCACGGAATGGCAACACAACTTACCTCCACAGCTGGCCCTCCGCAGCTCAACTGACCTCCCAAAAGAAGGGGAGATCCAGGACTCTACAACTGAGCGAGTCCGCTTGATATTAACCCTGAGATATCTCAACGTCCAACTTCTCCTTCATCGACCTACCTTTATCCGATCATTGGGTGCCTTGCTAAGGGACCCCATGACCTCAACTCGCAACCCAGCCCCCGTCAATCATATGCAGTCCAGCTTTGACAGAACCTTTGTTCAGGTGGCGGAGAACATCATTGAGATCATTTATACGGTACTGACGAGACCGGATCTTGGACGTCATCTCATTGGTGCATGGTGGTTCACTCTATACTACGGTATGTTCCACACTGATGTCCTAGGCCCTGGCCATATTAAGCTTACAATATGCAGCGTTCAGTGCAGCACTAGCAATCTTTGGAAGCCTCGTTATCTTCCAAGACAACGATGTAGAGGGTGTACACGACACCGACCGCCTTGAGCGGGCCAAGCGGTCTCTCACGCAAGCTTCAGAGGCATTGTTGCGAATGGGAACTGAGAACATGATCATATCACGCTGCGTCGACTTTTTGCAGCAGCTTCTACGAGCAGTAAACGCTTGGGGTAAGTCAACCATTCTGCTTAAGCGATGCCTGTCTAACCAATCTGCTAGATTCAATGTCACCTCAGACTCTCAGCTCGTTTGGCCAGTCTGCTGCACCTGAAGCTATCGCAAGGAGCGAGAATGGAAACTTTGACCTCGAGTCCGATCTGTTTTCCACAATGCCAGCGTTTGATGCTTCAGCGGTTGGGTTGGGAGACGACATTGAGTTAGGGCATTTCTTTGCTGCCGACTTTCAGAGGTGGTTTGAACGGAACCATTGGTAAATTTGCAATCATGGTGGTTCTTTAGAGCTTTGTGTTGGTTACGCGAACCAGGGAATGCTAGTGATTGTCCTCTAGCTCAGTTATCCCATCAAGAGCCGGGCTTCAGCTACATCAAAGGGAAGGCTAGGGACAGTACCACGTTGACACGCCACGGACAAACAAGTCCTGCCACACAAATCCAACAATAAAGACCCAGCCTGTTTAAAGCTTGGCTTTTCTTCTCCATCTTGCCTACGTGTTGTGAAGGCTGATCTTATGCTCACACATGAAATACATGTTACACCATACCAATACAAGGCAACTCCAGAGCCAACTCTCTTTCAACTTGCGCGTTTCAAAAACGTGAGCTCTCATGATCTCACTACCGTCACGCAGCCTCTCACCCCAGTATCCAGGATACTGCTCCTTGGGTGTTGGGGATCTGCGGGGTACAGATGGACGGCCCGGGTTAATCTGTAGGAGCTTTTCTATTTCAAGAGTAAATACGGGGAAACCCTTTCCTCTTTGGGCATTGGCGGGGTAAATATGGGTCTATAGACTCGAAGAGAGGCATGTTTTGCAAATATCAAGGCTCATGTTACCCCATTCAAATCTCCATAAGATGCCTAGTTAAGCGGCCGTTCAAGCCTCCAGAAACACCGTGGCGGGGCACTATCGGCATCATCCCGGGACACAGGCGGCTCGCTTCAAAGATGCGACTAGAACACTCGCTATAAAGGTCAAATAAACCTACCTTCGAAGGTTAAGGGCCAAGCAAACCCTCATTCTATCATCATTCAGCACCTGTTTCTTTAATGTTCCAGCAACCATGCATCGTCAAATTACCCCTGGAGGGTACCACTGGATCTCCGACACCCTCGAGAGCCTCGACCCTGAGAAAGACTATGAGCTCATGTGGCGCTTAATGTCCTGCTACCGTCTCTCGGATTTTATGAATAACCTCGTTTACTCTCTCACATTTCCCAACTTTGTCATCACGTCTCACGGGGCCCAGACAGTATGGCGCTCAGATGGCGGCAAAGTTGTGAAGCGAGGAACACAACGTGTCGAGGACACGGAAAATTTCAACATGACGTGGTGGCACTACGGACCGAGTGATGCTCGCTGTCGCGAGGCGGTACGCAAGGTCAACAACCTCCACGCAGCTCTTGCTCGACAATTTCCGGGCAACTTCTCTTACAACGATGACTTTCTGTATGTCATGACTTTCAGCGCAGTCTTGATGCATCGATTGCGGCTCCGACTAGGCTTGTCGGGTTTCTCGGAGAAGGAAAAGATCGCAGCTCATCATTTCTGGCGGGACATGACACCCCTCTTTTTCATGGAGGACGGGACGACGGTGTCAGGCTATCCTGATGACTTTGACGGTTGTATCGAGTTTTGCGAAAACTACGAAAACACACCTCGAGAATTCGTTGAGAGGGCACAATACATTGGCTTGGCGATTATGAATCAGTTTGCCTTTCGATATTTTCCACCGGGACTGCGTTGGTTGGGCGTATCATTCCCCAAAGCGCTCTCACTACCTACAACACTCCAGGCCATGCGAATACAGCCCGTAAATCCGTTGTTGAAGTGGCTGATTGTTCTTCTGGTTCGAACCTTGATGTGGTTCTCGGACGTGTTTCTTCCAGACCCGCGAGAATCATTCTGGACTACCATTGAGACTCTGGATGAGGAGGGGGCAAAGTCGCGCAAGGAAAACATCAGATCTACTGACCGGGCCTATTCCAAGTATATTCAGAAGAAGATGAGCGCTCCTGGATGTCCTTTCCACAAGAAGGAGCTATAATCAACTGCGCTGGAGGAAAGGTTGCAGTAGTGACAACCCAAATAGGCCCGATTATAGGTGGAGAATGAAAGCTGCGGAGATTGAACAGGAGGGCCTCTCTCTCAAGAGATCTTGCTGTTCAAAGAGGTGAAGGGGAAGAGATGCTGGCGGTGGACTTCGGCGCCTGGGGACAGAAGGGGGTGGTGAAAACCCAGTCCCTTGGCTCAAGAAACGTGTAAAATAAATCCATCAGAATGCAAAGCTTTTGTGAACTGCATCAACGAGGCGAACGTCTCCATCATTGTCACGTGCCCAAGTTGGTCGACTTGAGTGAGTTGACCAAAGTCTCCCCGTTCTGTAAAGGCACCATCACATGCAGGGGTTTGATCAGCTCGGCTTATGCAAGGCTCGAGGCATGCGATATGCCAACTTGTGAGTGGACAAGAGGGACTGCATAACTACTTGCATAAGCACAGAGCAAACCATTGTGTCGAAGTGGATCGAAGCGCACAAATCTTGTCTCACCGGCTTCCGTAACCTCCGACTCCGACTACCTAGCGTCGGCGAGTTTGAGAAACGTGCCGACCAGGGCTATCACGTGTGCTGCCTCAGCCACTGCTGCCCAGCCACATCCTTCATGGCTTCGCAGCATGAATCACCATGGTATCAATACAAAACACTGTTTTCAGCCTAAAACGATGATAAATTCATGTTCCGTCCGTACCTGTACCCGTGAGTCAGCTCCTCGTTGCGGTAATGAGGAATGAGCTCATGTCAGGCTGTGCCAGTTAACAAGCCAACGTTGAGTGTCAATCACACAACATTCAGATAAACGTATAGTGGGTTGTTTACAGCTTCTGGACAGCAACGAGTTGATATTGCGCCTTATTATTGCTTGAAAGAATTAAAGTATGAAAAGAATTTAGTTAATAAGAGATAACTGAACGTAATAGATTGATACCTGTTCAGCTCGTAAACCAGACAAGCTTAACCACCCTAGAGTCTTTCTTTATGGATTGTTAGCTGACTAAGCAATGTTGTCTCGCGGTCCGACATGCCACCTGATACCTAAAGTTCGTCAGATAAGATAAGCGATTAAATTAGCTTATCAGGTAACTTTAGCAACCCATCCTATGCTGTATAAAAAACACTCTCGTAACTATAGGATATTGTTTCATACCTCTCACCTTCACTAAGAAATAGAACTAACCTAGCATGGAAAGAGAGCAGTTTCGAGTTACAGGCCATAGCTGTTATTTCCATTAGTCACCTCCATTTGCCATCTCTGTCTGCGTCCTGTTGCCGTGGTGGAACCACGTCGTAAGACTCCGGGAAATGAAGTGTTGCCACGAGGACAGCTGAACACTGCACGGATCAATCAAAACACCCCTGATCAGCCTTGCCGCTTTCTAGCACCCAGGCTAATACAAGCCATCCATACAAGTCAAGGCGGTGACAATTATTGCTTCTACTTGGGCTGAGGGTATCTCAAAGGTCACCCGTGTGGCGTTTTCAGCTTTCAGCCGTTGGTGAATTTATGCCTCGCTTCTAATAATCATACCACTCAATTCACGAGTGACGGGAAACCTACAAATGGTGGAATTCTCTAGTAGCTTGGTAGCATTGCTGAGAAAAAAGTCAAATGCGGATCACTTATACGCATTTCGTTGTTTCTTAAGTTTCAACGACTCCCACCTCGCCGCCCATAATGGATAACGGCTTTGACACCTCACCTAACCTGGCCGGCTTCTTACACTCAGAAGACGAGTCAATTTTCTATGATGAAGATCTACGTCCACTACGCGATGATGCAGCCTTCCGCGAGAGGCTCCAAGAGTTGGAGCAACCGGGTGATGATCGCAGCAGCGCTTCCTCTGAAGCCTGGATCATAAGGAGCACGATCAAGGATGAGATATCCAGGTCTGGAAAGTTGGCAACCCATGACGGTAGTGACCAGCCAATAGGAATTGAGCTGCCAGCGGGTTCTATTGCGGTCGCTCCTGACGGGACAGTAACCCAGGGTCATAGGCCTGAACACCTGTCGTTGACGCAGTTAATGCTCAGAGACGTTGTTGGTATAAAGAATCTCAGACTGTCCAAGAACCGAGGAGGGGATGCACACTCTTCCCTTCTTCCATCCTCATCGCAAGGCCTTTCCAGCACGAAACCCGCTACATGCCCAACGTGTGCATGTCTCCAAGATGTATATGGCAAGACCACTCTGCAGGAGCTACGACGATCCCAAGACAGATGTAAATATTGCCAACTTGTTGTTCAGATCCTCGAGTTCTACAAGTCTGGTCTCGACGGAGAGAACAGGGTCCGGATATTTGCACCTCTCACTAAAAACGACACTCTTCGTATCTGCTGTCAGTGCGGCATGGCGAGGGAGTCCGAGATACCTTTCATGATCGAGGTTTTTGACTTACCTAGTCATCGTCCCTTGTACCCGCCCATCAAGCCCGCAGCCGACATCTCCGGCGATACTTCCTCCCCAGAAGCGTTTGCCAAAGCTCGTTATTGGCTTCAACACTGCGTTGATGACCATAAGGGCTGCGCGTCCAATACCAACGTCCGCCTTCCGACCCGCCTAGTCAGAATAAGACGTGACCCTTTCACGCATTTGACTACCATCAAACTTATTGAGACCAACAGTTCTTTTGGTCGATATGCCTGTCTCAGTCACTGCTGGGGTCCTCAAGGCTCCTCCGGCCTCCTCCGTACGACATCTGCCAACTACGAGGCCCATCTCAATGCAATCCCGATACAATCCCTACCGCGGACGTTCCAACACGCCCTAATTACTACTCGTCGTCTTGGACTTGACTTGATCTGGATCGACTCACTATGCATTATTCAGGGGGATGAGGCCGATTGGACTCGAGAAGCCGCGCGCATGGGGTCATACTACTCCAGCGGCTACGTTACCATTTCCGCATCCTGGTCTCCCCGACCTTCGGGAGGATGTTTCAACCTCTCTGAGCCAGAGTTCATTGGACGCCGACTTCCTATCCCTGACAGTTTTAATTCTGTCTCTGTCCGTCGAGTGTTGGACCATGGGAGCCGCTGGCCGCTACTACACAGGGGATGGGTTTTCCAAGAGAGGATGCTGTCACCTCGAGTTCTACATTTTGGTTTGAGAGAAATTGTTTGGGAGTGTCTCACCTGCACAGCATGTGAGTGTGGCATGAGTGACGCCTTGCAGGCAGAATTGTCAAATAAGCGCGAATATACACAAGCGATGGGCAACACAGAGAGAGACAGGTTGAAAGATGCGTGGAGAGACATGGTGCAACAATACAGCGGACTCGATCTGACGTTTGCAAGCGATAGATTCGCAGCTATCGCTGGCGTTGCAAAGCAGATGCAGGGGTACCGACATGCCAATTATTTTGCAGGACTGTGGGAGGATTCCATGATAGGAGACATGCTGTGGAGAAGCTTTCGATCACCAGGGGAACAAATGAAACCGAGGAATGAAGGAAACAAAGCTCCAACGTGGTCGTGGGCTTCAGTGGAGGCGCCATGGATCACCTATGAGCATTTGGGGACGCGCCTGGGAGCGAGAGGAAGGACTGTCTCGTTTGAAAGGATTGAGGACACGTATGCGAAGATTTTGAGTATTTCAGGCGAACCGCTTGCGGATGGAAGCTTTGGGGATAGCGAACTCGGTGCTATTATCATTCAAGGAAGCTGCATTAGGGGACGAGTAGTTCATCGCCCCTTGCATCAACCTCCTAGTTCAGATATACCAGCCAGGGGTACTAGTTATTCTGAGTGGTACGAGGCAAGGAAGCACGAACTGAAAGCTGAGATTGTTCTGGATGATGGCTACGAACCGAGGTTTCACACCGACTACGGGTTCTTTTCTGCAGGAAGATATCATGTCAGTTCGGGGGATGAGGTTGTGATTCTGAAAATGGCACTTGTTGGCGAGGGTGATAATGTCTTCTCTGCACCGTCAGTGTTTGGACTCGTATTGCATCAGGTTGAATGGCCGAAGACATATGATCGAGTGGGATTAGTTGAGTTTTCAGCAAGGAAAGGTGCTGAAGTATTTCAGGGGTCGCAGAGGGAGGTATTACAGATTGTATGAAAGTACGCGGCTCTAGTTTATTCACTCCCATCTAGACAATGGCTCTAATATTCACATGGACGATTATCAGGGTTATGGATTTGAAGATTTGATTTAAATTGGCTAGAAGGAGCGTTACGATTCTACTTTGGATGAACGTCACACTGTTGTCTAGGCTGAGTCCCTAACTCGCCAATCGCCAATTGTCAACTGCCACCACACTCTTCAACTTAACAGTACGTGCAAGCACCAGGGGGGCAGTATCCATGGTTGCAGGTGTAGCTGCAAAGTCCCTTGTAGCTGTCATCAAGGCCACTGGCGGGACAGCCCTCACGGCCGTTGGTGGCAGGAGGGGATACGGCTGAGCCGTATTCAGTACACTTGCATTGAGCGGTAGGGCAATAGTTGTAGTGGCAAGTGTACTCGCAAAGGCCAAGGTAGTTTTGGCTCTGTCCGTCAGCGACGGTGCCCTTAATGCAAGCCTGGCCAGGGTTGGGGTTGGCAGTGGTCACAACTGGGGGGTTGGGCTGAGTGGGCGAAGCCGGGTTGGTACCAAGAGATGGCTTGGCCTGGCAGGTCGTGACATGCAGTCCGACAGTGAGAGATGCCAAGCCGGCGCTGTCAAGAGGATCAGTGAAACCAGCTGCCACGGTGCCGACGTAAGCGTTGTAGTTGTACAGGCCGCAAGCACAGACATTGGTAATGTCCATGAGAGATGTGTCGGACAGGACGGTGGAGCTGCCGCGCTTCAGAGTGAAGGTTTGCTTTCCAACTCCAGCATTGACCTTGATCAGAGTGGCGCCGGCACCGACGTCCTTGGTGACAGAATTTCCTCCGGATGTGATAGTCACAGTGCCGGCCGACTTGAGAAGACTGACAACGTAGACAATGTCTTCCATGGTGTCCCATCCGTCAGGGCGGCCCATGAAGTAGTTCTCATTGGGGTTGGGAGGGGGGTTGTTGGATGTCGTATCAGTGGAGTCGCAGTTGAGAGCCTTGAGGTTGCGTCTGTACCAGTAGATGAGCTGGTCTTTCTCGATGTACTTGGCAACGTTGGTATCCTTGGCCTTGTAGGCGGCGATGTAGGGCTTGGAGAGATCGAGCCAGCCGTTGTGAGGCATGTCATTGGCCCACTTGGACGAGCCGTCGTCGGTGTGCTTGGACTTGAGAGGACCGATGTAGTGAGACTCGCCATAGTCGTTCCAGGTAAGGATCTCGACCATGGGGAAGCCCTTCTGCAAGACTTCGTTCCAGCGGTCGAAGATGAGGGACCCACTAGGGAAAACCCAGTTCTATTCATCAAGTCAGCTACATCTGTTGATGGGGTGGAAATGGGGCTTGGCTACCTTGGACCAATCAACCTCGGGTCCGAAGTGTGTAAAGAACCAGGGAGAAACAGCTAAGCTCGGGTTAGTCACTCCAAGTAGTGTTAGACCAGGGAAAACTTACGAGCCATGTACTTCTTGCCGCCAAGCCAGTTAAGGTAGTTGTTGTCACCATCAGCGACGCTGACACTCTTTCCGTTCTTAGGGGCCTTGTTGTTTCCATCATTGGGCCAACCCATCCAGTTCAGAGCACCATCAATGCCGTTGGTTGAACCTCCCCAGGGGGTGAAGTTGGGGACAAAGTAGATGTTGGAGCCAGCAGCACTTCGCACGGCGTTGGCATCTAGTCCATCGCCTGCGAAACTTGAGACGAATACCCTGTTGTCGACCATGAGTTGAGCAGGCCGGCTGGCATACTGCTTAACCTTTTGGCCAACGCCAGCTGCGTTGTTCTTGTCCCAGTAGTGAAAGTCGAACGAGATAAAGACCTTCATGCCATTGCGGTTGGCAGAATCATAGGCATATCCAAGCTGCACGTCGTTGTAGGTATCGGTACCAATGTTGAGAGCAAAGGCGTCGATTCCAGCAGCCTTGGCAAGCTTCATGTCTTCGTCATAGTCTGCAGAGCTTTGTCTGTTGCCGACGATGCCGACCTGAAAATCGTTAGCTTGACTTGGGAGTATCTTTGAAAGGGTTGCATACCATGAAGTGTGCAAATACCAAACGATCATTGGAAGAGGCACGTTTGGAAAGAGATTGGCCAACGGCAGCAGCTTGGCAAGTCACTGCAGCAAGGGCCGCAAGGCCGACGCCGCGAAGGAAGCGTGACACAGACACCATCGTGACGGTGTCTACTAAGGTGTAATTGGTCAACACTAGGCGTTGAGGACCTACACAAAAGGGTGAGAGGGTTGAGACCTGTTACCTTATATGCCTCTAGTTTACAACATACCGCGTTTTCAACTGGATACCGAACTGCCCGGACAGGTTCGTATGAGACGGGTCATGTCCCCACGAAAGGAGTGGGCTAACGGGGCCAAGCGTTTATGCGACGCTGCACCCACTCACAAACGGATCATGTTCTTTGAACAACTGCTTTGTGATTGGAAAAGGTACGCATACGGCGGGAATTAATTTCGCCGATTAGACATCCTACCTGCAGTGTCCAGGGTTCCCACGCTGACAGACCCTCATTCCCCAAAAACAACGTTGCATCATTATTCACCTCATGTGGGATGAGAAACGGTTCATGGAATGCAACCGGCCGAGTTCCGGAACGTGCTCTGATCAGGTAGTTGGAGAGGGTGATCACAGGCTGTACGTAGTAGAGTAAACATCCAAAATGACAAATGACCGACCGCTTTACCCGGATGGTACTTTTGTCAAGATTGTCAGCGAATACGAGGTGACAAAGGATCAAAACCACCCCACATCTGTTTCAACAGGGATACTATAGGTTGATGAATAGGGCGATGCAGTCAGCCCCCTGACATACGATCAACCTTCGGGAGCATCCGAGCGCCTGCCGAAGTCTGTGCTGCCTCGTAGTTTATCGAATGAAGATCGACATGCCACGGGTGTTGCCGTCGAACCGGTCCTTGTGTTTGCTTGAACCAACCATGCAACCTAGGGTTGACCACATGGCCAAGCCAGCTCGCCAAGGCCAGGGCCCGAATAATTGAGCCGTGCCTCCAATATCCATGAATGCGATAGATCCTTGGCCCAATCGAATAACTCCAGAAGCGAGGTAATGCCGGCATTGGTGACCAGAAGGCTGATAACCTTGCAAACACCACGCAACCTAAAGACGGTGTGATAATAACAGCATTGGGTAGTCGTTGATCGATAATGAGATGTTAAACAGCCCTACCAGCTCTTCGCTAGTGGTAAGCCTATCGGGGTTCTTGCTTTTCTACCCATCGGCAACCCCGGAGGGTTCATGGGTCAGTGAGCTTATCAGTACCTTTCAGCTATAGAGATCCAGGTGGTCTCGTGATTTAGATCCTGCATCACGAGAAAATCACCAGTGGTCCCATCGACGCTGAGATATGTGCGTGAGAGTGAGAAGAATGGGGCAGGGTCAACCATGGAGCGAGTACGGTTGCTCTCCTTCTAAATTACTAAACAATGATCTTATGTGGTATACATCGTTGAGGTGGTACTATCAGCTCTAATGATTTTAAATCCCTCACTCAAGCCGGATCATCAGCGTCTGGCGAACCAGTAGTCTAACATGAAGCTAAGGGGCCCAGGAAAGGATCTGCACCCATGTGTCAATTTGGTAGGTATTTTGATATATCCTTGTTTTTCTCTACTTTGATGAGATGTCTAGTTATCATAAAAGCATGGATCGATACAGCACTTTGTACATAGCCACAAGTCGTATAAAGGTCTAGATGCGTATGTCTGCAAGGCCTGATAGTTTCCTCAGTCTCGATGTGCTGTCAAATAAAATTTTAAGTACGCAGATTAGAATCCGGGGTCGTCTCACTGCACATATTTTCGACACCTCCCCCGTGCGCACCAACAGAGCTCCACATGTTACTAGGATCCTAGGTCAGCGAGTGGAGGACGTTTACTATACATATGTATATCTATTTTTGAAACTCGTCTCATCTGCAATGATACCTCGAGAGTAGAACAAAGACTTATCGATCTATGATGGTATGTAAAACCAAGGCCACATCGTCGTTCTGGCTTGATCAGATGGAAATGCGACACTGTATCCCCCTCAAGGAGAGTGGATGTACATGTTGACGGCATCTTTCGACAATGACATCATTCTTAGCAGGCACAGTCGCTATTCTCAAAGCCTACAACATGAAGCCTCAAGGATAGAAGCTAGGCCAGGAACTAAAGCACAAGGCTAATGTCGTTTCACGAGGATCAACATGAAAGAGACAAAAGTCCTTACTAGCAAATATAAGGCGGTTGAGCTTAGCTACTATATCAATCTCAAAAAACGTACCCCCCTCCAGCTCGACATAAAAAGCTCTTGTCATTATTGCGTTCATAATCATTATGCATCCATTCTTGGCCAAAAACGTGTGTCCTTCACAACACATCATTTCACTCCACAGTTGCTGACGGCAACTTGAGTGGCTGTAGCATCGACACGACCGAGCTTGACAGCCTGGTTATTAGTGAGAGCGTTCATGGCGGTGAGGGCAATGTTGAAGCCCGCGCCAGTATGGTCAATAGCCAGAATGTTAATGCTCTTTCCCTTGTACGTGAGCTTCCAGCAGGTACCGCAGGATGCCGAGTTCCATCCCGCAATGGCTTGAGCGCCGCCGATGTATGGGAACTTGGGTATGTTGCCCTGCGTCTGCCAGCCGTACCTCGTGATCAGGCCATTCTTGCCATCGGAGCAGGCCACAGCTGTGAGAGATCGGGACGACTGATCATAGCCGGGGTCATAAGAGACTATTTGGTGTGAGGAGAGATCATGGGGAGGGGAAGAGAAACGGACCGGTGACAGCGGACGCTGCCGCGAGGAGAGTAGCAATAGTGAAAAGGCTGGGAACATGCATTTTATGTGGTTGATGGTTTGAGAGGAGTGCTCGAATAGAATAAAATAGAAGCTTCAAGTCTTCCTCGGGAGTGTTTGATGCGCAACGAGATGATGAAACAATACACGGTTTCGCTGAGGACTGGGTGCTCTTTTTATGCCCACACATTTGTCCATACACCCACCCACCCTTATGAGCAAATACGAGCCCGTCAATTTCTGTCACGGGCTTACATGAAAATATGATTTGCGGATAACTTCCCCGCGTGACTTTCCATGCGCTGCAACCTCGTATTTACCACACTCCAGCCCTTTTGTTTTTGAGTCTCGTATGAAGGTTGGTCATTCAGCCATTGCTTGATCTCATCTCGAGCAAGTTAATGACCTAAGTGGCGCATAATCTTGATGGTCCGAGGTTCCGAGGTGTCCGACAGCATTGGGATTTTTGGAGGAAGAAAACATGGCTTCAAGTCAGTGGAGGATTGAGTTTGGGGCTGGCTGGAGCTGAGAAGCAGCCATCCATTCTTGGAAGGCCAGCTGCCATCAGACCTCCGGGTGTCGGGAGTACAAAGTAAATTTATTATAGTTTCCGTGGAGACATATGTCATGGAGTCTGCATAGCCGTCATGTCTTGCGTTGGCAGGGCCCTTGGAAACATTTTGCGATTAGAACAATAGGTGAGCTGAAGACCCTCGGCCTGTGTAAAAGAAGGGACATACGTACAACGACAATGCAAGATTGTACACCCTCTGGGCCTTTTTCTTTGTCCCAGAGACGAGCCTTGCTATCGAAACTCTCGACATGCTTTTCACATCTAATGTAGCCCTGAAGATGCCCAGAGTCTGGATTTAGCAGATAGGGATAGATGGTCAGAACAAGAACCGACATGAAAACTTGCACTGCTGTTGCAAATTCCACCGTCTTGGATCTGAGAGCGTTGCTTGGTACTTCACCCATGATGACCGTGGAGACAGGACTGAGAACTGCTCCATAAAAGATGTTCCAGATCGTCATCAGAGCACCTTGCGCAAACACACCATCTCTTCTCTCGTAGTACTTAAAATCTAGCTGAATGAAGCCAAGGATAAAGAGGAGACCCGTGCTGAGGAGTTGGTACCAGATATATACTGGTCGTCGGAGACACTTGGCAAGAATCCAGAGGCTGATGAAAGCCCCCAGCAGAGCCCCAAGGCCCGCTCCCAGAGACCACAGAAAGCTGGTCTCGGCATCTACTCCTGCCACTGGTCATGGTATAGTTAACTTTGATCCCTGCAGGTAGGCATGCGTGGTGTGTGGATTGAAGCAACATATCATAAAGTGGGATCCTCCATTTGTAAGCGATGCGCCCGTGCTGATAACGATGGAGTAGCAGCCGGTTGCAATGATTGTGCGCCGGAGATTCGAGCCTTTGAAGATCTCTTTGTAGGTGGTAGAATGCTCAAAGCCCTGCTATTGGCGATCTACTTCAGTCATACGCACAAGATCGGTGCCAATGTTAAAGTCGGAAATCGCAAGTCTTTGCAAAGCTGCTTCAGCATCCGCGATACGACCTTGGCGTGTGAGCCACACAGGACTGCAGAAATGTATGAGTCAGTGGTAGGCTCTGCCCGAAGTCAATAGAGTGGACTTACCTCTCTGATGCAAATAATGACACGGGAAGTAGTACAAGTGGCCAGGCCCATGTGATGGCAAAACTAATCTTATAAGCTTAGACATTAGTCATGTTTACCACTCCTTGGGCAACACCCGCAGCGAGCAAAGGTCTTGTAATGATGCCAAAGCCATAAAACGCTCCAAGGACACCACGTAGAGGCAAAGGCGAGACCTCCATAGCGTAGGTGAGGGACAACACTCCGTAGCTGCCGAGAGAGAGGCTAACGAGTAGCGTACTGGCAGCCAATACAGGCAGGGAGGTGCTAAAGAACTGAATAAATACCGACGAAGCGAGTAGAACTAGGGTGGATATGAACATGAGCTTCTGGCCGAATTTGTCCTATGAACTCGGTCAACGTTGAGTTTTGTAACGCTGGAGAGAGGATTTACTATGAGGACGGCAATGGCTGGGGTACCGAAAAATTGTCCAAGAAGGGAACAAGCAGACAGAGTCGACAGCCATCGAGCAGGTATGACAAATGCACCGTCGTAATCATATCCGAATCAGGTCGTGAACGCAGGCAGGGCATAGAGCTGGCTGATCCACGCAGGAGTGTAGGATACCCTGGAATAACCCGATCCAAAGATTTGACCAGTCAGCGTTGGCAAAGTAAACATTTCTTGCAGGGGCCTGCAGACTCCTCAAGCATTTGGTGACAAAGCCCAGCTCATGAACCGCCCAACCACCCTTAGAAAACGGGTCACTGAAGGAGTCGCAGCCAAACTAGGATTTTAAACGTCAGCCGGCCGTATGCTGTTCGAAGTTGGAATGCTACTTACAAGGTGCTCAATCTGAGATCAGGGTGGAGATACTGAAGTGCTTCCACGAGCTTCTCTGGATCCTTCGAGGGGTTGATGTAGTTCCTGGGCATAGAAATGACATATGAGTTTCCGGATGGGGTGACGCGTCGCCGATAAGCACGGAAATTCCTTTGTCGGGGAATGCGTGACCGCTCCAGTTCCGCCACTCCTTTTCGCTCGCTTCGACGCAAACCTTGTAGGCGTCGTTACTCTGGCCCCGGCCAATGGCTTCAGCCTTGACCGGGTCGAGCCCAGACTCAAAGGCAATGTCCTTGAGGCAGTTCAGAGGAACCGCGACAACGACATGACGTGCCTTGAATGTCTGGCCGTCGCGAGTGGTCACCGTGGTTTGCTCATCTGCCGTCTTGACTGCTGCTGCTGCGGAGCAGAACTTGTAGGACAGGTTTCCTGAAGTACGCGCATTATCAAATATGGAGTCAGCTCGACCTGGATCTGGTCAAGTCTATCCTGGCAGGACATGCTGTCCCACTGGATAAACGACTCATTGTCAAGCTATTGGCAGGAGCTAAAAAGAGAGTAGGTTTTAATAGGCATAAGGAGGCTTAATTTCTCTAAGTTCTTTTATCCCGCATAGCACTAGATAAGCTAGGTATAGCTAGGCTAGGATATAGCTAATTATGATATGCCACTAATGACGTCAATAGAGCTCAGATCGAACAAAGACAACCCGTTCTGTCCACCAATGCCGCAGAACTTGTCGAAGCCGAGCCGAGCTGCCTTGAGTCATATGTTAGCACGTCGGCCGAGACTGATGGGTGTTGATCAATCCACCTGATCTGTCCAAGGAACTTCGTGAAGCTTGCCGTTTCGGTTGATAGTGGGTGTATGGGAGCCTTCGTAAAAGTCTTGGCTATCCCTCAGGCGATCTGAGAAGCCATAGCGTTCAATCTCGGACCAAACCTGAGCTTGGTTTCGATGCACCCATGTGCTCCCAATCTCGTACACAAATTAATAATCATATGAGATAATACATTTAGCACCTAGCAATTAGCCTGTTATCTCAAGTTTCGCTTCGACAAGTTTCCCTCAAGATTGATAAAAGGGTAATTCACATCACCAAAGTTCCATTTGCCCTGGTAAACATGACGACACGTTCGAAGCCAAGACATAAACAGCCCATGCATCTTGCAAGGGGCCGATCAAAAGAGGCAGGTACTGACATTATGCTTATTTTGCCCCTGTTGTATCGTGGAGTAGAGGACAAGCGAGGGTAACCTAAATTTCAGAGCGAGTACGAAGATACCTCGTTTCATGATGTAAGCTTGCATAGGCACTTGCCTAGTACGGTCTATGCTGTGTTCCTACAAAGCAGTACTGCTAACGGCTCTGAACCTGATTAGCTAGTTCATAACATGTGGAATGTTTTCTATTAAGCGACAACATAAGAGTCTCCACAACTCCGAGAGATAGAGTCTGATAAGTCCACAATTTAGTCTATATAAATCTCACGTCAGCTGACAGCTTTACATCCGATCTTTACAACGGATCTTGGCACAGTCGACTTGACTATCTCCGAGAGGCCTCATCTGTACGTCAAGAGCACAGAATGGGTAAAATATCAAAGTATAAAAGCGTGAACTTACCAGCTATTGAGTAGAGACTTGGCTTCTTATCTCATCAGTACCAGCAACGGACATCACTCTACGAGATTCAAGCAACTATGAGAATCACCAACTGTCTTCCAGTCTTGGCCCTAGCCACCAAGGTTAGTCTTTTCTACTATATTTGGATGCTTGATACTTACTCTTAATGCTCAGGTGGCCTGTGCTCCCTCTAAGCAGAATGAGACTCCTTCAGAAGGTTCTCGCATTATTGCCGACGACAAAGACCTTCCATTCCAGCTCGATGAGCCATTGTGGGAGGTCCAGGTCTCTGATGATGAAAAGCCAAAGTACTTTTCTGGCTCTGTTGAGGTAATCCTGTTCTCATTTTCTCTCCATGGAGTCGTGTTAAATACCATTTATAGAAAGTCTACGAGGAAGTCTTGAACCTGAACCCTGATTATGGCAAAGATGGCCCTGTCGTCAACGTGACTCTTGGAGCGGATGACCAAGATCTCGACAAGCGAGATGTCCAAGGAGATCCTGTCTGCTGGAACAACAGACGTGCCAACCTTTTGCGTATGCAGGAAGAGGTCTTCCGCTTGGATAGGATGAACGCCTGGCTCAATATCGCCCCACGCCGTTGCTCTCGTATTGGTTGCTCATGGAACGCCGGTATCGCGATTTGCAATGATGTAAGATATTGACCGGACAACTGAAGCGGGGAACTAATTGTGAAAATAGCGACACGACATCACCTGGTCACTACACACTAGCCTCATTACAAGCTATGTCACACGAATCAGCAGAACCTGTACATACCAAGGTGTTGCCATGGGCGGTCAGCAGTTCGACACTGGAGGGTAAGCTTTTATCAAGATACCATGTGATTTGTTACGCGCTAATCGAAATCTTCTAGCTTCAACGTTATTGCTGCTGATCAGAACTGCGGAGCCACCGCGAGCTGGGCGGTTGGAACTAACCCTCCCTAGATGGAAACATGATACATAGGAGGTTCGTGTCTCACATTTGCTGATTCTACTTGTTAAGCTTGTGCTTATTCTTTTACAGTACTTCTTTGGTAGCTAAGACATCTTAGCCCATCTAAGTTTCCAGTATTCCTCTTCCTTTCACCTATTAACTTTAATGGGATGAAATCAATTGCCAGTTTACAACAAAACAGCCAAGTGGACAAGACAAGTATTTTGAGACTGTTCGCTATACTTCCTTTCAATCTGAACCTGGGTCTCAAAGGGTCTATGGAGTGAGCCTGAATGCTCTGCTCTCTTCTCTAGACTTGTACTATCAGTTGATACAGTGTTACTCTCAAATCTTAGTTTGGGAAACATGGTAATAACTAGATCTAAGCTTAATACATATATTTATTCCATGTTGAGATTCCAATTGCTTTTACTAGGCTGATAATGGATCCTTTGAATAACCTTTGAAAATGTCAAAGCGACTTTGGAAGCCACCGGTGTCAAGGAGGGATGGAAGGCCGTGTATAAAGTACATTTTCTGGCACTTGACACCTCGGTTGAGAGGCTAGGGGAATGGCTCGAGAACATCTAGGCTTACTGCGAAGAGAGTCGACCGACGACCATGGCGATTGGAGCCAGCCCAATTGCCTGAGAGGGGGCTACGCTTGAGATCTGTGTTGAGGCGGTCCGGGAGCCCCGAGGAACGTAAGCATGCACTGTGGCTTTGCCTGTCTAGCAGTGCTGCTCGTGGCGCACCTTCTTATCCGTAAAAGGAATAAATTAACTTAACTCCCGCGTTCTATTTCGCCGTATTCGTGAAAATACCAGCCTAGTGTAGTAGAAGTAGTGAAAGAAGAATTGGAATATTTAGTTGTTATTATATGACTCAAATAACAAGCCAAGATCACTCCTCAAAAAGCGTTACTTAACCTAAAGCAAGCTCAGCCAATTAGATCCAAGTACTGTCTGTGGATCGGAGTGCACTTTTTCCGTCAAATCCTTGTTTGTCATGTCCCCACCTGCGCCACGTCAACGTCAGGCCTCATGTCGGTGAGTCTTCAAACTGAGCCCGACCTGATCTGACCTGACCTGGGGGAGACATTAAAAAACATCATCTCGATTCAATGTTGCGTGGAGATCGTGGAGATACGGCCAGCACTTCTTCCAGAAGCCATGGAGGTCATGGCGCTTCAGAGCCGCGGCTCTTTGAGTTTGGTGACAGGGGCCGGATCCTGTCACCGAGATGCGTCGAAATCTCAAAACAACACCCCGAAGAGTTCCTCAACTATCTCCAGCAGGCTTGGAAGCGCGACAAGATCTATGCCAAGGCGAACCCAGATTCCATGTTGGATTTGAAGGCTTTGAAGGTCCTCTGCCAAGACGGGAAATACCGACCTCTTGGGAGCTCATACATCCCCCTGCCCAAGCTAGTCTACCTCCAGAGCCGCTACATGCTTGAGGGCGAGACGTTTCCCTTTCTCAGGCTTAACCCACCACTCAAGCCAGACGGGGGCTTTGGACCGTGGAGGTGCCTTAGGGCCTTTGCCAGGTATCGCGACAATCTCGACTTCTTCTTGGAGATGTTGATCCGAATACGACGACAGAAGAGCCCCACTGTCGAGTTTCCCCGCCGAATTTTGGAGTTGTATCTTCGTATCCAGGCAGAATGCGAAGACTCGAGGGACCCGGAGGAGTGCCAACAAAGAGTCAGGTATGTCAACCAGAGAGAAGCAGCAACAATCCCCTTTGCATCTTAGACAGGTGACTGACTCATGGCCACAGGGATGTATTCGAGAAAGAACAGCTGCTCTACATCCATCCCATATGGAGACCTCCCAGCGAGTGCTTGATGGACGACTTGTGTGACATGTCTAGCACACTTTCCAAGTCTGCCCTTTTCCCCGTGGCCGAAGATTGGGATGCGAGCAAATCTGAGCTTGCATCGTTGAGAGACTTCTATTCACACACGTTGGAGGTTCAGAGTGCCTCATTCCGAACCATCCTAAACGTATTGGAAAGACGAGAATTCGACGCGCCACTTGATCCCTCAGATCTGTGGCTGACAGACGACTTCTATCGCGCCTTGGACAAGTTGCGGCGCAAGCTCTCACCTCAAGATGCTGCGGAGCTTAGGTAAGTCACCTTGCTGCACAAGGTGCCCCTGGCTAACACGGCGATGGTAGAACGGCTTTTGCAGAGAACATGATTATTGCCGTGGCCCCTGGTGAGAATGTGATATGGCTCAACTCAGGCGACTGCACCTGGGCCCCCAAACTGGACAGTCCAGGGGTCAACGATTTGAGCAAACACTACCCCGAGCTCAAGGATTTCTTCACCAAATTCCTCGGCATAGAAAAGAACGACGCCGGTCTCGTCTTTGACAGCTTGGTGAATGTGGCGTCGTTGAGCCCCGGGAATACACGCGATGACACAGCCAGGGGACTTTTGGTTGCAGTCAGTCAAAAGATTCCAGAATACGGTCACGTCTTGGACAAGGAAAAGTTCCTTCGCAGTCCTGTCTTTCCCGTCCTTACTCCCGATGGCGATGTTCTGCTCTGTGCCGCTACCATGGAGTTTTCCATCTCCGACCGCAAGTATCTGAAGGATGCATTCATTGGCAAGCTCAACCTGCTAGACTTTGACCCAAAGACTGTTTGGATGCTTGACAATCTTCTGGTCTGGGCAGGCCTTGAGGAGCGATACCTATCTCGGAAGGTTGAGGAGATGGGCCCGGCCTCTGATGACTTCAAATCTATCGAGTTGAGCGGCGAGATTTCGTCCAAGGCCAGTCAACTCCTTCGGTAAGTTGTCACTACTCAATTTGCTCGATGTCTTTAACATTACGTTTCAGAATTGCTGTTCACTTCCGAAGTCCCCGAACAAGCAACCCAAAGGCAACGTCATGGCTGCTGGAAGTACTAGAACATGCCCAAGTGCGCCTCGTGTCCAGCTTTCCATCCCGACTCATATACCGCTCGGGCAATGCAGAAATTGTTGTCGAGAATACTTTGGGTGGCCTCGACATCAAAGACACTGTCGGCCTTGTTATCTACGTCGACGATGAGAACTGGGAGCTTCTGAAGCAAACCATGCTGCCACGTCGCCTGCTGGAATGGATGATGACTGACCCTGACTCTGGGGATGCAGAAGAGGTGACTGAGCTTGGAGTGAGCCTAGTCAGAAGCATTCTGAACGTTGCTCCCGGGCGAGACCACATCATTCCCAAGATGCTTGACGCCGAAGGCATAGTGGATGTAGAGGCATTGAACCAATCGCCGTATTGGCGGTTGAACAGGTAAGCAGGCCAGACGGTGCAATGAAGTCTCCGCTAATTGCTATTTCTTATAGCGAACCTTCCCCCGAACCAATGCCACCTGCAAAGATCATTGATGAGCCAGAGGAAACACTGATTCCCGTTGAACCGGCGCCGACACGACACAGGCAGCCGGCTTCAAAAGGCGGCGCAGATAGACATGACTTTGACGAAGACGATGATGATGAGGATGCGCAGAGTTGGGAGCGTGAGTTTGTAGCTGATGAGGCCACGTTGCTTAACTTTTCAGTTGTGAAGGAGGAAGTTTACAAATTGTAGTATTGCTTTTCTTTGGCTAGGGTCGCCACTCTATATAACAAGGTCTCTTTTAACTAGGTAAAGGATAGACGAGAATGAAGAACACGAGACGAAACGGCAAAATTTATTCATCTTTAACAGTTGTGTGATCCTGTCTTATTTGGATTTAGCTACGCAAGTGGAGGGTTAACGCAGGAAGAGATCCAGGACACACCTTTATTACGCAAGGAGAGAAGCTAGATCATTAGAAGAGCACCTTAAGCAGGTGGATGTAAAGGATTAGTGCAAAAAGAAGTGTTGCCACACAACCAACCACACACTGAATAAGGCAAATACACAAAAAAGAAAACCAATCGACGTGGGCCTGATTCGAACAGACGCCTCCGAAGAGAATAGATTTCTAGTCTATCGCATTAGACCACTCTGCCACCACGCCTTTCCTAATTGGTGATGTGCTGAGGTCAAATTTGGTATCATGAGGTCAACGCCCTCAACTTGGCGATGCTCCTTGAGTATTTCCCAGAACGAGATTTGCTTACTTGATAGAACTCTGGGACACTAGAAGTGCGATGAAGCGAGTATTACGAGTGATGGTGATGGATACTGTCCGTATCGGATACTCTCCGTGTCATGGGAACCCATGTTGACATCAAAATCCAACAGCGCAACGCATCATGGTTCAACATCATATTAGAAGATAGATATGTTCTCAAGTTCCCCAGGAGTGTGCTCTCCACCAAAAAAGGCCTCTGGCCACTCATAGAAGCAAATTGAACGGTATTCAGGCTTCGGTGCGGTGGTAGCCAATGTGATTTCATCTTCGTTGACAATCCGACTACAGACTTTCAGCCTTTGAAAATGCCGAAAGTAGGGGCTATCCCTGAGCCATCCTCTCAATCCCTCCACTGTAGCCACCATACTGACCCTGTGCGATTGGGTCCAGGAACTGCCTGGTTCCCGGTGTATCTTGCCCATTGATGTCCAATCAGAAAATCCCAGATTCGGCGCCTGTATCCGAAATATCCAGGTCCTCATAGGAAAGGCAGTCGGGTGTGTCTGCCCAATACCAAGGCCCAACATATTGCGTTGTTGATGATGACCTGGAAGCAATGAAAACTTTCTCATACCAAGAGCCATTGAGGGATTGTTGGATTCTCAACCAGTTGTTCGGGTCCATGGACACATGCACCCAAGCCTCGGCCCTGCCCTGTCGTATCTCCGCGTAGCACTCGGGGCTACAATGTCGAAGGAAATTGACATAGAGGTCAACGAAGGGTTTCTGGGGGGTAGAGAATAGTTGGTAAAACAAGCCTGTGATATGGATTTTGATGCTGTCCCGACTAAAGGAATTGGCCCTTGGTCCCATCCATTGCAATGCTTCCCAGCTTTTGTTGCAGAGGCTCCCAACCTCAGAAACCACCCCATATACTTTCTCTTTGAGAATCGGCGTAGAATCTTGGCTAAGGGGGGTAAGCCTGAATCGAGGGTTGTTGAATGTGGGGAAAGTAGGTATGTCATGATGAACGGAGGGTGGGAAGTTTGACTCGGAAGGCGGCTTTCTTGATAGATAAAGACCAAAACATGGGCAGCACTTTAAGAGCCGGAAGTCTGCATCGGAATGGTGTCGTCGCAAAAAGAGGAGAAGAGGAGAATTTCTCCTGTCTTTTAAAAGAAAGACGTTTGTGAGTCCCGGCTCGATGGCGCTTTTGAGTGAAGCATCAGAAGTGCATATGTACAATGTACAGTGTGCAACCGTCATCATAAAAAGTTGGCCCACAGGTCTGTTTTGGAGAATATGGACTGGCCTCGAGAAGGATTCGCAAATGTAAAGCAGGGGGAGTGAAAGCGCAGATGTCGACGGGTGAATTGACGGTTTCCTTGAACTGGGTAGCGGTGTCTCTAGAGCCCCATGATCCTGTCTCTCACGCGACTTGGCGAGCAATAGGACTTCCCAATCTGGATTCAGCCTGAGTATTTGTGTCCAAAATGTCGAGCTGACGGAGGATTGAGACTCGTAACAGCCTTGCGAGACCAACTCTGGTGAGGAGTCGGAGATGTCTCGGAGGAGCTCGCCAATGTTAAGCAGGTTTCCGTCTGGGAGCCATGAAGGAATTGTTGGGGAAGCCTTGTGACCAGCAGCTTGTGTAAGAATATGGGAGTGGCCTTCGTTAAGCAGCAAGTAAGCTACTGTACCAATATATATATGACGTGATGATAGCAAGTAATTCGGTCTCAATCCTTTCCCCGTAGGGACTTGAGGGAGGAAGCCAAGTAACCCAAAAACTTTGTCCCGTGGATCCGCCGACTGGGAGTTCCGCGTCTGTTCCAGAGTCTTTCGCAGAGATGTATCAGACTGCACAGCGCAAAGATGCCTCATCCAAGGGGCATCGCTTTCATGCCAAGTCACCTCCTCGCGGAGAGCCGGATGCCGTCTAGCGGTTAGCTCCACGCCATGCACTGGTATGATAACCATGGGCGCCAATATAAGTTCTTGTATGACCCAAACGCGCTGAAAGTATCTCATCTTGAGCAACTGAGGCAGGTCCACGGCTGAAGCTGATTCTGTATCGAGGTCACGCCTCCCGGGATACGCTCTGTTGTCGGTGCTTTTGGGGTGAACCACATCTTGCCCAAGATAGACCACTGCCCTCAAACACCGTTGATAGATGCTACCCATAACGGCAACCTGGCTCTCGCGTTCCTGGTGGTCCACCTGGTTGATGCAGATGGCATCTACCCAAATGGTGCGGACACCGACCCGAGGGCGAAGATACTGAAGCATAGACCAACAGTTCTGGGTCTGCAAGAGAATGTCCCAGTAATCGCCAAGGAAGACGGGTTTGCAGAGCGTTGCATCATCATTTTCACCTCCCCAGCAATACGAGACCGTCTCGTATTCAGGGCAATCATCGGTCTGATAAGCCTCAAAACTGGCATGGATGGGGCTGTTCTTATCGTCGACAGAAGGAAGGTAAAGGAGTCGAAAATGGCCTTCTTGGAGCCTCTTGTGGTAGATGGGGGATAACTCATCCCGTCGCCCCATGTCTCCTGCCTTTTTGGTTTCTTCGAAGTCCGTCCCTGCAGGCTGTGGGCTGTATTGAACAGACTCTAGCCAACAAAGATTCATTTCGCCAAAGTTCTCGTCTGGAGGCACAGTCCAAGGCGTGCTGAGATTTGCTTGTTCCGAGACGAGTTTCTGGATATTTGGGCTCCTGCCGCATGATTCACAGCGTGGCAGTCCATCTTCGACAAACACTTTCGGACTGTGGCACGACGACTTGTGCCAGCGAGACATAATAGAGGTCCCAGGGGCTGGTCCGGCTCAAAGAAAGATGCCGCCTGAGCTTGAATGGTCCAATCCCGACAGCTAACAAAGTGATAGAAAGGGCACTGAGCTGGGGACGACTGTTTTCCTGAATCTCGACGAATCCGTGAGGACGAAGGAGAGAACAAACTCGACGGCCAGTCGAGATGAGGGTTTTCAAGACGAGGCTGGGCAAGCGGGGTAAGGCAGACTGATGCAAGTACTTCTTGAGGCGCAATGCAGCATTGCAGCCTGATTGATATGCCAACCGGCTTACTTGTTGGGCCAAATAAAAGGGTGATTATTATTTCTTTGCGTTTGAGTCGCTTTTAGGGGCATGGATTGATAGAGAGCCAGTAGCACTCCGGCAGTTTTGGCCAAGGTTAGGTAGCTTAAAAATAGAGGGAGCTTTCATTGCATATATCCAACAAGATTTGATATTAATTGCTTGGCTATTTCGCTTTTAGAATGTGGTTCAAAATGCCCTATTGTTAGACACAAAATGGGGGAGACACCAGCGCCATAACATGCTATTAAGCTATAGCGCATTATCATTGGTCAGCGCAGCCCCGCTATAGGGGCTATGCGCTAATATAATAGCCGCTTTAGGCGATACCCTTATTTTAGGAAAAATAAAGCTCTTTTAATTATTATTTTTTATACTTTAAAGTAATTAAAGGCGCTTTATATAATAATTATAAGCCTAAATAAGAGTATACCTTAGTAATTTCTTTTATGCCTTTTATTATTATTAATAATTCCTTTATAAATTAACTTAAATACCTTTAAAAACCTTATTTAATAAAAAATCCTTTACTTCTATGCTTTAAAATCCCTTTCTATATTTATAATTAATTACCTTAGTATATATATTATACCCTTTTATTACTTTATATATATTATATTTATAATTCCTCAGTTAAATATAATAGATTTTATAAAAATTATTTATCTTAAGATTAAGGCATAGTAATTTAATTAATTAATAATATTATAGACTTATATAAGTATATTAAGTATCTAGGCTATTATAAATCCTAAGAAGAAAACTTAGCTTAATAATAAGCTTATTAAATTTATAATTATAAATTATAAATCTTATATAATAAAGCTTAAAAAGGCGACTTTTAATATATTAAATTCTAATATATAATTTATATATAATATTTATATTAAATAAAAAGCTTACCTTAAATATAAATATAAGTATTATCTTATAAGGGAATAAGCTATTAAGGGTTAAGTTATATTAATACTTATAATATTATATTATAAAGCTATTATTAAAGCTTTAAAGAAATAAAAACTTAATTTATAATTATTATAAGATCTTATCTAAGCTATAAAAGATAAGTTCTACCTATTATAAATATAACTTAAATTTTATAAAAGACTAAAGGATAGAGAAGATATAGTCTTTAAAGACTATAGGGTAGATGACTTGGATAGGAGGTAAATAGGCAGAGGAATCAGTCTTTATATATAGTTAAGAGACTAGATAAGAAGATATATAGGGTAGGCAAAGTAAGAAGGAAGATAAATAAGGTTGATAAGGTTAATAAGAAGAAACTAGCTTCTTATTAGTATTATATTAGTTGAAGATCTAAGGAACTAATTCTAAGAGAGGGCTTATAGCTTATATAGAGGATTATTCGGAATCTATTAGCCCGATTCGGATAAAAGTTATACCAACGGATAGCTCAAATTCCGGGCTATAAAACGTAGTTAGTTTTACTAGTAATAGATAACTAGAAGCCGAGTTATAGCATAATAGAGATTAAAACCTATAGGGTTTTAAACTAGGATATTTAAAACTAGATAGGAAATACCCTATAAAGGGATATAGATTTAATGGTATTATTAGTCTTTTAATAAAGTCTTAAGTCCGAGATTACGTGACCTTCCTAAAAGGGAAATAAGCCTAGAAAGGGCAATATTAATACTCCCTTATATCTTGCTTATCTAAGTAGATATGGCTTAGGTAAGTAGTCTATTAGAAAGCGCATAAGCTAAAGTATAGGGTAGTAAAATCCTAGGCTTATATCTTATAAGCTTATTTTTCTAGAATTTTATTTATAAAAGACCTTTTTAATATAAGGACTTTTATAAATTTAAGCTCTATTTAGCCTATAAGATTAAGCTTAAAGAGGCTTTTTTCCTAGGAATTAATCCTAAGAAATAAATAAAGACTTAAAGACTCTTTTATAAGTATTATAAAATACTTAAGATAATTAAAATATTTAATATAATAAGAAGCTATAATTTCCTCTAAGCTATTAAAATTAAGATAACTCTTAAATAGGCTTAAAGAGAGCTATAATCTCTTTTTAATTAAAACCGCATAAAAAAAAATATTTTAAAAGCTATAAAGTATATTTTAGACTTCCTAATTACTATAAGCCTATAAAAGAAGCGCTATAAGCGCCTAGGAATTTATTTTATATTTAGTAATTATTTAGATATTAATAATTAAGCTTAGGAAGGCTTTTCTTACTTATATTATATAAATAATAAGAATTACCTTATATATAAATAAAAACTAAAGGACTATATATAATTAAAATATATATTTATTAAAAAGAAAGATTTTATCCTTAAGAGCCTATTAAAGCCTTAGTAATATAATATTATTAAGAAAGAGCTTAATAAGCTATAATAAAAAGATTTAAAAAATACTTTATTTATTAAGTTTAAGTAAATAAAGATACCTATATAAGCGCTATTTAATTTACTCCTTAATTAAAATATTTATAATATTATAATTAATCTATAAATTATTAATTAACTTAAGAATATTATAGGTATATTTATTATACTTTTAAAGCATAGATACCTCTTTTCTATAAGTATTATCTAGGATATAAGTAATATAATATACTTAATAAATAATATAGACTTATTAAAACTTAATACTTTTATTCTTAATAAAAGAGATATAATTAAATTAAGTATTATAAGCTTTTAGATTATTAAAAGTAATACTTATATACTTAAGAAAATACTTAATTTATCTAAGAAAAATAAGAAAATTAATCTTATACTCTTAGATATAGCTATTATTAAGGGATTTTATATTAATATTATCTTTATATAGCGCTTATATAAGATAAGGCTTTAACTATATAGCTATAATAATATATTATACTTTAGAGATATTAAGGGAAGCTTTATTATTAAGGAATTAAAGGTATAATTAAATATATTTTTCTTTAAATATATATCTCTCTTTTCTTATTCCTTAAGTACTTAATTAATACTCTATAATATAATATTAATTAATTTAAATAATATTCTTATAAGTATTTTTCCCTAAGGCGCTTATAAGGCCTCTTAGCCTTTATAAGATCTTATCTAAGCGAGTTATATATTTATATATATTTAGTACCTTTATTTAAGATATCTAGCTAAAAATATACTTAAGAAGCTAATTATCAATACTTATAATATTAAAATTAATATTTTAAAATATATTAATTATAAGGTATATAATATAATATATTTTATATAAGTAATTTTATATTATAAATCTAAGTATAAATTATTATAACCCTTTTAATAAATATATTAAGACTTATAAAACTATAAAATAAAATAATAAGTATATAATTATTATTATTAAGGGGGTAATAATATTTTAATACTAGATATATATAAAAGGTATTAATTTTAAGCTTATTTCTATAAATATATATAAATTAAATAAGGGTATTAAGTATATAAATAAAAGTATTATTATTATATTAATTATTATACTTATAGAAATAGGGCTATTTATAACCTTATAGCTAGAGAATATATAAATAGCTATTTATTTATTTAATATTAATTTATTAAGAAGGCTAAAATAAAAGTCCCTTATTAAGATATTAAAATAATAATTTAAAAATAATATACCCTTATTAATCTAAAAACTAAAGGCTAATTTTAGGCCTAATTAAGATATATTTTAAGCTTATAATTACTATATATATATATTAAAGCGCGATATAAAAAGAGATAAAAATAAATAAAAGCTAAAAATAAAGCCTAGAAGGAATATAAGATATTTAATTAGCTATATAGCTAATAACCTATTTTATTTATAAATCCC